GGGGGGGGGGGGGGGGGGGGGCGGTGAAAATCATGCAGAAATCGTGCAGTAATGCCAGATAAACGGACACAATGCTTATCTCAAAATAATAGAAATTATATGCTGTTACCACTTCAAACCAGGCCCAGTTCAAGTAGAAAATTGACCCTTAGATTCGATTGATTAGAATGAGAACGATTTTTCATCAAGTAATAATGTCATGGTATCTAAAGCCGTGAGAGACATTTACGAAATGTAAGAAAACTAGGATTCCATGGCACTGTGACCATAAAGGCATTTCTGCTCCCTTTCTGCCCCCCTCTGGTCAAGGGAAAATAGGGGCAGCTGCCCCCATCTGACCCTTGTTCTGGCATCGTTGTCTTATAAACTTATTTTTCTTTTAATGAAAAGCCAAGAAAATTGCGACTAACACTGCAACTCTTCTTGCAAGTAATAAGAGCAATAGCTAAGGCCTTGTGCAACATCTGTTAGCCAAAATGTTGTGCAAGATCAGACGCCAGCATGACATTTTGTACACCAGGGTAGTTGATAAAGATAGATGCAAACCCCAAATGTGAAATGTCCTTTTCGGCAGAAATTTTAAATTAGTAATTTGTAGTTTACTACGCCCAAAGTCAAATAGAATCACCTTTGTTATTTTTAGATTTGTGTGCTAGATCTCAGGCCCCCAAACCGTTTATTCTAATAATACGGCGGCTAGGGCTTCTGCACGTAAAAGTTTCCAAAAATTTATTCTGCATGTAATTATCTAAAAGGACCTCACTAAAATTTAGTGGGCAGATGCATGAAAAGAGCCTCCAAGGTATAAAATCCAACGTATTCATGTTAAAAGGCTGCGAACAAGGATTAACTAGGACAAGAAGGAATGGCGATAATGAATTGACTACGCTCACTTAAGGCTAGAATTTCAATTGTCAAACACTTTACTTTCGTTATTTCTTGTTTTTGTAAGCCTTTACATACATATATTTGCCTTTGTTTATCATAACCTAACAAGCAGTATTTAAACCTCTTGTCCTGCGCATGCTCCTCCGCCTAAGATCCCACATGATCCAGTTTCTCCTGGCTGTCCATTGCATGGAAATAAGTATTGCGGGTAAACCCGCTCAGCAGTTGACGTGATAAATCTTGTGTATGTTTATGTGTGGTCATTTGATAGGTTAACATACCCAAAAGAAGACTAAACCGCTGAACGCTAAAGGCCAACACGATTTAGGCCAATGCCAGAGTACAAATACATGGAACAATGGCATTGATATGCAAAGACGCACAGCCGATTTGCAAGTGCCTTCGACAACATATTTATCTAACAGAGATGTAGGCAAGTTAACAAGGGAATTTTAAAGATTTCGAGGATTGGTATGCTGCTTTCATGATATTTCTCAATTCATCTAGTGTAAGTATCTCGTCCTTTATATTCTTTTTCCTCACCTTGACAGATATCGTTAAATTTTCATCTATATTTGCTTCATCTTTGAAACTCCCTCAATTTACCGATAATGTAGTTAGCAAATAAAGTGGGTACCAGAATAAAAAAAATTGTAGTTTGATTTTTAAAAAGACGACGTATCGAGCATGTTATCGTTATTATTTTATCGCTATTTTGGATGAAGTATCACACGCAACGTACATATTTAATTGGATCCCTCAATTTACCTTCAAAACCTTACAATAATGGCTTTTTTAATTCATGTTATTCTGTTTTGTTGCCAATTGTTGCATCTTAGAACAAAAGGCGCTTGTTTCATTGCCAATATCAGGTTTTATAATTATGATTATTCGCCATTTTGATTATTTACCAACACCCCACTCACAATAACAATCAAATCGGCACGTCGTCTTTAGCTCTGTCACAGAACAGAGTTCACGTTCTATTGTTCTGTGAAGAGGCAGAAATACACTCATTTCTTTATAAAAAAACTGGCTATAAGAAAAGAGTACTGGACAGTCACAAAAAATTAAGAAATTTCAATACTCGAAACAAAAAAATCAAGAAACTATTGAATCATGATAAAACTGAGTACAACGAAATTTCGTAAAATCCAAGAACATGATTGCCCAGAAGGCCTAGAACTTAAGACACAAGGGATAAAAATATACTTTCCACGTCTTAATACTCTAAATACAGCGTCAGAACGGAAGCGAATCGCTTGACGTGAAAAAAAGGTCACGAACATTTTATAACATCATTTATGACATCATAATTAAGAAACTCTCAAGAAACAGTGAGTATTGAAATTTCCAGAACATTAAGAAACTGGAGTACTCAACATCGACCTTTGTTTCTTATAAAAAAAATGAGTGTAGTTTGCTTTTCCGAAAAAAGGGCGTGTCATACAAGGGTATGGGTTGTTAAGATTTAAAGTAAGCAGTGGTTCTAAAACGTGCCCTACACGGTACACGGTTTTCGTTGAATAAATTCTGTGTGATACAAACAGAAATGAATTTTGTTATTCCTAATGTAAAAAATTTCAAAAACGTCTCAATTTTAATTTGTGGCACATCCATAAAACGCAAAAATTGGCGACACAAGCAGAGCCTCATGCCCGAAATATCCACCGAAAACTTCTTGAAGAAACATTTTTACAGTTGGTGCAGATACAACTGAGGGGAAATTCACTCTTGCTAATAGTATACTAGATTTCCACGAAACTAAAAAGACTTGTAAGGATTTTCAGATAAAACAATAGGATTTCCACCAAAGGTGTGCAAGATTTTCACGAAGTGATTTGCCCCTCAGATACAAGATCGGAGCCTTGTCTAATTAATGGCCTGATTAACAAATCAAAATTGATTGCATGTATGTAAATAACAATATGCCCTAACAACTGTAGGCAAATTGTACTTTGAAATCGCAGTTCATACTCAAATTTTTGAACAAGACTTCCTTTCTTCAGTATGTCTATGTTTGATGAGTACATTAATGGAAACGCCCTTGCAAACAAGCGTGAGTTAATCTCGTGTCAATCTTTATCCAAAGAGCTAAGTTTAAAGGCTCTTTTGAGGGACATTTTCAGCCCTTTTGTTGTCGGTTCAATAAATTAGTGAAGAGGATTTTCCAGTTATTGTCTCCGTTGGGACAGAACACCATTTGCTTCCTTTTTATAACGCTCTGTAGGCCAAAATGAATGCTTTGTTTACATAGAAAAATCCATTGAATCGCTTTTTGTTTGATAATATCTTTGGTATGTCTTGATTAATTTCAAAGCTTCGTAACAAACTGCTGGAAAACAAAAAAACTGTTGGGCCTAGCTGCTCTGTAAATACAAGCCCAAGCGCTTCACGCCGAGACACAGAGAAGAATTTTGAACAATTTGTAAGACTTCAGTTCTTTGTCGTCGAGCAATGTTGACCTAAAGGCAAGCAGCACTGAAGCATGTGTTGGTTACAATCAAAGCTGTTCATTAAGGTAAGGGAAGTTTCTTCAATTTTGGGTTTTTCATGGACATCTGTTTGCTTTGGAAGTATGAAGAACGATCATAGAATGATGCAATATTTATGGAACCACTAGATTAGCGATTTTAAAGGAATCATGTTTTAACATGCATGAAATCCAGGCCTTTTATCAGAGAAAATATTAATTGAATTTGCAATTTGTATCTAGGGCTTTCCTTGCGGTATCGGTCTCCTAACAGCGAACACATAGTGCTTAAAAGGACAGTTTATAAGGGTATGTATTATTCATAATATTCCTTACGAGCCTTGTCCAATTTCTTCAAAAATTTCTTTAGAATTGACCGTTCACAGATATTGTAAACACTGACATTGCGAGTCTGCAGAAATGGCTGTTGAGTACCTTTGTTAGTAATTTCTTATAATAACCCATTTTGTCATACTGCAGAAAGATTCGGTCTCCCATTTGTTGCTGGTCTTCTGTTTTTTATTGATCGTCGCGAGAAACCAAAAATGTGGAGCAATTTTTTGATGCTGTGGGCTACTCCTCTCTCGTTTTTAATTTTTAGGCTACATTTTGAATTATTGATTAAAAGAAAAATCAGTATAGGAGAGTCGTGCTTTATGATGCAATATCCAGAGATGGCGGATGTTACAGGTTTTTCAGATTTTTCCTGTTTCTATTGCTGCGCTTGGTTTTGCTATAGTGCCGTTGGTTAAATGAGCTGAAAGGCCGTTTTATTTTGAAGTTTTAGCCATCCGCCATTATGGGTTGTCAACAATTTTCATATGTGTAATATAAATTATAGCCTAAAGGTAGGGGTGTAGCTAGCGGTGGCTGTATGGGGTGTGATACCCCGCCCCCAATTCTTTATAAGTTGATTGGTAAATCTTCAGTTGGTTCACAAAATCCCTTAGTAAGTCGGTTGAGTCACTTGTCAGTAGATGAAATAGCACGTAAATTTTCCTTAATCTGTCTTCGTCGGTAATTTTATGGAACTTCACTCCCTAGTCTGATAAAATACACTAATCCGATTTCTAGCCTCGTTTCGAAAAATTATTTGATGTCGGATTTCTGTTGCGGATTGAGGACTGAATCTTTAGTCTACGACTCCATGATGCTTGTGGGTTTGATATTGATTTTATGACGATATGAAGTTGACCGCATTAAACGTTCAGGTCACCCCCAATCTATAGCAGGCACCGCAGGGCGTTGAGAAAGGTGGGGGTCTAAAAAAGTGGGGGGGGGGGAGGCTAAAACCGAATAAAACGAGGCTTGACTGTAGATTCACTGATTAATTTTTTGCATTTTTGGCAAAGTCCCCCAAACCCCTTTACCAGCCCTCCTGCTCTGCAGTGACTGTGTAATCACGGTATCTCTTATCATTTTAAATGGAGCCCTAGCTGACAAGCCAGTTGACTAATTAATCACTATTTTGATTCTAATTTTTTAGTTTCAGGAAGCGTCTGGCAGTTGCCTCTATTGTCCGAACACCAAAAGAAATGATTTAAATCCAAAGTAAGAGGACGAAGAGTTGTTCACTAACCCCTAAGAGGACCCATTCTGCACGTAACATAAGGGGGCAAGGGTAAGTCATACACATTGTCCTGTTGCAAATTCTGCTTTTGTTTAATTAGACTTCGTGCACGCAAACGTTATAGATGTCCCTTTAATTGCGTATCAAATCTGATGATATAGTCTCCAAGACCACCATAAAATCTTAGGCCTTTTCCCGATTTAGGTCCATGCGATTCCTGAGTCTGCAGCGTATCTTTTTCAGAAAATTGGCGTTTAATTTCCTAATGGCTCTTAGACTGATAAAACATACTCTATTTTCCTTCGTGGTCTTAGAGATTTTGGATATAATAGTTAAAAAATATTTCTAAATTGTTTTTAGTAGATGTCTCTTGTGTATTTTTGTTATGGCTAAGATAGCCATGTAGGCTTGCTCAATGGTTTTGATAAAATCCCTACCCTTTAGTTAATTTTTCTGTTTCGCGTAAAAACACTCTATGAAACTTTCTCTAAGGAGTGGCTGTTTCGTTTTACTGTTAATAAATCCGTAAATTATGAATATAAAAACAGATGCATGAATCTGGACGCCGGATGCACTTAAATTTAGGCCCATTAGTAACATAGATTTTCGAAGAAGCACATAGATCTAAGCTGTGTCAAATATAATTGGATTTCTAGTTCAAAAACCTTCATGAGATTAGGTCAGTAAAAGCTGTCTCTGTTATTGTGGACCTTGTTTACAATTTTTTCAACAGTTGTTCGCCAATATCTGATGGTTGCATTTAATGTCACGCTTCAATATAGATGGATTCAAGTCATTTTACCCCGAATAGTAAGTTGCTTTAATTCGATACTTTACTTTCATTGCTCACCTGTGCGTAGAAAATTGCAAATCCAATGCTCGTTTATTTAGTGGTTTACGAGCCCCAGGCGCAATGATTCAGTGTCTGGGGCTCTCAACAGAAACCAGAGATACACTCTTTTTTTATAAGAACCAGTAAATTTTAGTTCAGGTTGACTGTTCTTCACTTTTTCGAAAATCTGAGGCTGGATTGTTATTAATTTGTTCTTAAATTAAGAGGGGCTCTAAGGAGGTGTTCAGGCTTCATTTGCCAACAAAGTGAGTGATACAGCCTTAATTTGCTGAAAAATTTGAATATTCACCGTAAAAGCACTTACACATCGCTAAAAATCCTCGATTTTGAGAAAACACGTTGTTCAAAATTGCATTTTGCAGAAGCTCAGCCTCAGCTTGTTCTTAATTTGTTCTTAACTTTTGACCAATTTTTAGGCTCGTGTTCTTATAAAATTTTTTCTTATAAAAATAGAGTGTGAATCTTGTTTAGGATAGGTCACACTACATAACATTTATAAAAGAAAAATTTCAATCGTAGAGAGCTTTTGGTAGATTAATCTGCCTAAATGAAAGCACCAGTGCTGTAAAGTAAAAAATTGCACTTAATTATCTTCTGGGTATTTTAGCGATTCTCAAATGTTTTGAGATGAGCTGAGATGTGGTGTATTTAGCGTTGGCAAGTATTTATAAATGCATTTCATTTTTTATGTTGCATTGTTTATAACATTATAAGTTCGAGAATTTAGGCCATCCTTTGAATTCATTCAAGTCTCCACTTCTCAAATAAGCTCTATGATAAAATAAAATAAACAAGTAATTTATTTACAGTTGGCAATAATTTATTTTGTGTATCTACCATTAAGCTATTTCAAGCCAACTATTCATAATAAGTGATTATTTATAAAAATAAATCATTTATAAAAAGACTAAATGTACAATATATGTTTTGCACAATCTACAGCTGCGCTCGAAGATTTTTAAAGATTTTATGTTTTGTTTAAGTATATGCAGTTATTTGTTCTCTTTTATTGCAGTAGGTAGCTTTTGCCATATTTTTGTGCCAGATGTTTTTGTTCTTGCACTGGGCAAATTAATGTTGCTGTTTGCTCGAAATTTCATATTTTCGGTTTCTAGTAACAAAAACATCGCCCGTTAATGTTGGGTTCAACTTATTAATAGTTTTGCATAGTTTTGCAAAGTGTTACTTTCTTTAGCATCTAGTCTTTGAATAGGCCCCCTCTGGAATTTGTCCCCTTTATTATGCTTTCATGTTTCTTAAATATCAGTCAAATGGTCACAAATTCTTTACATTCTTTCATTAAAGTGTAAGCTCCTTTATCCAGTTTCTTTTTTGATCCAATTTTCGAGTTAATAATCTTGTTTTTTAAACATATTTTGCATAACTAAGAGAGTCAAGTTTTGAACAATCCCCTACTCGAATTAGCTCACCCTCTCTTTAGCACTGAATTTGGAATAAGCTCCCAAAGGCTATTCGAAAAAGAGCGGTATTCTCCATCTGCTGTGCAATGGGTGCTAGAGCCTAGTCTCGGTATTTGAGAACCTGAAAGTTTCGGGGACTCGCAAGAAATGCAATTGAAGGGCAAAAAGAAGGGAAAATATTCTCCTCTTGCTCCGTCTAATTTTCGTCTCACCTTTCTACTTCACTAATACCTGAGGTACCTCTGTTATTCTATTGGTATTTGCTTTAAAAGAACATATAGCCTTTACCTAGAATGGTCAGATATGTCACTATCGTGTTACAACTTTAGCTTTAATTTTCCTGTCATATTATTCAGTACAAATATGTTTATTCTGGGTATTTTACCGTTCTGTTTCTCAGGGGCGTGGGAACATGTTGAAATGCTAATCCCAAAAATTAATTGGGATCCCAAATACTCATCCCAAAAACAAAGACAATCAATTGTAGTTTTAACTTTATGTAATGGCTCCGAGGTAGTCATTGTTTCCCTAGCTATCGTTCCATGTATTGTTCTATAGTAGTTTTTGTTAGTTGTGTAGCCTGTAGTATATCGTAATGTTTTAGTAGAGAATGCTCAAGAACATGTTGAGAAACAGGGACATGACGAAAACGGACATCATTTTGTATTATAAGAACATATAAAAGACATTTCCACAAATACGGGACCATTGATCTCTGTGTAGCAAAGGGGGAGCAGGTGCCTCGAACCTTCTGGTCCATATGCCACTGCTCCTCCTTCTTGTCGACGATCCAACGTACAACCAACAAACAAGCACCGGTGTGATGGGGAGGGGGGGGCATCCCTATAACTCATTTTGTCTTCCCAAGCCTCATTGAAGCCATCTTCATTCTTCTTGTCTCTTTTAGGCTCTACCCATGACTTGGGATCATCTCTCTCTTCACTCTCTGGGAACGAGGAGACGTCAATTTATGGGCAACCGAACCCATTCAGAGTTAAGGCCAAAGGAAAAGGTATGCCTTTTTTATATAACACGATAAAAGCACGAGGCAGGTAGAGATGTATTTCTCCTGAATCAACGATTAGTTATAAGGTTCACTAGGATCATCATAATGTAACAGTTTTATCAAATGATAACAGTTTAACAGTTTCAAACTACTACTTACCATTTCAAAGACATCTTTTATAAACTGTATAGATTACAATTGATTACCTCCTATAGAGTAAGGGTAAACCTGCTCTTGTGTAGCACTTGGGATTAATTTTTTGTGAAGAAGTAATGCATTTGGAATTCCACATTTTGTATTTCATAAGCAATCGTATGAACTATTCATAAGAAACATTTCATAGATCAGCCTAGCAATATTGCTAGGAGGTGCTCTATTCAGCAATATATATCTGGCCTGCATTTCTCCTAGCACAGTTTTTAAAGGTTGGACTAGACTGCATTAGGATACCCTGAAAAGCAAAGAGAGAACCTCTAAAAAAAGAGGGACTGTTTCCCAGAGTGGCATAAAAAATATGGTCTAGTATCGGGTAGCATAGCATAAAATCTGGTACACATGAGGGTCTGGTACACATGATACCATCAGGAGGGCTTAAAATTTAAGTCAACATCAATAATTTCACGATGATTATTTTTCAACACCACAAGTTTATATTTCTCTTTTCTTCCCTCTATCTTCTTATGTTTGTCCATTTTCTTAATTGACATCTAGCCTGCCAAGTGCGCACTCAATCAAATCTTCAAGGCAAATAAATTTGAAAGTTTAAAAACAGAAGAGGACTATTTACATTTATCAGTTTAATATGATAGCAGGAACTGCCTTTCTCATTTTAGGTTTAGAATCTGGACACACAAGTCAGCCTTGCTTTTTTACACTGGACGCCAGAAAAGCTGGCTATGGAGACTTCGATATTCTTATTAAGGGGCCTTCACAGGCTGATATTCTCTACCACGATCAAGACGATGATACACTATATACGGTAGAGTACCATGTTGCGTTACCGGGAGACTATTTTATTGAAATAAAGTATGATAACAGGCACATCCCTGGTAGCCCTTTTGCTGCAAAAATCGTCAAAATGAATGGCTCTGTAGACACAAATAAAGATGATGCCACTAAACAAGGCAGCAAAGATGGAAAGGCTCAAACCAAGCCAACGATGAACGGTGAAGTTCTTTCATCTGAAGAGCAGAAATTAAGTGGGTCACCTGACAAAGTTTATGGCGCTATTGCCTCGTTCCAGGGCTACGTCACGAGCCCATCTGGGGATATATTTACAGCGGCGCTTGTCCGTAAAAGTGACGGTACGTTCTCTGTGCAATTTCCAAGAAATGAAACCGGCACGTATCTAGTGAACATTGTGAATCCGGTAACCGGGAAATGCATCTCTGGCTGTCCGTTTAAAGTAAAAGTAGAGGCTCAGTCAGAAGAGGAGCCCAAAGTCTACGGTTCTGGGCTAGAGTTCTGCCAGGTAGAAGAAACCGGAATGTTTACTGTAAAAGGGACAGAAAACTTCTCTTTTTCTGAGCTCTCGGTTGCTTTCGAAGGAATCTTTTTATCGAATGTCAAAGTTTTTAAAAATTTTTACGATTCAGCTGATTTTCTTTACGTGCCTAACAAGGCAGGCAAATATAAAATTCACATCAACTATAGGGGACAAAGATTGACTGGTAGCCCATATCGACTGGTTGTGAGAAACAGAAAGCGATCTCAAGAAGTATACGGCAATACAGAGCAAGGCAGTGTGAATTTACTTATATGGTTAGGAAAGGACTTCGGCAACAAGGTTAACAGTGAGATAACAACACCGTCAGGTAGTCTTCTACCACACTCGTTCTCTAATCGTGGCAACAATTTGGTCGAGGTACGGTTTTGTCCTAAGGAGAATGGACCTCATATTGTTAAAATTGGGGGAAATTTGGATGACGAGGTTGCTGAGGAGTTCGTTATTGCAACACAAACTGCAGCAATCGAACTATCACAACCCTTCCCGGAACTTAACAGTGCTAGTGTTTTGCAAACGCAAGTAGGAAAACCAGGCAAAGTCATCGTAGACCTACCGACAGGGATACCTAAATACTTGACCATACAGTTCAGCGGACCTGGAAAGATCGAATCAAAGCGCGTCGAGGGATCGAACGGTCAAATAATTGTCCATTTCAAAGCAAGGATTCCTGGAAGCTACTTCGTTTCTGTGAATTACGATGGGATACCTGTACGGGGAAGTCCATATCAAATCTTGATATTTGATGAAAACGGGAATCCAATGAAAAATACAGAAAATGATGTAGAGTTCTGTTCCTGTTATGGTAAAGGCCTTCAGGAAGCAAAAGCTGGGCAGATAAGCAATTTTGTTGTTGACGCGTGCAATGCAGGGTCAGGGTCTTTAATGGTTGGCTTTGATGATCCAGACGTTGTTGCTACAGAAGTTGTCTCTAAGCACATGGGAAACTGTGTGTATGAGGTTCATTATTGTATTGAAAAGCAAGGTTTGTACGATCTTACAGTAATGTGGGGTGGAAAGCATGTCCCTGGGAGCCCCTTCAGTGTCCACGTGACGTAGAAGGTTGCTCTTATTGGCTTCCTGCTATCTGATTTGGAAGAGGGGAGACGTTGTACACAAGCATCAGAGACAACAGAAGGGGTGAAAGCATCAGAGAAAAGGGTGATTTAGACAGGGGGTGAAAGGATATGTTCTCAATCAACCAAATTTTTTTTTTCAATTAGCATTTCTCTCAAAATTCATGTTATTTGCAATTATGTTGGCTTAGAGCTATTGTTGAACAGTGCTACTGGTCGAACTCTGGCAGTCGGGAAATTAAATTGCTTTTTTAAACTTCCGTGTTTTTTAAGCCGTACAATATGTTTAGGTTCTTGATGCTCAGATCCCTGACTGATTGAATGATGTTTTTTTGTTGCCAGTGACTGTGAAGTCTTAGTCAGCCATCTCTCGACAGCCATCTCTAGCATAATCTATCGACAAATAGAGTTGTTTCTTTTATTATTCATGTTCAGTCTAATTTCACAAAAATTTAATGCTATGTACTTTTGCCACAAGCCAGTCGGGGACAAAAAGGGGGCATGGTCACGGATGTTAAACCTAGTAAGCACCGTTTCCTGTTTACTATTTTGTTTCTGTGATTGCCCATATGAATTCTGGATTTCGTTTAATGACATGACATAAAACCTCGATCTTGGGTATAACTAGACATGCCTGCAAGGGTGGGACACTTTAAACAAATTGCGCAGAAATGGGTCAGTTGTGGACAATTTTCTGTAGTTTGGCGATATCCTACGAAAAACAAGTGTAATGTCTACTACATTCAATTTCTTAGTCTTTGATAGGGCACGATAGTGTTTTCTTATGTCCTCATAAATTGTTTGGTGCTCTATTTCAATCATAATTCATCAAGAATTATCATTTTAGTTAGCATTTTAATTGAATAAACTTTGTATTTTACAGTTTTAAGTAAATATATTAGAATTTTAGCAAAGTTTGTTGAGATATTTATATCTAGTTTTCCATTTCTTTTATGCACTTTACTTTAGAATTAATTTGTAAAGTATCATGTAACGAAAATGTTTGTTTCAAGTAAGATTGAATTGTTTTAGGAGCTTTATAAAAAGCAGCATTTAGAGCTTAAATTTACACAACATTTAGTATTTCTTCAATATCTTATGAACAATAGATATTATTCAAATGTAATTTTTAGAAGGTTGTACCATGAAACTTTTGAAATGAATATTCATAAGGCATTTCTTGTTACTTTGTTTTCTCAATTTATTCCAGCTGAAACCTTGACTGGTTTTCCAGAGACAAATTCAATTGAATGGCACTATGTTTGATAAAATCTTACAAGAGTTTTTATCTTTGTAAGTAGTGTTTCTCACCAAAGACTACCCAGAGAACAGTTATGCAATAAACAATATACTATTTAAGAAAAATGAATGAGAGAATTTGTAAGAAATATGTGCCACTGACCTTTTTACTACATCTTTGTTCACTTGACTTATAAGTTACATTATCTATTACAATATAATCTATAGTTTACAGCATTCAGAAACCAATTCCATGTAGTGAATTTGATATTGTAATTGAGGCCTTTTTTCCAATCATTAATTGATTATGTCATATCTGTGACATTCCCATTCAAGGCCATTCAAGGCACTACATACCACAGGACATTCTCTCTACCAATCTTTTCAACTCTGCTCATCTAAGTCATGCTGGCCCCCAACTCTACTGGCGTTTATCCTACTTTGCCTACAACAGCTAAGCTTTAATGGTATTTAAAACAGGCCTCATCTAAAGTTTTCATCAAGCAAAGTTTGGCAATACATTCTTACTTAGAAAATTTATTTTTTGTATATAAGTTGATAATTTAAATGAAATTTTAGTTCAATTAGAATCAAGACATGTAATGGGCAAACAAAATTTTTTGAACTTTTTTACAATATTTAAATTTCTACGTTAGTTCTTTCACCTTACATATGGATTGCTTCTCCACCTTTTGCATTCTAAGGTAGGGAGAAATATTGTAGTGGATATAATATTGTAAATAAGGTATAAAAATTGCTTATCATGTGTCTTGATTCTAACTGTGAACTAAAATTTAACAAAAATTAACATACTAAGATACAAAAATAAATTTGCTGACTATGGATGGGTCAGAAAAAGTAATAATGATCATGCAATGCGATGTAATAGAGGAAAGATCTAGACTTGGAAGGGAGGAGAGAAGGTGATTCAGCATTACTTAGATGATCAGAGTTGAGAACAATGGTAAAAGGAATGTCTTGTACCAAAGGCCTAAGGAGCTGTCACAGATATGGTATGATCAATGAATGAGCAGAAGATGGCCTTAGTTGCAATATTAAATTCAATACAATCTCATAAAAATAATATAAAAACCTTATTTGAAATGCTTGCTCTCAAATTCTCATTAATAACTGATACTTTAAACTATGAGAGCAAATAATATTTGCTACCAAGCACTATAAACAAGTTATTTGCATCACGGAAAGCAGCATTCTCAAAGACTGTAACCCTGAATGATTCCTGCATTCTTCACAGTTTGGATCCACAACAAGCAAAGTCAAAATACTGCCTGTATGAATATAAATTTTCTGTAAATAGGCTTTTACAGAAATTCATTTTCGGATTTTGAAGATCAAGGTTTATACTGAGTCATGTATTGAGTGTTTTCCTTCAAAAATTTCACAACTTTCTCTTCAAAGTCGCCTTGAATTTCAACCTCTCCTGTTTTTAACAGCCCTCCTGTGCCAAACTTTGTCTTAAGAAGTTGCAATAAATGCTTAGAATTTCCAGTAACCTGTCGTATAACTGTCACTTTCTTTCCTTTTGCGCGTTTTTCTAAGTAAACTGGAAATCCCCCTTTCTTTGTTCTCATTATTTTGAAAAGGTCATCAGTTCTTTCTTCCGTTGCACAAGCAGTGCACGAGTTTTCCACCTGAAACGTTTGAAATCCAGATTCTTTTTCTAGTTCTTTATAACCAGCTTGAGATTTTTTGGCACCAGAGATGGCCTCTAATGTTTGTCCTGTTGGGTTAACAACACAATCCGTACTATCGACCAAATTATCATTTGCTGCTACATTCTGATTTCTTCGCGATCTCGCATCTTTGATGAAGCAGCCAAGTGTCAAACTTGGAGGCCTTCTTTCCTGTTCATCCTCAACATGCTGCGGTTTCTTGCTTTTAGGCATTAGTTGCTTTTACTTTGCCTTTAACACAACTGTTTTTTTATCATCAATCATAGTTCCAGCAGTAGCTATTATGTAAAAGCCTCGGTATCGTGAAACTCGTAATCGTGTCGCAGGATTCTGTAGTCAAGCAGTGATGATCTTGTCAAGTACTTTCTGTATTTAGCTTTTATTGCTTGATTTGTATATATTTGATCGATTCGATGCAATAAAATGAGCCCCAAATAGTTAAGAGAGACGTGGTTAGTTGGTCATTGCTCCCTATAATCAATTCCGATTACAGGATTCTTGGACCCACATCCTGACGTTGTATACTCCGAGGAATGTCAGACAAGAAAGCTTTGAATATGTTGTAAAATATTTGCTTTTGTCCAATCAATTTTCATATTAAGAATGAGTAATATGTTACATCTTTGCTTTATTTGTGATAAATTTGGAAAATTTGAATGGATACAAGTTCAGTCAGTACAAATGATATGATACATTGCACACATTTTCGCGGACATTGAAACTTAAGTGTATTGAATTATAAGAGAACCAACAATGTTTACGCAGTATTGAAAGCTTAAACGATAAAGAAATTGCCTAAACAGAGATAATATAAGTTGCCTTGCACACTAGTGGGTTGGAGAGTCATCAGTAATTTACGGACGAAGACATTAAAAAAGTATAATTTAGGTGTTATATGTGGACCAATTGAATATTATTCAAATAAATTATGAAGATTTGGGAGGTGTCACACCCCTTACACCCCTTACACCTCAGCAACGCTCCTGAAGCATAACTGACTGTATTCAGTACTTCTTCAAGGTCAATTTGCGAATGCTTTAGCAGGGATTGGCAACCTACAGCCCCCTGGCAAAATCGGCCGTATTTTTAGTGGCCTCCGGCAGGTCATCCAATTTTTAATGGCCATCTTTGGACCTCCAGAGTTGAAAATTCAATGGATGAAAATTTCTTATAAAGCTGGTATCTTGCTGCAAAAAATTCCATTAACTTGAGAGCGAGCGTAGATGCCCCCAAGCAAAAGCATATATTTACATTCAGGGTTTTGTGATTCTTCAAGTGGCTGCAACCTGATTTTTGCAAGTTTTTTTCCAGGAAGACGCTCTAGAAGGGGAATCTCTCCATTATTTATGGGGAAAAGAAGACCCTGGTACCCAGGGTAGGTAGGGGTATATTCAATTCTACTAAGTCTTTTAAGTCCGATTTCCATTTGACATTTTTTGTGCGCGCGGGTGTAGCGCCCAAATCTGAGCATGCGTAGTTACGTGCTGTTGTCAAGTGGCCGAGCGCACAAAAGTTGAGACCCTATCAACTTTCTGGCGCTCACAGCGGACGCAAAATCGAGAGCACTTGATTTTAACTACGCTACGCCAAGGATTTGGGCACAAAAAATGTCTAATGGAAATCGGTCCTTATGCATCGACAATTCAAATTCAATACACACGACTTCAAGAACAAGATTCGGAAAAAACTTTCGTACTAGTCCACGAGGGGGAAGTAGAACTTTTTGAGTGATGGAGCTAGCGTAGTCTGAGCGAAACAATACAGAAGTATTGTTTCGCTAAATTGTCGAAACAATACATTACAGAAGCACAATTTTCCTAAAGCCGCTCACTTCTTCTTTTCGAAGCCCTAGACCTCTGGGTCCGCCCATGGGCTTCCCTAACTCCACTGTACATTGAGAGATTGATACTCAAGTGCCCCCCTGCTTCGGCAAACAAGGGTCACTGTAAATTTGCGGAATGGCGTGACTTGCTTCATTGAAATCCGAGAAATCAGAAGAATGTTGGGCGCGCCTTCTTAGTTCCAAGCACAGTGTCACGAGTTCCACGAGAGTTGACATGGGAAGCAAACAATGTAATCTTCTTGCGGTAATTATTGGCAAATGAATACAGACAGCTTAGGCCTTGTCTTGAAGAATACGTTTTTAAGATATTTTCCTTCAAATTAACTGTTTGATCTGATTTGTTTCATATAATTAAAAAGTTTGACTGCTAGAGTTGATTATCAAGGGACCTGCTAATAGAGATTTATCCAAAATTAAAACAGAGTGGTATGCAACAACGCAAAGGGTGGGCTTCCTTTGGAGAACGCTTTCAAAGACAACCCAAAAGCGATTCCTATGGCACATTTTCTCTGTTAAACCCCTAGTCTCAATTCTCATTACAAGCTTTTCCTAAATAGAGCCTTATTTCCTAACTTAAAAATTCCTTAATTTTTGACCATTTTACCAATATTATTTCCCAAAGGTCTTTGGTAGTTCCTTAATTTTGACTGCACATTTAGTTCCTATTATTGATAGAAACCGTGGCCAAAACCAAAAAGGCAAGAAATGAGCTTGGTATATATAAAAAATAATGTCATTGACTGCCAATGATTGGAGAAGGCTTCCTCAAAATTGAAAAGTTTGTTGAGGATCGATTTTCGTCTTAAAAAGTTTAAATTCCTTAAATGTTTCGGCATTCTAGCAGTTGCTTCCTTATAAAGTGCTTCCATATAAAGAACCCTGTAAAGGCCATTTTCTTTTAAATCTCTCCCATTTCCACACAAACGCGTAATAAACGCGTTCCTGTTGATAACGCCGCAGGTAATAAGATCTAGGTTACAATTTCGGCAATATTACCAATAGGCTGAAGGGAACGTTCTAATGTCCTTTTAAAAATGTCTTAGAAATTTACGGAGATCGGAAAAGACGCGTTATAAGGGCTGTTTGACTTACTCCAAATGAATACTCACGACAACGTAGAAAATGAAAAAGAAATAAGGAACACCCCAGTTCCCTGTCGTCCTCGGAACAATGTTATTGTTTAATCTACCTGACCTGGACGAAAAGCAATGCTCCACGTGACAACGACATGGCCGGAGTGGTGTCGATAGGCAAGGCGAGGCGGATAACTTTTTAATTAGAAGTTCAACAAGAAAAGGGAGAATGGACCGTCTGAGCCAATCATGTGACTCACCGATGAACAAACGACCAATCCCAAGATTGCGCTCATAAATAAAGTAGTCAATGAGAGTGGGTCAATATTTTAGTTCTTACTACGCATTGTAAACATTGCCGAAAACGTGTAACTACGGTGTATAAGCTGTGTTGATTCATAAGGCAGCCAAGAGGAACCATTGAATCACTAGTTTCTGGAAATCTTGCAGCATTCAATAGGTATAGACTTTTATACCAGGATGAATTAAATGAATGGTAACATTTGCTTTTGCAAAGGCCAGTAGCTGAGTCGTAGTAGTTCAACATCATGGATCTCGTGACCACCGGAACATTTACGAACTCTTATACATTAAACTATCTGGCATGATATTTTTCTTTGGCTATGTCTACTGAGCCTTCAGTCGGAATAAACTCAGGAATATCACAACACAACACGGAGGGAGAGCAAGTCCAAGAAAATGAACTACCTAAGAGAGAGGAGCCAGTTGCCAGAAGCAGCGGTGAAGGAGAAAATACGACCAGTGTCCATGTTAATACCCCCGTCACGACGGTCGGGACCTCACCAGAAGTAGAGGTAAGAGCCCTTTTGTATTGATGCGTATACAAAATTGATTATCTTGTATAATATGGATGCAGCCGAGTTTTAAGGATAAAGCTTAAATCAAGAATGATTAACACTGCAAATTACTTAAAGTAAAAAAAGTCCTAATAAATGCTGATTTTGATAAGTTTTTTTCAAGAGAATTTAAAATACAGCCTCCCAAATTAGCAAACATTGATGGTTATATCATAGAGTTCCCGAAACTGAGTTGATTAAATTTGAGGTAGGGCTCTTCCACAAAAACGAAGAAGAATATGTCAGAAAGTACCAGATAATGATCATAATGTAGATTGAAATAATTGAATAATCGAATATTTATTACATTAAAGTAATATTTTAGTTTAAATATGACCAATGGATTATATATGACAGTAAAGTAATCTTTTAGCAAGAGTAAAGATTATTTAAAACAATTAAAAATTATTGAACAGTCAAAATGTTCATTAGATTAGTAGAAATCACGAAAAGTCAGAATGCTGTATTCAGAACTCACAAAAATTGTAAATAAATTAAACAAATATATTATAAGAGTAATGATAATACAGTAACGTAAAATCGTCTATTACGAAAAGTTTCTCGAGCGTCAGCTTAACGTTATGTTACAAGACGTGTTTCAAAACGAATAAGTATTTGTCGATCACGTTATCATTTTTGCTTCTGATTCTAATGTTGTTTTTGCTTAGCGTATCTGTTCGAGGATAATAAGAAAGCATATTTCGTTCAAGTTAGGCTGTTGAATTCTATCTCTGTAAATCAATTCCATTTAAAGTTTAAAGCTCAGTTATGCACGAAATGCAATGGCTCCTCATTCAAATACTCTTCAAAGTTCAGGTTGTCCACGTCAGAGGAAACTAGGAACCACTAGAAGAAGTTGTTATTTATAACTGGTATGGGGTGTAGTTAGTGTTCATAGCTTAAATAAACTCTTGTCTGCAAAACTGCTTTGGCATTGTTCGATTTTTGCGATGATGGATGCCTGTTGGAACAGTGTTGCAGAAAATTAGGCCCTTAGAAGGATGTAACAAAACTTTAATGGTTCTCAGAAGACTAGATTTTTTCAGGATCCAAGACATAAAAGTCGAACTCTTTGAAAAGTAATTGTTTCTTACCAATTAAAGAAATTTTTGTCTACATTTCATTTGCATTGGCAGAAAATAGATGATATTTGAAGGCACAGAAAAGGTAACTTTCAAAACCTGGGAAAGAAGTAAGTTGCTCAAGAAACGGCAAATTTGCGAGTTCCCAAAATGTTTCATTTTCAAAAGTAAAATGCGCCAGATATTTAGACTCAATGACACTGGATGTAACGTGGAGAAGAAAAGGCAATCCTGACCTTTTTTCAGACGCCTCCTGTTTCGATTAAAGTTGCCGAAGAACATGCTGGGTATCCTTGATTACGTATAGGCATCGGGAGGTAAATTAAGCCTTATTTTTGACGGGAAAGTGCCATTCTGATTGAAAAAATTTGGACCCATAATCCCGCACGTTTCTGAAAAAACGTGACCCATAATTCCGCAAACATGATTGAAACTATACCCAGAATTCCGCAAACATGATTGAAACTATATCCAGAATTCCGCATAGCAAATAATATCTTTTAAAGCGCAACAAAATCATCAAACAACTTTTGCATGACCTTTGCCCTCATTTCTAACTTGACATTCATTTTGTTAATACTAAATCTCCCTCCTAATAATTTTGCAATATTTTCCTAAAATGGTACCCGTAAATCTGCATGTTTCTTCAAATGGTACTTGTTGTTTCGCGCATATTCCAAAAACTGATAGCGATGATTCTGCATTTTTCAGAAAAAAGGCACCCCCTACCTTTAAACATGTTAAGGTACCTCCCCCCCAGCCCGAGATATAGGCAGAGCTGTACGATGGTTTTAAGCGTAAAACCCAGAGTGAACCGTCCTGTTTTATAAACCAAATAGCGTAATTTGAAGTGATACATGTGCGCTCAGGGTGCCTTTTAAATTCTTCTTGGTAAGGAAATACGAAACTATTGCTCATTGACAAGGTTAAGAAGGAATCCAAAATATTTGGCATGATCGTGTCTCGTTCGTTTTCAATTACGTTTCACTATCATTCATAGTGCCTCAATCGTTCCTTGATACTACATCACTGCATTAGTACATTTTACGAGATCTGAGTGACAGAAATTCTTGAGCTTTCAAAGTTTCAGATTTCTAACTTTTGCTTGCAGTATCAATATCAAGTAACTCCACAGACTAAAATTGGACGAACAGATATAAACAATTATTTGAATAGAGAAAGAAATTAAACCTTAAATAAGAGAAAAATATTTGTACAATATTCGAGTCTCAGTAATTCAGTTCCTGGAACTTTTGACGATCTAAAGCAGGTACTGCTATTTTTTACAACGTTCTGAACAAATAGGAAGAAGTAGTCAAATGCAAGGTTGTCAAGTAAGATGTCACGGAAGTAAAATGGTGCAAAATCATCTTGAATCATTGGAATCTACGTTGCCTCTTAGCTACCCTGAGTACCACAGCCTTAGTGAAAGGGATGGTCAAACAGTCGAACACTCTTTCACCGACCTACTCTTCTCTGAGGCACTAGCACCCAGTGCACCTCTTAGTCATTGTTACGACATCCTAGTTGAGTGAACTATAGTGGATAATGACGCTGTTTGTTATGGTTTTTAAGATCTAAACTCGTGCAAGGGACACATATGGTTGGTTTGTTGTTTGTGTATGATTTATGTGATCATGACAATTGCGATCATCAAGAATCAACCAACACTCCATTTTCATTTATGAAAGGGGATTGAGGTTTAGGCTGGCTGTTCCTTCCAAAACGTAAAGGATGGATTATCTTATTTTGTTATTAGATCATTTGGGTGTAAAAAAGTTTAAATTTTTACACAAGGCCCTATTGTACTGCAGAAAAACATTCGACAGTTATAAAGCAGGTACTGTTTAACATTAGCAAAAGTTTTACCCTTTCATACAACCTTTATATTTACAGCAACGTTTTTTCATTCTTACTTTTTATTGTACCTTAACTTCAACTCGTTCTTATTTTGCACTAGACAAATTTTGAGGTTCTTGTTCTGATGAAATTGTTTTGATATTGTTAAGAATGTTTAGTATTTAAAGATGTTTTTAAGAGTGTATTCCAAGCATCCTGTGAAAGAACTTGAAGGTAGAATTATTAAAAACTTCATTATGGGAGTAGCACTATTCTATAGGCATGGTCCCTACAAAATATCAATATGATAATTCTTGTCGTTCTTCATGTAGGGAGGGGGAGAAGAAGATGTGCTGCCAAATGTAGCTGTAATTCGAAGACAAAGAGGAAGGCCTAAAGGAGCGAAAAATAAGAATCCGAAGGTATCTTTTTTATTGAGTTATTGTTGAATTTTTCATGCTAAATAGCATACAGTTTCAATGAAATTCAATGAGTTTGAATTTTCCTATAAAATCAAGATACTGTCCGTAATTGAAACAGATGTTATTTACTCTCGAGCCTTTGATTAACTTATTTTCTGATAAACAAGATAGGACTTGAAGAACTGTCAGCATCATAGGTGCCCCTTCAAACCAGAAGTCCAGGGCGCCTTTGCTACGATAGAAAGTTGAAGAGTTCCTAGTTGCCACTTGAAAAAGAGGTTTGTACATATCAAAGAGAGACTTTAATTCACTTGCCTAGGCCTTATCAACTTTTTATCAAAATCAAAACTAAGAACAGCGAACATTATCTTTAGAAACTATTTCTTAAGGCAGCAAGACAATTTTTATTTTGCTATCTAAAATAGGGGGTGCGCCGTGCTGCACGTTACAACGTGTTTGATAGCACAATGAAGAATTTATGTTTCATTATTAGAGGAGAAGCATGTCTTTCATATTTTATATTAAGAATCATCCACCACAGAACATTAGGCCATCTGGATTAATGGCTATGGTAATTGAAAGAGGAGTCTTTTCATACATCTCTAAGGGTATTTGAAGTCTGATTATGGCTCTACTGGTTGTATTTCGTTTTTCTTGGTTTCCTGTTAGAAGCCACACTAATTCTCAATTGTTCAAAAAGAGACTGGACAAACCTTTCAAACATTTAGGTTAAGGACAACAATTTTGTTGATATTGATCTTTTTCTTCCAAAATGATAAGTTTTATCGCTCGAAATAGTTCGCAACCGTAAATGTCTCGCTGGTAATGTATAAGGGATAATTGAAAAAGTCCCCCGTCTTTGGTAAAGGAATCCCCACAGTTCTTCGGTTTTCAGTTGGTTGTCACACGATTGGCGTGGCTAATCATGGTTTTTCTTCATTATGAAAGACAGATGGATCTCGTAATACCATGAAAGTAGAAATAGTCACGCGGACTTTGTAACACAAAGTGCTTTAATCACACGAAAATGTAAAATATTTGAAATTGAATCAGTGTGACCCAACCATGGTCTATTTCTAATCATTTTATTGTTTTATTCAAATCTATCCACGAGAGCATTGTTTTTCAAATCGGCAACCGGTATTCACTTTCAATCTAGTGGTTTCAAGAAGTTGAATCTTCAGACTTTGCGTGATTTATTATTCCAAGAGCGTTTGCTCGATTAGGGAGGGGGTAGAAATAATTTTGTTGTAGCCAGAAGATCTTGGCATGGCGACAGGCAGAACCTATTATTAGAAAAATTATGATATGCATTACCCCCGATGCCCTGTTAGCGTAAGTCCCTTTATGAAGTTTCGCAATGGGTTCTAAAGTAAAAGATATTGCTGTCTAATTGAACAGATTCAACAAAATTGGAAATAAACGTATATACAATGCCTGCCAAAAGTCTTGGAACACTGAAATCAATTTCCAAGGTCAAAATCAATCATTCCCCTCTCCCCTACAAAACAATGTTGGTTTACTATCAATTTAAATTATATTGACGGAAAAAATCAGTAGAATGTTTTTTGTAACAAACAACAATACTTGGATATCTACTCTATCAATCGTTCAAAGTCCCAACTCCCCCCCCCTTTTTAACTGGGTAAAGAGTAAAAATTTTGAATTTTCATTAGCAGCAGTGAGATCAGCACCATCGAAAACCCTGGGGTAGGACAATGTTTTGATATCGCAGATTGCTGTTTTCGAGAAAATTTTCAGACAATGCCTGCCAAAAGTCTTGGAACACTGACATCAATTTCCAAGGTCAAAATCAATCACCCCCCTCTCCCCTACAGAACAATGTTGGTTTACTATCAAACGGGTTAGGATTGTAGGAAGCATTTTATTTTGCGCTTTTTTATGATATTTCTCTAAATCATCAACATTGTTCTAGGGGGAAGGGGGCGGAAGTAGCAAATTTTTTTCATGAAAGGAATGAAAGATATCAAATGCAGTGTAAATTGCTGGGTGTTCCAAGTACTTTTGGCAGGCATTGTACGTACAGCTGTGGCAGTAGGCGTGGTAGGGCGGTGCCATGAAAATCTTTCCTTTTTTTATAATCAAGGTTCCTTGATACAAACTGTAGTATTGAAAGTAAAGATAAGTAGGGTTATAAGTTGGATTCAAATTTTAAAACTTGAAAACTTTCAAAATATAATACCAAACCGTAGCCTTCTTACATCGTCACATTTTATCCCATGACTATCATCTCTTTCTGTACGATGATTCCAAAGAATCATTCCATTGGTCGGCTGTTCTCCAGGGATCAATAATGGTGCCAGTGCTATTTTTTCATGATAGCGTTTGCAAAAATCATACCGACAGGTTTTGATATCATCACTTCCTCAATGTGGGGACAGTACATAATTCTTTGTTCAATTTGTACTGGCTCAATATCATCTAGACAATCACTTTACTCTGCAACTAACATTTTTTTCTACTTTAGCCAAAGCCGCCACCAAAACCAAAGCGTCCTATTGGCAGACCGAGGAAATATGTAAGTATTTTTGAATTGTTCTTATTTTTCTTGCAAGGAATTTTTACAGCTAATGCGGCCTAGATTTTCTCAAAAAATGCTACATATAAAAGAGCCGCAAAGCCATTGTTAAAAGACAAACGGCCTATAGCAAATCCCTAACAAGAGAAGGGACAACCTAAGAAGATAGGAAGGTGAGAAACGTCTGCTGATTTCAGACATAAAAAAAAGTTTTAAGAATATAGGAAGCAAGAAGAGGATAAAGCGCTCCAAAGTTTATAACCTCTCAGAAGGAAATATGAATGGTGGGACAGAGTTCGTAAATTTGACAAGAAGATTTGCAAAGGGTGAGCCCGGGAACAGTTTCTGGTGTTTCCGACATGTCCCCAGGGTTCAGGTATAATATCTTTGGTATCCATGAAGTAATGTTCATGGGGGCTAATACAGGGTTTTATAGCTCTCGAAGACCTTCTACGCCCTTACTCCTTAAATCATTATTATTGTTATTATAAGCTCAGTGCATCGGTCCAACCACTTCTCTGCCTGCTAGCAACCATTTTGTAGATCGCTGGATCGCTGTACGACAGCCTTAACTTGTTTGTGTCTTCCAAAGAAAGAAGTAATAGACATGCCATCCAAAGAAAGAAGTAATAGACACGCTGGTTAACTTATTTCTGATCTTAATTTATCTATATCCACACAATGAGTATTTAGACGTCTGTTTGTCAAAAGATCATTACTGGTTTAAATGTCTTAGCCTGTGCTACAGAATGTGCCTGTGTTCAAGATCCCTAATTTTTAAGTTAAGGGTCTGGAGCACGGGCTAAAATGGCTCTGCTTTAATTCTTCGGAATTGTTCATCCCTGATATAATCCTTACACTGTTATTGAGTTATTGATTGCTCTTGTTTCTAGACCTATGCTTTGCAGACCAGATTTTCAAAGCAGCAGTCTTTTGCGAAGATCGAGCCTGTTACAGACAAACCACCTGATGACATATTTGAAGACGAGACTTGAAATGATATTAGTTGGTTGTGTTAGTGTAAGTCTAAAATGGATTATACGTAGAACATCAGAGACGACAGTTTGTCATACTGTAGAAGCTTGTTGGAAAGAAAGATTCTGTCCGTCTTTTGTATTGGCAAAGATTGGCAGAGCGAAGTTTGGAAAGATCTGAAAGGTAAAAATAGGCAAGGGTATAGTAACAATTTATAAGCTCATTAGCTTTAAGATCGTGACGACCTTCTGCTTAAAAGATAGTCTGTAGAAAAATGCAATTGTTAAAAATTATTGAATGTAGGTCCCTAGAAAGAATCCAAAAGTCTTTATTAGGGGAATGATAACTGTCAATTAATTGCCACACTCTATAGAGCACGTTAAACAGTTCAAAAACCACTGTTTCTTCACATTCTCAGTTCAACTTTGTTGCCAGAAGAATGTTTATACGTATGACTTGACTTGAGGTTGTTACGTAACGTTATTGAAACGCTTCATTTTTTATATAAATAGATATATTTTAATCCAATGATGGTCACAAGATGTTTATGACATTAACTGTGAAGAGATATTTTAAGTTTGGCCTCGTGAACAAAATAATTTTCCAAATAATCGTGAATGAAAAAAAGAGAAATAAGGAATAATCTTTATGTTGCAAAGAAAATAAATTAATTATAAGAAAGCACCTGTTTATGTCATAATCACGGGGGTAGTTATGATTTTGACTTTGGGGGTGGGGGGACAAATTTTTTTTACAAACATGTAGAAATGACTATATTAAAAATAACGTACGGATGTAATGCACAAACATGTACTAACTAACACAGTCATAGGAAAGAGGGTTTAAAGACAACATGTGCACATCTTCAAACTCAGTATGACCCGCCAACGCTTCAGTTTGGGGACCCTTTAGAATATTGGAGGGCCCAGGCTCCCCTGCCCCTCTTACTTCCCTCTTGTTCACAATATTCAAATCAAGAAGGGAACGAAGTATTATTTTTCTAACAGGTTTTTTGCTAACCAGATGATATTGATAACGATGGAAAATTTGGAACTTTAATCCTTGTTCAATACACCTTATTCCCTTTACATTGGTTTTGGAAACATTTATGCTATTAGTTTTTACGTTTTATATCTCTAAGAAAATTTAACATGGGTTTCAAACTCAATATGAAAGAGTCTTATTTTTATAAAATCTACCTAATGGATTAATAACCAATATTTGTACGTTCTTAATTTGCAGCAAACCACATTATAGGCTGGGTTTATTTTAAAAAAATCTGCTGATAGCACAAATCTGAGTGAGTATCGTTGGATATGGTACTCATTGGTTCAATCAAGATAAATCTTTATTCTATAAAGCTCGTATGTAGCTTGCTCGAGAAGTTGTAATGGAACTTGGCCGATTTTTAAATTCAGACCACATTAACTTTGAATTTTAAGATATAATTTGAATAAGAAACCATCTCTGGTGAATAAGAAACCTGTAGAGGTGGCTCTGGGGGCCCATCTCTACCATTAGCCCCTTAGTTTTATCTATGACCATGACAACAAAGCAAAACTCAGATTTTGGGATAGTTGGAGGGTCATGGTGGCCAACCTTCTGATAGAAGATGGTACCTGATGATGATGAATTTGAATAAAGATAGTTTCATAAACTGAAATTTTACTTAGCTTGTCAGGCAATGAAATGCTGACTTCCTACGTCTAATAAAGGAGTGTCTTTAACACCCCCGAATGCAAGCAAGTGAATGGCAATGATGCTAATTTTACCTTCTGTACAGCATTCAAATTTAGACCAACTCTAGTCTTCACCAGTTTGTTTTTAACAATGCTTTTAGTTAATGAAAATTTCTTTATTTCATTCCTTTACATTCGTTTATTTTTAATCATTTTCACCATAAAGGAACATTTATACATTCAACTAGTCACATTGTCTTTTAATGGGGCTTCATTGAGGAAGGGGTAGTCTAGTACGAATTCTTTTAAGAAAAAGGATTATAGATTATTTTCTTAAATAAAGTAACGTTCCCTGGAGTAGTTGACACTTAGGTTAGAACGTCAAAAGGACTTACTAAGTGACTTATATGTTAACTTCTTGTGACTAGATCTCATGATTTAAATCGTGATTTGTCTTACGCATGTTATCAATAATTAATTATAGATGCAAATCAAAATGAGTTGTTAAAGTTTGAAACTGTTAGAAGAATGTTGGTTCTCATTACACTCTACCCTCTCTTAAAACTAATGTATGAAACAACCTCATAATGCTAATGTGTTACACAAAATATGATTTTGTGGAAGTTATAAGATGTATGTTCTTCATGAAACAAATACATAGATTAGATAAATGTATTTACCTTATACCACAATAACATACTTTACCTCATTTGACCATGTTTCTGTTTTTGAATCTACGCACTTTCTTTGCCCTTTCGCTTTTGGTTTAAAAGAATGGAGCTATCATAGTAGTTTACAAAGAAATGGTGGTTTGTAATTTCTTGTTCAACCATCACGTTTTTTGATCAAATCAACAATTTCTCATTTCAGTTTTCATGTTTTTTAAAGGTTTGATCTGCTGTTCTTGGGTGACGCAACACAATTCATCAATTGTTGAGTTGGATTAAATATACAGTTAGATTTTTATTGATATACCTGTGGGCATGCTTCTTCATGTTTATGTTCCTCAAGACATAATTCTCGGCCCCATACTTTTCGTACAATGCTGAGTATTGAACACATCTCGTTTGTTGACGGTAGAATCAACTCACATGAAGTTGCTTAGGGTGCATGTTCCAACACCCTTTGTGGATCTTTCTGATACGGATCAAGAGTGATACGGACAGGTCGTCGCGTTTACATTGCACCAGATCACTTTTGCCATTTTATTTCCTATTTTGCTCTTTTCTACTCTTATAGCCACATTGTTTTAGGATTTCTAGCCCCTCTGTCATTTAATCATCCCAAAAGTCCTCATAATCTCCACACAAATCCAGCTGCAAAATGCATGTGAAAATATTTCATTCCCAGCGTATCTATGGGAAGGAGAATAAATAGTACTGCTGTAAAAAGTAATATGAGCGAAGTTTGAATAAATAAGCATAAATTGATGGAGGAGTTGAAGAAGAACGAGTGTTAGTAATGGAGGTAGGTTGAATGTTCGAGGAAATTTAGAGAATTGAGATCATTTTGCACTTGCTTTTTATTTGACAAATTCACTCAATGTTGATTTGTTTATATTCTTTGCCTGCTGTTTTCAATCCATAGCGTTCTATATAAAAGTTTGTTAATTTTAATTCGTTGGATGGCATTCTTGGAGACGAATTGAAAGAAATCGCGTTTATTCTTCACGATATTTTAATGTTTAATAACAGATGGAATGTTTCTGGCATTTACTTTCTCAAGTTTTACCTCTTTGTGAGGGCCCTCATCGGATCAATGATGCAGAAAATGATGCAAACAGCAGGCAACCAAATACACCCTCTCTCGACCAGTTTCAATGTTGATATCTTTAACATTGAAGTACATATGCTCCAACTTTTAATGTGAGGCAGTGAGGGGTGTAGACGTTGGACTTTATCAATATGTGGGTTTTGGTTTCTTCCTATGAGTTTTGGAAGTAAGTCACCAAATGGGGCAAGATGCTACTGCTAGCATTATTCGCTTCCCCCATCCCACCCAGTAGATAGAATTCTTTGGAGGATATTATTCAGATTATTTCAATTGCAGGATCATCAGAGCGTAATTCATGTTGGGGGCTGTCCATTAAATTGCTTCCCATTCAGTACACTATTATAAAATAAGCATAAAACAGTCTGGTACCTCCAACAATCATGTATTGCAAAAACTGCGCTGGGTTAGGTCTGCTTCGTCTCTTCCAAATAGGGACGCTGGAACGACCAAGGAGCAAGAAGGGGAAGGCTACAGGGCATTTGAAATATAGTTCCCAGCTTCTACTATTTTAAAAATTCTAAAAAAAGTTTTAAGGCACGAGGCTTTAAGGCGCAAACAATCGAACTTTCCTTGAAAAGTAGTTAAATTTTGCTCGATACGTGAGATTTTTTGAGACTAACTCTTTCAATATCCACGACTCTCAGACATATCCGAGACTTTGCAAATATGAGTTTTCCACGCACCCATGTTACTTTCCCAGTCTATTTTAGGCTAAAAAGCGAGTCTTTAATAATGTTCAGGGTCAGATCTAAGCAGCACCGATTGGGGGTATTGGATAATGATTGGAATTTGTGCCACACCCTTTAGGTGACTAGAAACTGATGGAAACGCCCATTTAAAAAAAATTAGTCTTCAATTTTCTGATAAAAAAAAGAAGATAAAAACAACTTTCCTACATCACTTTGTTACTATTCAATATAAAAAACGCATTTTTACTGAATGTAAGCAAAATTTACTTAATAATACGAAAATATTGGGGTCGCACAGTCGCCTCATACTCAACCCCCCCCCCGGTAAATCCGTCCCTGATCATTTGGTATCGAATCGAGGAATACCTTAAGAAACTGTAAGTAATAAAATAGGAAAAAAACAAATTAGAAACTGGATACTATTCCAACTGAGTTTACTATAGTGCAGCTATACAAAATGTTTGAAAAAAATATTCGAAAACACATGCAGTTTTTCTATCTCTATGAGTTTTCCCCGTTTCCCTTGTTTCTGGCATCTTTAAATTGCCTCTTTTTCAATAATGATGTAATTTGGAACAACAACATAAATGGTGCTGCAGTTGCTGTAGTAAAGTACAGAATAACTTATCGAAAAGTTTAAGTTTCAAGCGAACAGCTGTTTTGCTGAAAGTAATGGAACGCTAAGACGGTAAGGTGAATATATATCTGGTAAATACATATGCAGTGTGATTTAATGTTTGTATGTTTTTAGCTAGGGCCCTGAATCTGTGCTGACAGTTTTGATTTAAAGTTTCGGTCTTCGGTTCAGAAATGAGCTTGAACCTGGTAAATAGACTGTGAAGTTTAATTTCCAGGAAATACTGTATTCTTGCAAATTTATGTTCTGACTGGATTTCAGTGCACATATTTTCGTGATTTTGTCTTGTAATTTAAAGGAAAGACAGAGTTCTTTAAAGCTTTAAACTTTGGCCTCCCGGAAATTGGAATAAGCTTGTTAATCCGTTGTCTTCACTCGCAGTTACAGACCCACCAAGCCTGGCGTTTTTTACGCGAGTCTCACGTATTCGAGAAGCGAGGAATAAAAAACAGTACCATAGAAACAATAGGGCTGATTAGGAAAGAACAATAGAACCCATGCATTTTGCAAACTTGACAGGTTCTACGATTGTTCTACGTAAACGATGATCTATATTTTAGCACAGATTTAAGAAAAATGAAGCTTGCTTGGAAAAATTAACAAAATACTTCATTAATGCATTTGTAAATTAAACTTAATGTGCCTTGTCTTGAAATGCCTCATGAGGCATGAATGCTTTCATGTATGTTTTTCCGATCTAAATTTTGAACAAATAGCTGTGAAACATGTGTAATGCCTTCAAATGCAAGACAAAATTGACTGATTTCTCTCATACCTTTCATCCACATTCAAAATTCTGTTTACATTTCTATCACTTTTATAAAACACCACTAGTAAGTATCTGAAATAACACCTGGCTCCAGCTTTTATCCTTTTGATTTACAATCTCTTTTGATCAAGAGTGGAATTGCATTATTCTGGACCTTTTAAAAAATTATTCTGGACCTTTTAAAAAAAAAGTTTCTTTTGATAGAATTCAGCAAAAATGGATAATGCGAATGGGATGGAAAGTGGAAAAAATGCGAATTACTAACTGTGTCAGCAGCATCATTTCATTCCAGTCTGTCCGTGGAAATGCATTGTGATCGGTTTTAATCTTTTGTGCTCACAGTTCTGAAATACATGGCTTTCTACTCCGAACAACTTGCTCATAATTCTATGTTCCCTAATAGCTTGCTCTTAGGTCATGTCTTTGCAGGTCATCTTAAGATAAATTCAATTTTTCAGTTATCTATACAGACTGTCTGGACTTTAGGAAGGAGGAAAATTGTCTTTGTGACTAGAAATGAGTGCTCCTTATTGTATATAATCTTTTCATATTGCTGTAGCTTTTCCCCATACATATATCCTTCTTTGCTACAATTTATGATACTCTATGATACAATTGAAATTTTCATTTCAGGGAGCCAGAGTTAGTTGCATAAGAAGTCTTGTCATGTGACAAAACACAAAGAGCAATGTCAGAGTTGCAAAGGAAGAGAGAAAAATTTATATTGTATGGTGTGACAAAATTACAGATGGTTGATTCAACTACTGTATCTTCAACTGAAATAGACAGAGTTTTTTCTCCTACAAAGATTATCACCACTACAAAAAGATATATAAATCACAACCACAGTGACAATGGTTTTAATTTCACAGTTTATGTAATTATACCCATAGCAGTTTTGCTATTTCTGGTGTTTTTATTTCTTCTGGTAAGTATTTCTCTGATGTTTGATACAATTGTGAACTTTACTAACACAGCTTTTAAGCTGATACTTTATACCAAAATTATACTAGTTCTGTGGGTTCTGACACAGGTTGGAAAGTGGGGAAAGGGGGGAGGGGGAATGGGAAAATTTAACATTCATAGCAAAATTTTTTGGAAAAAGCTCTATTGTTTTGCAAAGCAACATGGCCCCCCAGCCACCCTTCATCCGAGGCCCGAGTTCTAAATGTTTATCAGAGGTAGTAATATTTCAGGAAATGGGTTGGTTCAAAAATGTTATGTAAGAAAACAAGATTTTTTCTTTCGAATTTTACATGCTGTTTAAAAATAATAGTTGAAATATATGATAGCTTATTTTCATAGCATTATGACAAGAACTATTGCATACCTATCAGTAGCTTAGAAAGGGATGGTGGGGGGGGGGGGGGCAACTTGATCATCAAAAGTGCAGAAAGTTGGTGTTTCAGAAAAAGACAAAAACTGGTGACTCCCTCTCGGTAGAAATGCTCCAATCATTTTGACACTGGAAACCAGTTCATAAACAGTCCGAATGTAGAGCAACTGGAACAACGATACCACAGAGAGTAAGGGGACAAGTCTGTTATTACTACAAATTGAATGGTGTCAGAATTTACTCCCTTAAAGTCAGAATCATTCTTGTAATATTTTATATATGATAAATTATGGTGATTTAATTAAACAGAATATTCAAAAATTTTATGAACCCTCTTCTGTACTGGGAAAAATCTTAATTTTCTATTAGTAGGGTCATGAACCCCATTAAATTTTCTCCTCATTACCTAGTTGCCAAATAATTCTTTGCTTGTGTTTTTTATTTTAGATATTCCTAGTACGACGAAAAATGAGGTATGGTATCCAGTTAGTTTTGTCTGTAAATTTTTACTAACTTTAATGTATGTTAATCTCTCTGTGACCAAATCTAAGCATGATTGTTCCTGGTCTAGGCACTAAAGCACGATTTAAAGTTTAGCCACCGGACTAAGGCACGTAGAATGGTTCGATTCCTGTGTTGGTTGAAAAGAGTGGTGGATCTGGGTTTCAACAGCTAGACGATTTGGTTAATCAGTAATTTATATTATGACCGGTTTAATGTATTGGAAGGAAAACTGAAACCAATGTTTAATCCCGTCAAAACTGAATTATAATGGAAAGGCTGGGTCAGGTCAGGACTGTAAGGATAGATATTGTGTTTCTCTGAAGTGTAGACAATATGTGTCATTTATCAAGGTTGCAGTAGGAGTTTTTATATTTTTGGAAGTTGGGGTGGGGGATGGGGGTTAATCTGCAAAGTAGCAAAACATTCAAGATTTTCTGAGAAATCTTCCCCCCCCTCCGGCCGCCGCCGTTTCTTCTTATGTATTTATCAATCTTAGAGTTTATTTTTTGCTTTTGCACTTAAGTTTCAATATTAGTACCATGTAAATCGAAAAATTTGGAAAATTGCATGATATCATTAGCAGTTTTGCTTTCTGGTATAATTGGCAAAGTGGCAATTACTACCAGTTCCCTGTGAAAAGCAAAGCAGAAACAACCGTTACGAGCTGTTTTTACGATAGTTGGGGATTACAATTTACAGGAATTAAAAAAATACATGCACATCCAGCCAACCAGGGCCCCAGACTCGAAAAATTGTTGCTCTTCCGCATATTTTTTTCTTTGCTGTGTATCTTGATATAAATTGAAGATATTGACATGGGTGGTTAAAATGCATCACTGCCACGCTCTGATTTTGCTAGGCCTTTTATTTTGCTAGCCACTCCTCACGAAAGGCTGCTCATGATCATGAAGCTCGTTTATAGTTTTATTGAGCTCCAACACACAGTTTCAAATCATTTGGCAGATCAGATCCATTTGTCAGAGTAATCACCGACTTGGTAAACCAGGAATGTTTCCATTTCAGGTGCTTTGTCGGTGAAATATCATACTTGTCGGGGAATAAATGATGACTCACTTATTTTGTTCTCAAATGGAGCCTGAACACTCCGCTTGAGCACAAAGCTAGCGATTGCATTTATTTCACCCTAATGATTCAAGGACAAATTAAAAACAACCCAGCCTCAAAGTTTTGGAAAAATTGAAAACAGCCAGCCTGAACTTCAATTTTACTGTTCTTAGAAGAATAAGCGTGTAATCAAATGAATTGCCATTAATTTCTAGAACCAAACTTTCGCGTTTAGATCAAGTAAAGGTGTCCGTTTTTGCATTTTTTGATCTTTTTAAATATCAAACATTTTTTGATCTTTTTAAATATCAAACATTTCGTACGATTGCGAAAACCAGAGGTAAAATCGTTCCAGGAAAAACTTTATGCCAACACTCTAAGTACATGATAGGCCACTTTGCCTTCTCAACTCTCAGTGAAAACAAGCGCGTTCAGTAGACTCCTGTTATAGTCACACCAAACTTCCTTACAAGCTTTGCATATTTGGTTCTAAATTGCCTATGACTGTAGCCAGCAATGTGACTTAAGGGGAATCAACTTTACAGTAAAACCAACGTTGCTTGAAAGTTTGTGACTGTAAACAGAATGTGACTGTAAGCGGAGCTTAATTGAATAGTTTTGTGTATTTGGTTCTAAATTTATTTGACTGTAACGTGTAGTGTTACTTTAAGCGGAGTGACGACTATAAGCAGAGTCGACTGTACAAGCAGAAGTGAAGTTAAAAGTGTCCAAGATAGCTTAAATTGCACAATATGCTGCCTTTTTTAGTGTACACATGATGATATAATGATATTTTTTATCAGATTTGTAAGACGTTATTTTAAGTGACTGATATTGACGAAGTCATTTTCAAAGGGTATTTTACTCCATGTAGGACAAGACGACTGCAGCGAGATTTCTCGCCTCATTATGGTTATGATCATAGCGAGGCAGAAGTATTCGATGGCTATACTCAGTTTGCTGATGGGATGGGTAGTCTCGAAAGAATGGCGCAAGAAAGAACTGGAGCCAAGGTAGAATTTCAGCCTTTTATGTTTCTCCCGACTATATGAAAATAATGAATAACCCTTGCAAACTAAACTGCTAGAAAGTAGAATATATTGCTACTTCAGAACTTTTTTCATTGATTTCATTGCTATGATTCAACTTTTGAAAATTAATTTCGAAGTTTTATCTTATTACCCATAAGGTAAAGCTGCCTCCTTAAGCAATTTCAGCATTATCACCTTAACTTTTTATGCTTCTGGCTCCGGAATAACTGGGATGGGTAGAAAATAATATGAAAGAATAAGCGGAATGGGTGAAAAATTCCCAAATCCCAATAAATGTTTGGAATAGCCATAGTGAGATATGTATGATAGCTACTAAATATTATTAAAGGGTGAATGGCTAGCAGTCCCTTTAAAGTCGAAGCAGAAGGAATATAAACACAAAACTTTTTTCTTTAAAAAGAAAGGCAACATATTTATAACATAACAGTACAATAACAACATTCATTTGTAGTAGTTTGTTTACTCCTTCTTTTTGTTCTCAATCTTCTTTACCCTACGACTAGCTTGTTTGTATACACCTTTGCAGTTCTCAATACACGAAGATGAAAAATGATAAACAAGTGGTACGGAATAAGGATGTCTTTAGATTATTTTCAAAAAAGAACTAACAAGCGCGGGGGGGGGGGGCATCTATCTTGGAAGCTATAGTTGTCACCTTAGCTAACTGTTTTATATCCTGGATGGTTTATGATTTCCCCCGGAATCATAATGATTTCCCCCGGAATATCCGGATGGTTCATCATTTCACCCGAAATTCAGCGAGAAAACCCAATAGTGTTCGTTTTTTAGTTATTTTATATTATAGCTAGTTTTAGTGGTGGCGCCAGAAATCTTCTGACAGAGGGGTTGGAGCTTCCGACAGGGGGGCTAAAATGACTAAAATAAACAGTTTTCGTACGCTATTTTGTCCAATTTGCTCCGACAATGACCTAAAATTTTCTCCGATGGGGGGGGGGGGGGGGGCTAGATGCTTCCAGGGGAGGGGCTGTAGCCCCCCTAGCCCTCCCCTGGCGCCACCACTGGCTAGTTTTCCAGCTGAAGTAAAGCAGGAATCCTCTTTGCAAACATTAAAAATTGACGTATGTAATTCTGTTGCAGTATATGGAGAACCCCCTTTAAACCAGCCTTTGCTGAAGGACAACCCTCCTTAAATTAGCTGCAATTGAAAAAAAGAAATAAAAACGTTTTCTAAACATCGTATAATATGGTTGGTATAACATGATCTGAACAATTTTCACTGCACTTTGCCTTCTGAGTATGGAAATTTTGATTAAATACTTGTAAAGAGAACTGATCAAAAAGTGGTTATGTAGGCTCATCTGTGTGGTATATCTAAAGCCCCTTTCCTAAGATCTTCGTAGCTTTTCTGTCATATGGCTATATGCAAAAAGTAAGTTTTTCTGAGAATGGATTAATACAATGGGATTAAAGCTCCAAAACTGATGTTTTTCATGACTGTAAGGAAACAATTGTTAAGGGTTCGCCTTTGTATAAACCTCAGTGCATTTGAATTTTGCAATGGAACTCAATGACACGACGTTTAGTGGAAATACGGAAGCCAAAATTTCATTCAGTGTGGTCTTGGTCTTCCCGCTTCTAAATCGTGGCAGCAAGTGTTGGTTTCGATCATTTGCTGTATAACCAAAGATTTTTGAGAAGCTTCTTTACCTCATCGAATTTTGTGCTCGGTAGCAAACTTGTCTCGTTGTAACTTGAGACAGTCTGATGGAGAGTTTACTGGGTATTCTTTTCTAGGCCTTCAGAGGGGATGAATTAGAGGAGGTAGCTCTTTAAAAATGTTACTGGATAACTAAATGACGTAACAAGGTTATTTGCACACCAAATACGCTATAGAAAAGCATTTTGTTTAGTGTATCTAGAAACCACCTTAAAGAATACAGTTTTCAAAGTCTTCTAATATTTAAACTCGGCTGCATCTCAACGAAATAACCGTTTTTCTCCATGGTAGACTGCCTCGTTCATTACCTGAAATTGCGCCTGTTGTCTGTCTTATCCCTCCATTTAACCGACAGCACTAATACCGCTACACTGGGTGCCAGAGCCTCAGAGAGTCAAAGGATGAAGAACGGGGGAAGGAATTGCGAAGGAGGATGGAACCCCTTTCCTCTTCCATTCTCCTTCGCATTTCCTTTCCCCCGTTCTTCATCCTTTGACTCTCTGAGGCTCTGGCACCCAGGGTATAATACCGCCTTCTCTTTGTACTCATATCTAGCAATGAGTAAAACCGTCTTAATGATGTATTTTTGATTTTGCAGATGCTCAGTCCAGATCGAAGTGAAAAATCATTGGAGTCAGTGGAAGTCTCCACGATCTCTAGCACAGACAGTAAACCAGCTGGGACCTCTTCTCCAAAGAAATTTGTAAATAGCCTTTACATATGAATATTGAACTGTAATATGAATATTTTCACGCTTTTAAAGAGGACAGACCCTTCTACTTCTGCTCCTCTGGATTTGCTTTAGAACCTATTTTTACACTTAGTTTTAAGTTTTAAGAAGTTTTGAAAAACGTAAACCCTCACTTAAGAAGCTTGAAATGATTTTAAATAGTTTAAAGGCAGAGAAGCTAGAATCAAATGTTTTAAGCACTAATTATCACCAATTTACAAAACATTTTCGCTTTTCAGCCTTTCAAAAAAACAATATTAGGCTGCTTCTTCGATTCTGGTTGAAACGTCACACAGTATTTCCTACATTGACCAATCAATAGATATTAAATTCGACAAGGCACCTTTGAAGCAACTAAAATAAAATGAAATATTGTTAAAAATACTCAATAAAACAAGTTGCATATTTTCTTGTATTATGAAGAATTATTATCATTGCCGGGAAATTATGTAAATCTGTAAAGCCGCTTAATACAATTTTGAACCTATACGTCTTCGTTCATAAATCGAATTTACAAATGCAGCATAGCTATCGGGGTTTTGTTGTTTCTTTCTCCACCGATGTTGAATTTGTCTATCTTAATTATTGCCAAGTGATATTTCACGGTAAATAATGGCGAAATGATGATATCATAAAAACATAACTGATAAAATAATTGTAACAGTATGGTAGTATATAATATAATGCTATTTTGCATGTTTGAACTTCCTAAGCAACAATGTGCTGTTATCAACGAATGATATTATACGATAATGCGCTATCCATTTACAAGGTTTTTTCAAAGTGCTACTTAAAATTACAATAATACGCATAAAAATTTCCTTTAAAATTTAACTTACAAAGGGCTGTGTCTGAATATAGTTTGATTTTGATATTTTCAAACATCTTATTATTATTCTCTTATCAATATCACAATAGCTGAGGTCATGCTCAGAAATAGCGCCATAAATATTACTAAGAGCGCATTTTTCCAAATTTCAAACATAACTGTGCTTAATGTTACTTTTAAAGAGGAAGAATTCGCCAACCTGTCCAAGGAACAGTGGAAACCATTCTTAGGTAAAAGTTTATCAAAAAGACAGAAAATAATATTATTAATAGTAACAAGATGACTAAACTAAGGTTTATTAAAAAAGGTAGGTTTGCTAAGAATCTCAGCTATCTATATCCCAATTCCAACTGAAAAACTCCATGCTGATAGTACTATTTCAAGCAGCGGACCCCTCACTAGCTATTGAGCTCAAAAGCAAAGCAAAAGGCCTGATAGAAATCGATAGATTGGTTGAACTTTTTCAAACTTAAATGGAAATTAGCCTGTGGTACTATACTGCACATGACGTCTTTCCTGGCAATTCTGTGTTTGTGGTAAAGTAACTGCTCCGAAACGAAGATTTGGCGAGATATATTATTATTATTATTATTATTATTATTGTTGTTATAAGGGGGATTTCCAGGTCCCATTTACGGCCAAGTTGGCGAGCCATCCTTTATTTTTCCGACAAGTTTGAGAATTTTCCGACTTAGCACTTCAAGATGGCAAAAAAACTCGTCGTTTTTGCAACGGAATTTTATGAAGGGGGTCTCATCTTTCAATTCCCCTTTGACGACGGTCCTGCCCGCAGCTAATCCCAACTTTCACTCTCGAGTTTAAACGACCTTCACAGTATTGCGATAAAAATCACCGGTTAGGCCGAGGTGCAAACCACTCTATAGAAATCTCGCACACTTTGGTAGAAATCCTATTGTTTTACCAGAAAATACATATAAATCCTTTTGCTTTGCTGGAAATCTCTTCCAATGTTTTCTGGAAATCTGTTTTGATTGCCCCTCAATTCAGTCTATATTCCTCACATCTTTTTTGCAGAATATTGATATGCAATCTATTCCTTTTTAGCCATTAATCACCCCATTATGATCCGTTATTTTACTGACCAATAATTCACCATTGTTTTAATCCCTTTTCTTTCGGCAAAATCAGTTCCTGTCGCACTATCTTACTTGATTTTGTAATATACTGTAATGTTTAGACAAGATCAACTCTGAAGCTAGGTGTTTGCAAATCAAGAACTTAAACAAAAGGCTAGATAAAACAAGAGTAAATATATTGCTCAAGAGGAGAATTGCTAAATAACCAGATGTCACGAAAGAAAATGACACAAGATGGAAAGAAAATGATTGGTAATGCTGAAAGTTTGTTAGTCCAAGGATGCCAGAAATTTTGACCAAGCTTCCCTTTTGCTCAGTTCTCTCTTTAAGCATAGAGCATGTATTTTTCACAAAAGAGTAACTTTCTCCCTAAGTACATTCCATCATTACCTTCTATACTTTTTTAAAAATACTTAATTGTCAATACCTCAGCACAGCCACGTCATTCAGTAAGCCATCAATTCCTTGTCGTTTTGACAGACCCACTTTGCTTGCCTGAGTTCAAGATCGTCGAAATGTTGTTTTAAACATAAACAACATAGCTTCAGAGCAAAATTGGTTAATAGCAGTCTCTAGAGGCGTACTTTGTGGGGTTGTGTGGATAAGCTGGAAGGTACTAACAATTAAGAGTGTCCTAAAGTTAAGTCAATAGAGATTTTCTTCTCCAAGCTAGCAAAAGCAAAGTGCCAGCCGTTAACGGAATATTGCTTTTATGGTACAGATTGACTGTTTGATTAATTAACTCCAAATTTAAACTTAAATTTAATCTATGTCTCAATAAATTTCATTTAAACTAAAACATATTTTCCTGGCGCCACAACCTTTTTAAAGTCAAAAGAGATCAGACATTTCAACCTGAAAATGGCTTTGAAAATGCCAACATCTCACAACATACTACTCGTTTAGTAAGATTTTGTGAAATGTTTGCTTTTTTCAAAACCATTTTCAAGTTCTGTACTGCCACAAAATTGTTCACACCTCAACCTTCCGAAGCGGGGGTTGTTATTCTGTAGTATATAAGAACATAAGCTACAAGCTTCACAATGTTTTGCACGAATGAATAAGACGGCGAGTTTAAATTTATCGCCTGAACAGCTAGGCCTTATAGACGCTGCTTATTATCAGTTAACATGGTATCGTGTTTTTATAAATGTTCTCATCATATTAAGAAAAAATCAATACACCATCTTGGCTGATTATTTAGGGTAATCAGTCTCTTAAACCCTTTCTCATACTCCCTTCCTCATACCCTAAGCTATTCCCTCTGTAATAATTCAAGCGGTGGGGAGTAATAGCGGTTGCAGTTCCAATCTGCAAAATATGAGAATATTTGTTAACTATATGAGGATAGAATATTTGTTAACTTTAATATTTTGTAAAGAAAGAGGAAGAAGTATATTTGGGTTTCAGTTTGAACAGGAGTGTTGAATATCGTGGCATTTTGGTGAAAATGTTTTCATGTCATTAGCTTAACTTAGTTGAACGGTGACATGAGTAATTTTTGTAGAAAATGTCAAACGATGAAAGTCAAGGTTAATGAAGGAAATTAGAATTAAGTTTGAATTTCCAATTCTGAGAATGGAAAAAAATCAGCATTCTCTTTTTTGTCACCCAGCTTTGAATTGGATGGTTGTAACTTATTATAAAGAATAACACCATCTCTCTGTATTCAGGTCGGGGGCGTTATGATGATCAATTTCTAAGGGGACCAAAGAAGCTAATCTATTTCCTACATATTTTCTTATAATTCTTTATGAGCAAAACAGTTTACTTTCAATGTAAGCCTATTGTTATAAAAACTTTCCAGGATAATTTTCAGACTAATTCGACAAATTTCAGAAGATGGGATGATAGCCCCCCCTTCCTTCTGGTCACATATTCAAATACTGGGGCGGGTACCATATTCAAACCATGATTCAAACAACTTGTCACATGACCTTGTATGCCATGTTGACATGTGACTGAGTTAGACGCATGCGTAGATCATTATGTTGGCTGGCAACTCAACGATTGCATTGGATAATGGCGGTCGAGATGAAGGAAGGAGAGTCGACTATTATCGATTGTTTTGCTTATTTTATCAATCCAGGATGAAATAAAGCTGACATACAAAACACAGCTGAACTTCAAAGATTATTAAAAGTTAGTTCATCGTATATTAAGCGTTCGGTAGCAGTTCTGATAGCTGTATTATCACTGTCTATATTCTCTCACAGTGAAAGGAGGCTTGTACAGTTCCAGTTGGTTTATGATCGTTAGTACTTCACCATCATCTCGCAAGCAAGTTGGAAAAATTGAACAAACAATCTAAGTACAACTGTCATAAATACTGGTAATAAGTTATGTAGATATTTTGTTGGAAACTGCTCGAAACTGTCTATTTTTTCAAGATTTTTTCCACACGTGTCAGGCCAGCCAAACTTTTGCGGACTTACAGTCACCGACGTTTAACTTGTATTCCTTATTATCAAGCTTCGCATTAAAGACACTTAAAGGGCTCTTTCTGTTGGAAAAGTCTGCAGATCAAGCACATTTTTAAGTAGAAAGTATAACAAAGCAAACTGAACTACGACTGTTTTAGGCCGTAGTTGATTTCGTGCTTTCTTCGATTGAACTTTAATGGCGCCCGTGGACATTGAGCGGTGCTAGTGAATCCGTTTGTGTTCAAACCTCGGAAAGTTTCAAGGTATGTTGAGTGTTTGTGTTTATTGTTACTGTTATTCTTTCTGTATTTTACTGAAAGCGGTAAATTCTTCACGGTAATGCGATGACTCAGAAATTAGTGGCGAAGTTTTATGATCAATCGGACAGAAACTACGGCTTTATAGTTTCCCATTATGTTTTTCTTATCGAGCTATTTTAAATTTGATCTTGATTTCCGTCAATCATCCTGTTTGAAATATCGTTTATATCTTCACTTTTACAGCTCTGCTGCAACTTTTGAGTAGTTCCGCTCCAAAAACCAAATTGGCAAGGTCCCTGAAAGTTAATGGGAGTATCATCAAATTCTTGAGAATCAGAGTAAAACTGGCTTTTCCAAGGCAAAACAACTTTATTTGCAAGTTTGATGACTTTTAAATGGCAGTTTCACTAATTAAAGTCGCACCCTCTTGAAGAAACGGAAAGGAATTAACATAGAGTTAATAGACCCTTTCCGGGTAAACGCGTCCATTTTGAACAGGTGGCAAGTTGGACTTTGACCCTTTCAGTTTGCTTTGAAAAGTCAATGGTGGAAGTCGCACGCTGTCTATTCTTACGCAAAGGTAAGTCTTCTGTGAGACGATATTAAATATCTTTCCTAAAAAATGATCACAAATTCGTTTTTTAAGGATTTCTGTGTTGTTACTTGTAAGAATTACCTTTGTTTGGGAAGTTTTAGGGTTATATATCAGGGATAAAAATATTCGTGTCTTAGGCCTAGGCCATAAGGCGATGTCCAAATTTGGTGTACTTAGGGAGCTTCGAGTTTTAATACCTGGCGTTATTTTTCTTAAACATACTAGAATTTTGGATTATTTGTATGATCCTTCACTGTATAATAAGACAGATATTTTTTATATTTTAATCTTCCTTGTAGTTTCAAATTATTCATCAAACAATTCTGAAGATTATGGGAAATGACAGGTGCTGTGTTGGCCCTTGTGATAATGATAGGAGGTACCCTGACAGGAACATAATTTTTAGTCATGTTTCACATTTGCAATGGCATCGTTTCCCTGCAAATGAATTGAAACGAAAAGTGTGGATAAAATGTGTTGAAAGAGGAAGAGCAAACTTTTGTCCTGGCAGTGAAACAACCGTCTGCTCCAACCATTTTATAGATGGAAAACCAACAACTCGCAACCCCTTTCCAACGATGTACATGACACTTGCAGATATGAGAAAAGCCAACAGTCAAGATCAACCTGCATCTGTGAAAAGAAAGAGTCCAAGGAAAAGATGTGCTGCAACTGATACTGATAAGCAGTCAATGGTTAAAAAGAATGTTGCTGAAGATGACAATGATGCTTCTACCCCTACTGTGCATGTTTCCATGAAATTTGAATTTTTAACAAGAGAAGCTGATGTCAGATTTTATACAGGATTTCATTCCTGTGAAACCTTCAAAGTGATCTTCGACCATGTGGCCCCAAAAGCACATGTTATGCTGTACTGGGAGGGACCAAAGAACTCAAACATTGATACACCAACAACAGGATATAAGCATCGCATTGACACAGTCTTATTGGGAGCGAATTTGCCAAAAATAATTCCACCAATCAATAGGAAAGGTCCAGCAAGGAAGTTATCATTAGAACAGGAGTTTCTAATGACAATGGTTCGCTTGCGACTAGGCCTATTTCACGAAGATCTGGCCTGGAGATTCTGTGTTTCCTCTTCAAGAGTGACTCAGATCATAGCAACATGGATAAAGCTTTTGTCCAAAGAATTAAGCTGCCTGATTATTTGGCCTTCTAAAGGTCAAATTCATGCAACTATGCCAGATTCTTTTAAAAGATTGTATCCAAAAACGCGAGGAATCATTGATTGTACCGAGATTTTTGTTGAAACACCAAGTTCATTAGAGGTGCAAGCACTGCTTTGGAGTGAGTACAAGCATCATACAACATTCAAAGTTTTGGTATGCATAACACCAAATGGGGCAATTTCGTGGATTTCCCCTGCATATGGTGGAAGAGCATCAGACAAATTTATTGTCAATGATAGTGGGTTTTTGGACTTACTGGAGCCCTTTGATTGTGTTATGGCAGATAGGGGTTTCAAAATAAAGGAACTTTTACTGATGAAACGTTGCACTCTTGCCATTCCACCTACAGCTGCCAAAGGAAATCAAATGACAGAACAGGATATCAAAGAAACAAAACGTATTGCAAATGTAAGAATATATGTTGAACAGGCCATAAAAAGGATCAAAGACTTCAATATTCTGAATGTATGTTTGCCACTGACAGAACTTCCATTATTTAATGACTATATTATATGTTGCTGTGCATTTGTTAATCTTTTAAAGCCACTTTGTGAATAAAATCTAAATTAGTCAATTGGGGCAAATTAAAAATGATGTCACAAAATTTTTTGGATATATTATAACCCTTTTCCCCTTAATATGAGTGTCACAAAAAAAATGACTTCCATTTTATGCAACAAACTCTAGTTTTTAAAAATCAGTAGACTTAGCAGCAAATACGAAGATCAAAATTTTTGTTGTGGTGGGGATAAGCTTGAGGGTAGTACAAATAGTAGTACTGCTATAAAACAGCATTCTGCAGACAAAACAGATTTGATGTACCCCTCCCCTCACCTCCCCTCCTGTGACATTTTATTTGCAGGGCCCCAAAACAAGACATCATGCTTAAATATTTTGAGGAATGTCAATTAAACAGTTACAACATAGCCAGTTAATTTCTTTGTCAATGTGGATAATTGATTGACATTTGTAGTGGTACCAACTGCTACATTGATCACAACAAATAGATTTTTCATTAGCTTCATCTTCTGCTATTTCATCTTTTGTTAGAAGGACTTTTTCACAATCAGCACAAAACTTTACTGGTTTGATTGCAAGCAGAGCTTTTGCAACATACTGTTGGAAGAAGATTTGTAAATTTGTGTACACCTTGTTCCAATGTACTTTATCAATCACAATGGTCTCAATGAAAATGTCTTTCTTTGTCCAGACAACAAAAAATCCTTGCAGGGAATCACTGAGCATGATTTGGGAAATAATCTGTGTGTAATATTTGTGAGATTTCTTTAAAGTTATTTTATTATCAATAACTGTTAGGAAGTTACATTTTGCAACACCAGCCTGAATGGTTTCCTCTTTGATGTTGTATGGGCACTTAATTTCTATTACACTTTTTTGATGACACTTGCAATACATGATTCCATCTGGGGATGCACCAATATATGGATGAGTTCTATCAACATACAATCCACAGCTTTGAAGTTTAAAATCCTGATGTTTGCACGCCTCGACAGAATAAAACAACTTCAGTGCATTTTGCTCTTGCTCTTGTCCCCACTGTATTGCCGGAATAGAGTTAAGTGTCTTATCTCTGTAAATGAGCTTTGCAATTAAGGGTGTCACTTTTGGCAAAGGGGGTACCCTTTTTCTTGCAATAGAATTCACTTTAGTAAAGACCTCATGATGGACAGAAGCTGTAATCCGTCCCTTTCTTGCATTTACCCATGCTTTAGAATCAGCTTGACCACGAGTAGATATTTCAATCCTCCTTTTTTCATTTTCAGTGATGTTGAGCTCTTTGTAAAATTCTCTTTGTTTTTCCTCATCAGTTTTGTCTTCACACCTACTTATTACCTTGCTTGCAATTGTTAACATGTCATGTGTCGCATTACTTGCATTCTCTGTGCCTTCAATTGATTTAAAAAGAACAGCATTTTGATTTGTTCTCCAAAGATCCTGAAGAAGGCTTGATACATCTTCATCTGTTTTCTTGCAATGAGCAGGCCGCCGTGGATCAAATTTCTGCAAAGCTTCCAAACGTCTTTCTTCTCGTACAATTTCATTTTCTTTAACTTTTGTTCTGCTTTTTTTCCTTACCACGATCTCTGTTATTCTTCTAGGTACAATTTCCTTCTTTGTTGACTGGTTCCATTTGCAAGGCATGGATGTGCATGCCAGGTCATTATATCCATGATTTGTGGCATACTCTACCTTATAAAGTGTAGCAATTACATGATTGCAGCATGCACTGCTACCAGCCATGCAAGAGCACCAGCTAGTGATGATTGTATCATCTTTGGTGGCAATCCATAATTCTTTTGATTCGTGTACTGCCATTGAGGCTCTGACATCACAGTAGAGAAACTTAACATTTGTGCTAGGCTCATAAATTAAAATCTCCCCAACAAATCCACTGTCAAAATAGCTATAGGCCTTCTGATCTTTATATTTCCCTATATAGTCAGAATCAAAATCCCTGGTGCTAAGGATACATTGAAAGATATTTCCCAGATTTACTTTAGGCCATAGCATTATGTTGTCAATCCTTTTCTCTTTCCCAATACTTAATGGGTCAGGCAGTCCCAATTCTTTTAATTTGCTTTCATAATCCTTCTTTAGAGTTGATGTTTGCTCTTCACTGGACATTATGATAGGCAAATTCATCTCTGAAGCAGAGAAGGCCCTTGCAACAAGTTCCACTTTGCTATAACCAGATGACGGTATTCCACGAACTGACAGAAAGCTTCTTAATGCTACAACACTGAGTGACAAAAAGTCATCGTACGATCTGGTATTTGACATTCTGAAAAAGAATTTTTAAAAATTAGATAAATCATTGGACTTAGTTTATGGAAATATCTTTAAGTTTTTTTAAGAAAAATAACGCCAGATATTAAAGCTCGAAGCTCCATAAGTACATCAAATTCGGACATCGCCTTATGGCCTAGGCCTAAGACACGAATATTTTTATCCCTGATATATCACGCTAAAACTTGCCAAACAAAGGTAATTCTTACAAGTAACAACACAGAAATCCTTAAAAAACGAATTTCTGATTATTTTTTAGGAAAGATATTTAATATCGTCTCACAGAAGACTTACCTTTGCGTAAGAATAGACAGCGTGCGACTTCCGCCATTGACTTTTCAAAGCAAACTGAAAGGGCCAAAGTCCAACTTGCCACCTGTTCAAAATGGACGCGTTTACCCGGAAAGGGTCTATTTGGACACATTAATGTAAAATTTTGTAGTTTGTTTACCCCTTTCGAAACAGCAAAGTAGGGATGAATTTTTCAAAAGTGTTTTACGCGCCATCATGATAAGCCAATGATTAATTCTCGGTGAATTCTGTTTGTTTTGAAATCTAGCTCTTGTAGTGTGCGAGTACTCTGAAAGCGATTCAACTTTGTTGTTATTTTCGTTATGTTTGAATTCTTGTTTTACTGGTGGGTTGTCTGCCATAATTGGCTATCCTAGTATGTATTCTTCGGTAATGTCGCAATGTTCCGACTTCAATTGATACTTTAATTTGTAGTTCATTGGAGAAAGGGCCTAGCCAGTTTCAAGAGAGGGATGAATTTGCGACGACACTTGTTCTCAAGACCTGTTGAAATTAACGTTAAATATTTTGAAGTACGCGGAATGATGTAACATGAAATATACGATGTATTTGTTTTGGAATACTAAATGATTGGTTTCCAAGGCGAATGTTTGATCTAAGTGTTGATTGAGGTTTTTGAAGTCATTTGATTCATCTCAAGTGTCAAATGTTTTGATACTAGATATAAATTACGCTCGACACTTCTCTGGAATTATTTTTGGTATCAAACACAGCCAGTTTGTCATGTAGTATTGCAGATTGAAAGTACAATTTTGAGTTACTTAGATGCGAACTTCTTTAAAGATTTATCTCCGAAGAGATCGAGATGCCACCAGTTTCGAGGCCGTGATCAGTTGTGAACATGCAATATTGCTCGATCACAAAGGCGCGGAGGGCGGACGAAGGACCAGTTGGTCTTGTCCTGTTGTTTTGAACATCGTAGTCACTCGAGTTTTGACTCAAGCAATGCCCTTTCGAATCCTTTTGCTGTAGACTTATAAATGCCGACAAAAATCTAAGATTATTTTTGCTAGGACTTGGAAAGGAATCGGTCGTAATGTCAAAGCATGATCTAGGTCGACGCCTTGATGATTTTTCAGCGCAGCTGTTACTCAAGCCAGGTTGAAGTTCGTAGCCTCCCCTATCCGAATTATTGTAAATCACAATAGCACCAAATGCAATGTTTTGAAGGGGCCCCGACCAGTCACTAGCGAGGTCAAGTGTTTTGTTTCGCCTCACTTCACACGCCCTCTTCAGCCATCTCTTATTTTTCGTCGTTTTGTTCGTGGAAAATGTGTTTTTGTAGATACGGTCGGCTTTTCAAGCGTCGTGCTGTGAAAAACCACCATTCCATGATGTTTCACCGACTGTTCACCGCAAATTTCGCTTGTCATAGACAAGTTATCTCGATCAAATTACAACATTCACAATTGATTTTTCGCTTGGTGCACACCCATAGATCGCAATGACACGGTCGATTACAGTACCAAAAAGAGGCTCGCGTACAATGGCGGTGTCCCTAATAATATCTTGACTAGTTGCCACCGTACGTTTGGTTCTTTTGAATGTTTGGTCAAGGGAGCGAATAGTTTCAGGCTTCTAATTGTTCTGTCTTGCGAAACAATTGTCACAATTTAGCAATAAATTATTGATAAGACTTTGATAACTTAAATACTAGAGATACTTCAGCCTTAGGCCTATTGTTTCTCTTGTTTCTATTGTCCTTTCACTCTTGATCTAAAATGACAAATGGAGCGATGAGTAAAATTTGCATGAATAGGCTGTCTTTATTAGCTATAAGTCTATTTAAGATATCGCTTTATATGAATAGGGTGTCTTTATTAGCTATAAGTCTATTTAAGATATAGCTTTATACATTAACTACTTGTAAGTTATGTTTGAAAATTCTTTTTTAGGATTTTGTTAGGCAAAACTATGATGAACCATTTAAGAGGTACCAGATTGCTGTTAGATTTGGTTTGTTTGTGCCGATTTGCATAAATGCCAGTTCCAAAACAAATAAAGTTGATGATGAATAGTTTGAAAAGTGCTGAGTTGATTAGAGAGCTGAAAGCTGAGACTGAAAAGCTTGTTGAAACAAACAGGTAAACTCCAATTTCATTTTCTTTCAAAGAAAAAAACATGCCAGTGTTCTATTGTTCTTACAAGTTGTTTTTGTTAAAGCTTACTTCTTCTTTAAAGGTGAATATTGATATCAAGCAGAACTTTTTAGTTTCTTTTTAATAGTTTTTTCACTCAAAAGCATGAATAAAAAATGTCCAACTATGTATAACATCTTTTAATCACATTCAAAATTTCAGTGAAGCCAAAATAAGTTGGCATTGTGTAGAATTTGAATATATTAATTCCTCCCTGGCCCTATGCTGTCTGTTTGTGATCCACCAAGTATGTGAAATTAAGTAACAAATAAAATGAGCAGTCAGGGCCTGGAACAACTGGGAAGCAAGAGGGCCATTTCCCTCTATTTTTTAAAGAACAGTACAACCCCTTTTGCAAACCTTTTGTTTTGGGTATTTAAGATGCCCTTAGTCCCCTAATTTTCCAATATGCATCAGCATCCTTGATTTTGACTTGATTTTAAAGGCAGTCTGTCCCCTATTATGCTCAACTTTATTTTCACGGGAGTGAAATTCACGCACCGTTGAGCTTGATCGATAATTGAACGACTTAAACCAATCAGAAACAACTTTGATTCCAGAGCTTTTGAATCACATGCCTGTGTTCCCGTTGTAGTAAAGCTGTGACTAGAAAAATATGGCTCCCTGTTTGGTTTCTTTGACAAATATGTCAACAGTGAAAGAAAATGCTTCCATTATCATCATTCAATTCCAATAATTAAATCTTCTTGCCATTCCCGATAGCTTTTTGCTCTCAGTTTCAAATGACATTCACTACTGCAGCTGGGCCAGCCAAAGCAAGCATCGTAATCTGTTAACCGTTAAGGCGGGAATACCTATTGTTCATATTAGCCAATCATTTAGGGGACAGACTGCCTTTAAGATCAATTTATTTGTACTTTGTTTTATGATAATGCAATATGCTTAGGCTCCACCCAATCTTAGTTTTTGTAGGTTATGTAGAATTTTGCATCATGTCTTCCACAGCTCCATTATAGCATTAAAAAGCCAATTGAATTTTTATTCCTTGGGGATGTGCTGCAGTCACAATTGATTCGAGTTCTCCATTTCTTGTCATAAGGTTTTATTTCTCAGTGTGCAAGCAGAAATTTTCTTACATATATATTTAGTATGGCATGCTATTTCTTCCTTCTGCATTGAAGCTCCCCAATTTTCCAATTTCCTTCTGCAACAAGCAGTGTCATACAATGGATATTTTTCTAAGTTTTGTAAAGCCATTTTCAAAGGATTTATTGTTCTTTGTTTATTTTGTTTTATCTATGCACCATTGTTTTTAAACTTTGATGACAAATTCTCATAGTTCATAGGAATTTCAATTGAAATTGAAAATTCTTGAACTGAAAAGAATGTTTTTATGTATTTATAAACCACATATCAATAGTTTGTTTAGGAGCTTATGTTGTCATGTTTTTAAAATATTCCTGTTTTTTCAAGCTAAGTTGTTTTTGAACACATCAATGGGACTTTCTTTTACAGTATGGTTATGAGGCCAGAGAGTGACTTACATGACATTGTTAATCTGGATGGTGGCTACAATTATGATAGTAAATTGAATAATTTGTCATCTCTGAGGCGAAATGTTATTCCATACCCGGTAAGTAGTTGTCTTGTTATTTTAGGAAAATTTAATCTAGAATTTTGCTTATAGTTTATGAAAATGGCTTTGAAAAAAGCAAACATTTTACGACATACTAGAAGCTTTTTCGTCTGACACTCCTCAGAGCATAAAACTTGCGGCACTGATTGGTCAACTATACCGGTCTTGTGCTTGCGTTTTTCTGATTGGCCTATTTCAATCCACAACTAGGTATATATTTTCCATTGTGTTCTTTCGGAACCTTATTCTGACATTTTATGCTCTGAGGAGTGTCAGACGAAAAAGCTTTTAGTATGTCGTAAAATGTTTGCTTTTTTCAAAGCCATTTTCAAATTCTGAACCGCAAAAAAATTGTTCTTATAGTTTATGTAGACAGATATATGGGGAATGAAATAGTTCTGTCACTTAAAAGGCAGTTGCTGGTAACCAATGGGGCTTTTAAAGGATGAAACTTTATCAATTGGTTAAGGTAACTAATAATTACCTTAGTAGCAATGTTTTGCAATGTTTTTAAAGGCATGATGTCATCAATCATCTTCATAAATTGTTAATCATTTATCTTTGTTACCCACATCATAATCACCATGGCCATCAACACAGTAATCATAAGTCACCCGTCATTAATCATGATCAAATATTATTAGGGCTGCAGTTGCTCTGTGAATAACTTTAAATATATATATAATCATAAGACAAATGCTGACAGGAGGAAGATTCTTTCCACAAACGTGCTGCCCAATTGTATCAAACCACTCTTGGTCGGAATCGAACTTCAGTTTGATGCTTCAAAAACCCCCTGCTCATTCCACTGAGCCAAACGGCCCAATGAAATGAGGGATGAATCTCCAAAGCCAACACTGGAGATCTCACTGTAGCCAAAGCAGTTTTAGTTTCTTCTGTTTTGGTTTAAAGCCTTCATCAGAGCCATTTAAACCATAGATATATAATCATAAGGCAAATGCTTACAGGAGGAAAATTCTTTCCACAAGGGTGCTGCCCAATTGTATCGAACCACTCTTGGTGGGAATCAAACTTATATATATATATATATAAGTTAAACTGGTAAAAGTTGGCTGTAGTAATAAACATAGCATGTTTTATATATAGGATCATAATTATGGTCAGCAACCACCTTTGACCCCACCGGAGCAAGCAAGTCCAGATCCAAATGAACAGACTGACACAGGAAATGAAGATGAGGATGAGGAAGGTGTAACAAGATGTATCTGGTGAGTTTTGTTTCTCTTTTTAGCTGTGTCCTGGCTTTTGACAAAATAGCAAATTGCAAATAAATTAGACTGGAATGAGGCAAACCTTTTCATGAAAATTTTTCATGGAGAGGAAAATTTCCAGTGTGTGAATGAAGAAAAGGCCACTGTAGCAGGCTGCTCGACGGGCTCAAAGGAGTTATTGCGGCAAAAAGTCGATAAAAATGTAGCAAATATGAAACACTGCAATACGCCCAGAATAAACAACAATAGATACACATAAATCAGTAAAGGCTAATATTTCGCCTCAGCATACGGGGCTTCACCAGAGAAAAAGTTAACGGACTAAAAATTTAAATATTAAAAAAAGGTGATGGTGGTATCGGATAATTCCATAATACGAATAATTCCAGTGCTGTTCAGCATTCAACAATGGCAACCTGTCCAACAATATGTCTTGTAGATAGCCATATAGAATATAGGGCCTCTTTGAGATAAAATGACATAAATTTTACCCCCAGTTTGTGAATGCTTATATTTCTAAGCTATGATTATCCTCAATTTTTAAAATGAATGTGTATATATATAATCAAGATTTAAGTTAAGTCCATAAAGGCAAAAAAATGCAACAATTGATCAAAAATATGTAATTTTGGTTTTATTTTCATTATATATAGAAGTTTGTTGTCAATGTTTAACTTTCACACTTCCTACTAAATTTTTCTTTTTAATCACTGTTATGTTAATGATTTATATATATAATTCAAGTGGTGAAGATTTATTTTCCTGCTTTTGGCTTTCTAAACAAGAGCTACTAGCATCAAATAACTGAAGCAGTTGTATCTTCCTATACAAGAACTGAATACATTTGATATTAAACTAAAAATGATTCGCCATGATATCATTGTCCTTTTTTCATACTGAGTGGTCTTGGAGCTTTATAAATTTTCTAACTGAAGCAGTTGTATTGTTGGGAATAGATTGTCATGAAGACTGATAACAAGTCTTGCAGAAAATCAGATGATTGTCACAAAGAATAATTTGGATTGTCATGAATTTTACTTTTACTTTAGACTGTAGCAAATCTGTGCAGGCTGTTAAGTTTTTGTTATTTTTGTTAGTTGTTTTTGCACCTGCTTCTATTTCTGATCTCTTCACATGTTGCTGCAGCCCCTTATTGTAATCTATGGCTGGAAGGAAATGAATTCCACAATACTGCAGTTTTCTGATGTAATTTTAACTGAATGCCTTCATTTACAGTGGTTTTGCACATGATGATGGATATATGATTTGTTGTGATCGTTGCGGGTAAGTGTTAAACAAATATTTTATCCATTCTTCTAATTTCTTATATTCAATCGTAAATAATTTGGGCAAATAAGTTCTTTTTATTTTTTTCCAGGTTATTTTCTAGCTCTTGTTATGTTTATTTGATTCATCACCATGATCCTTTCATCAAAATTTTTCTGACAATTATTATAATTCTGCTAAAATTATATCTTGTCTATGTATTGTAAACGATTTTCTGTGATACAAAGATTTAATTGAATCCAGGTCAATTATAGGTCATGTTTATTACTTACAATTATTTCTCAACATTTTGTTTGAAATTATAAGCTATAAAACTTGTCATGGTTCAATCCAGGTCTTGTAAACCTAAAGCATGCTTCCAACCTTGATTTTCAAACACAAAATGGCATCATAAACTGAATTTTTAATGCTTACTGTGGTACAAAATACCTTTTTTAATAAAAATGATCCTACATGAAGTAAACGACACTTGTGAGCCCGAGTTCTAATGCCTCTTATGTTTACAACAGTTGTTTGAAAGTCAAATTATTTGTTTATGTTGATTCGTTGAAGCAGCTGATGTTGAGAATTAAAGCACTTAAACGTGAAAGAAGGAAAAATTTTACTCCTGCAGCTGATTTAGAATGTCTAATGGTTTTAGTGAGCGGATAATCAGTGGGTGGATTTGTCTTTTTGTCGCTGTTCAGAAGTGACAGAATCAGGGTCAAAGTGGCATTTTCAAATTTGTCAAACCATAATTTAAATCTTTCACTTTGTAGTTTCTAAGCACCGTCTCAGCTTTTGTTTCTTCATAACAATAAAAAGTTTAAGTGAAGAATGATTGTATTGTTAAAGCCTACCATAAGGTTATTGCCCCCGCTTCTTTAAGCTGAAATTGCTGCCCTATTAAGCATGCATATACAGAGTCCAAAATGCGTGGTATTGCCAAAGCTGTTTTTCAACTGAAATGGAAGAGATCCTATCATTGCCTGTATCTGAAGAGTTAAAGGCAAAGGTGTTGCTAAGGAAACATTTAAATTGTCTTGCCATTACCCTGGGCAATTTTTCGCTTATCTAAAATTTAAAATCAACCATAGTTCAAAGAGCAAATAAAGTCTTCTGCTATACAAAAGTTTAGGATGATTCTCAAAAGAGAAGCATTAAGCATTATTGTGTACTTAAGGATATACAAGTAATTGATTTGCCAACACGTTGTAGGTCGTGGCAGCACATTGACTGCATGGGTATCAAATCTGATAGTGTGCCAGAGACATACCATTGCGATCGCTGCGAACCAAGGCAGCTGGATGTGGAAAGGGCAAGAGCAATTCAACAGAGAAAAAAGGATACGTTGACAGGTAAATTGTTTATCGTTTCCGTAAAGGTTTTTTTTATCCCCATATCTGGAGTTTCTTCCACGGACAAAAATGACCTCAGTTTTGTTGATATATTTTGTTTGATATTCTTCTTAGAAAACTACCCCCTTTTATTTTAAATTTTATGGCAGCATCTGTCTTGTAACAGGCCTACCGTTCAGATTTGACCGAGGGCTTGATGAAGTTTTTTTCTTTATAACCTCTACAAAAAAATTCCTGTACCTATCAATAGTTTGTGATATAAAATTATCACTACTGAGGTAATGTATCCTTTCTAAAAATATCTATATTGTGACAAACATTGTGTACAAATTCACTTTTCCTTCGATTGAAAGCATTATAATTGACCGCTGAAGGCAGCCTCGTATTGATATTTTGCTTGGGTTGGCTCTCCTAGCTTCACTTTTCTCCGTATCTTTAGTTGGTGTTCTTTTACCTTGTGGTTTTATGCTTGAGTTTTTCTTCATCGTCCTTTTTCTTGAAATATTAGCAATCATCAAGTCCGGAAATTAGAAGCGCTATGTAAAGCAAATCGCTTTGTAGAGCGATGGAGAATGCACTCCTTTATTATGCAATCTTATTGCTGTTTTTCTTTGTTGTTACTTAGTTTAAAAGGTAAATATTTGAAGCAGAAGTAACTGTGGATTATTGAACATTGAACACAATTTGCATTGAGCAAGACATCCGATTTCCTGTCTGGGCTTATATTTTGCAACTTCTTTTTTAGATGACGACGGGGACGAAGACACAGACACTGATGAGGAGTCGGGTCAGACTTACACAGCTGTGTCCAACACCCCAACAAGAATTACACTGACAGCAACCCCCGTGATCAAAAAGAGAGGCAAAAACCGCCTTAAAAGCACGGTACGTCTTCCATAGTTATTAAGGGACATACTTATCAGATGATTTTCCAATGGTGTGTTCTGGCGATATTATCGATTCTTCCCTCGTGTATTCTCAAGTTGCACTTTTTCGGTTTCAATGGCTACCTTGGTTGTCCTATGAGGAGCTATTTCAAACCTGTACGTTACGTACAACCTGTTTTTACCTATTGAAAAATCAAAACTCTTCAATTAGCAATTAGATTACTGATCGTGAGCTGAAGTTAAAGATGAGCTGTCTTCAGCTGTTCCATTTATTTACTTTTTTAAACTGTATTTTAATTGCAGTGGCCTAATCGCCAATGTATAGCCTATATCATAAATTTTCTCGAAGATGATTTTGTCCTAATGGTCCCCAGTTTCAGTTTATAAACAACTAAGTGTAGCCGGTCGTGTTATTTTTGCTATTAGCATTTGAGTCTGTTTGGATGCATTTTAATAGGCATGCTAATAACCTTTTACCGATTGTTTTTCTTTTTCAAATTCAAAGTTCAGCACGTGGGAGACATGTTCATTTCATTTTCGTGCTCTGGTAATATTTTTAGGAAAATGTTTAACAGGGGGAGGATTTTAGATAATGAAGCTGTTTGATATTGAAACTGATTGTTTATAGTCGTTGAGTTTGAAACCAGTTAAGCTTTCAATTTATGTAAATTTATGTAAAACCAGAAAAGATTTTTAATTTATGTACGACGAATCATATCACGCAGAAAAGCTAGATCTTTCAGTTCTCCAACACAGTCAAATTTTTGCATGCTTTCTTAAGGACAATTCACAGATACTAAAGTGGCTTCAGCAATCTGACAATCAATATCAACCAATCAACAAGCGTGTAAGTATTATCACGCTCGCCGATTGGCCAATTGTTGATTGAAAGAAGGCTTAGGCCACTTTACGATATGTCGATTGCCTTTAATCAATGAAATTTCTTATAGGGTCATCTCGTCATAGTCTGAAGCTTTTAAAGTCTTCTTCATAGTTTTGGTGATGGTAAAGCTGTTTAGTTGGGCTAGAGCTAATATATTTCAGTTATTTTTTATTGTATCTTTGATTCAGTTAGGATGCTAAGCCTGTATTCCGGTATTTGTACCGATATTGTGGCCTGTAATCTCCATTCTTACACAGTCGGATTGCATTTTTGCAGTGCAGTCTTTCCTGTAGCGTCCCTTTGTGCTTTTTATCTTTGATTGTGACTTTCTTCCCATGTTCATGTTAATAAATTATTTCCCATCCCTGTTCATAATTTTTCTTGATTTGAGCTTTTTCTTGAGTTGAACAATTTTTGGCAGTTTTAGCTTTTTAATAAACTTGCTCATGCTCAAGAAATTCTTAGTCTCATGTTTAATCTGCCCGCCTCAAAATTTCCCAGGTTCTGATGTCGTCTCTTTTATTTTTTGCGATGCGTCGCTAAAGTTACTGTCGGCAAATATAGTTTGAATTAAACATTCAATAAATCTTTGGTACCATAAAATTTGAAAATATTTTGTAAAATGGAAACATAGCTTTTCGTCCGATAAACGTCGTATGACCAAAAAGTTAGCGGAAACTTTTAGGCAACGAACTGAAGAGTAACCAATAAAACGCACCATTTCTTCCTCTCACGTCACTTAAGATCCGGATCTGGATATAAATTTCCCTTTACTTGTTTGTCATTATCTGGACAAAAGTACTTCGGTATGATTTGTTCTTTCTTTTCCGGGAAGCTTGAACATCCATTTCAGGTAGAGATATTTTAGATTGCACGAAGAGGCGAAGACAAATTTTAAGTTTCATTGTTTTCTGTACGTGCCCATTTGCACAATTAACCCGTTTTTTCTAGATCCTGTCCTGGTTTCACTTAAATAAACCGGTTGTTAGATACCGGGCAACCACTTTTATTGCCAAAGCCCCCCCACCCCGAATATAAGTTTTTCTTTATCTCGGGGGAGTTATAAACGAATTAAAAAGCAGTGGCGATACAACGCCGTAGGGTAGCTAAATAAAGACACCTGTAGCTTTTAACTGCAATATCGTAGTGCCCAAGGATTTTTTGAAAATATTTGGGATAGGAGGAGTCACACTTTGTTTTGCATGGACAGGGTCTTCTTCGTGTTTTTGGATATGACGCTCAAGAGCTATTGTGTTGTTGCTAAAGAGCCACTTAGTGTTTGGGAGGCGCTTTTTTCTCCTGATTTTTGTTTCGGTTTCTCCTTACTCTCGTTTTGTTTTTTTGATTCAGAGCTCGGAAGGAAATACTAAGCAACGAAAGAGGGTGAACAGAAAGCGCCAAAGAACTTCGACGGGGCAGAGTAAGTAGTAATGTTATATGAACCTGTATGTTTGTTCCTTTAAGTACCTGGTTGCCATATATGGGTTTTGGCCTTTGAGTAAATCAATAAACAGCAAACGGTTAGGAATTTTTGTGTTTAGGGTTTTTTGCTTTTGAGGTATTCATTGAATACCTCTCACGTTTGCTGTGATGTAGCCTCTAGTTAATTTACGTGTGTTTATTGTTGTTTGTTCTCGGCGCGTTGCGGTGTTCCTTATTTACTGCATATTCTTCGAATTCTCTAATAGTATTGTTTTATGTTTTTCGAAATTTCTGTCACTTTATCGAACCGATTGCTCTTATGCATTGGAGCAAGTTACTGTTATTCACGTACGGATTTGAGTTTTGAATCAAAAGACGTTATATTTCAACTACTGCGGAATATCAACCCGAATAACGTTTCTCTTATTAAATGAAAAGCGACTGAATAGTTTGATGGCTTGTTGATTTTATATTGTTAAGGTGTTTGAAACGAATAAAGAAGGTCATTGATTACATGAAAACACAAAGCATATTATGTCCATATGGCCTCGATAACATTCAATGTACTATTCTTGATCTGGTCCACCAGTTATTTTTAGCTTGAAGTTGCCTTGAAAACGAACTTTTTAGAATAATTTGTTTGCTTGATTTATTTGTTGTTTAATGTTGTAGAGAATGTTAATCGCTGCTTTTAGCAGACGACTTCGAAAAACGGATCGTTTGCATAACATATTTTGACCCCTCATGCTTGCTCTGCCCAATTTATTTCGCCTAACAATCGCTTTTTGTTTTCAGTGAACGAGACGACCCTGCAAATTGATAGCAATTCTCTTGAAAGCCACAGTGGGTGAGTTCGTGGTTTCTGCCTGTCATTTAAGTAATGTGCGGTTTCCTATTGACTCGTTGTGAATTTCTATTCAATGTTAACACGATGAGCTTGAGAATATCATTCATGAAAGTAGGAATTATTTATGCGTGAAATTACAAAAGCTTCATACCAGCCATCCTTCATAAGTTTTCGTTCCCATATGCGTGAGATATATTGTTCTATTTGATTATTTCTGCTGTTCTTCCCTTCTCGATTAGTTATGACTTCTTAGGCCTGAAGCTTTCGTAAACCTTGACTTTTCTTTGCTACGAAACTGAATGCTCCATCATAAATTACCAAGGTTTGTTGGATTGGAATACGGTGAGGTGGTCCGAGGTTGTTGACTTTTTAGTCCACTTTAATTGGGCTGTCATCTGGCAAACATTACATCTTAGCTTATAAGCAATTAAAATGTCTTTTCTGTTTTTGGAAAGACCAGCACAGTGTTCGTGTTACCATTTTTGATGGGCTTTGGAGGGGGGGGGGGGGGGGTGAAGCAGTGAGCCCTAGCCACTGATATGTATATTTATCAGTGAGCTGAAACTCGTATGAAAACACCTGTCTAACAAAATTCTCCTCGTTGATATTTTGATGTGTCTCTAGACGTATTTCTGTCGGATTTTAAATTGTTGTTTGATCTTTTCCCCAAAATCAGATAGATGAACTTACTTCGGAATTTGTAAGCCACGGATTGGATGTAAATTAGCCATTGTTGAATTATTGCCCTCTAAACAAAGATCTTCTGTTTATGTTTCGAATCATAAATTAACTGGTGTCGGTTGCAAATTCTAAATAAAGGGGACAATGCTTATAAACAGAAGTTTTTTCAAACATTGATACATATCGACCTTTTTAATTCTTCATTCTTTGCGCAATGCTAATTTTTCTTCATCTACATATTGTCAAAAGTTATTCCTGGAAACTCTCCGATTTCTGACAGTAACACAATATAGTTTTTGATCATTTTCTAAATTTTCACTTTCACCACCCTGGTACTACCTAGCTGTCTTGATGTGTCAACTTTAAAAATCTTTTCTACTTGGATTCGGTCACCGTTGTAAATTAAATTTGTCTACTTGGTTCGTCTACTTGGAATTTTTTTATCAGGCGAGATAAATCAAGATTTAATCTTTTTCGTAGATTTGAAAATTTTCAAGAAATCGAAGAAAATATCTATGATCCAGCAATCAAGAGCCTAGGATTAGAAAACACGGAGGTTGGTGTGGTGTTCGTACCGATCATGAAATTGTCATGAAATTGTCATGAAATTGTCCTTTGTCATGAAATTGTCCTTTGAGCTGTTATTTGTGCCAAAGTTGTAATGATTGCTACTTTTCCTATTATTTACACCATAATTATAACGATTTTCATCTTCAGTGTCATTATAGTAATGGTTTCTTTTCCGCGTTTTTAATTCCAGGAAACTTCTGATCATAATATTTCAAAGAAGTTGTTTATGGTTGCCGATGTAGTCGAAAACCGGAAGGTAGGGTGATTTGAAGATTTTTATTTTCATAAAAAGTATAAAATATGTGCAAATAGGAAGTTTTGTTGATAAAATTTATATGATTTCAACCCTTATTCTCCTGTCTTCACCTTTGCTAACCAAGATTCAGTCATCTCTGAAGGTTCAAGGCCTTGTGTTAGCGTAAAGGTTTTGATGTTTCCTGATTTTTTATATGACTTTTCTTGTCAGGGTTTAGTGGCGATTGAGGCTATCAAAGTAGGACAGATCATAACAGAGTATAAGGTACGTTCCAAGGGACTTGCTTTTATGCCTATATGTTGTTAGGAAAAGACAGTTTTATGCCAAGGTTTTTTTCAAAAATTGGCGGGTGGCTCTTTGTCCTCTAAAGTTTTCCCTATGAAGATATTTTAGCGACAGTCTCTTTCTATATTCTTATCATTTTGACCTGCTTGTTACCATATCACTTTGACCGAGTCAATTTTTCTTGTTGATTTTCCCATCAGTGTTTTTTCAACGAAGGTATTTTCCGCTTGATTTAACTTGCTTCGAATCGAGTGCTTAGTTAACACATTCCTCAATCGTTGATTTGTTTTCAACAAGTCTTGTTATTCCTTTAGCAATTTCAGAATGTTTTTTGCTCTATCAAACACCTATATCAAATGGGTCTGGTTCAGGGTGTGGCAGAGAATAGAGTTAAAGCCTTGCCCACTTAAAAGAATCACTCTAACGTCTTGTAACACACCAATGAGTTATTTATTATTATAGCCAATCATAGAGTTATTTGTTAGCCAGAACAGCAAAAATACTCGCTCTTGAATTTGCAACACAATGTTTCAGCATGCCCTTCTTGTTTGAATCTGTTTGGGGCCCTGGTTGTAATTGTAGTACGCCAATTAATGAATTTGTTTTCTCAAACCAGTACATTGTGTTGATCATGCACATTACCGAACAGGGGAGGGGGGGGGGGGCACCTCGACCTTCGACATGAAGAACCAAATTTCCTTTATTTTACAGGGCAAAATGCTCCCGAAAGCGATGTACGAGGAATCAAACCCGTTCTTTAAACGGTATGTTTCGCGCTTCGTTGTTCTTGAGAAGTCATTGCACATTGTCATTGCTCGCAGAATTCTTTAGAACCAAAATGTTTTGTAAAAAAATATTGAACATATATCCGCAGACAAGTTACTCAAGGTATTTTTGTCAAAACAACATACCCCGGACAAAGTTTGTCAATACAACATACCCTGTAGATAATTCTTTTGTGGTAAAAGATCCCTCAATGGGTGCAAGTTGATTGTTTAAACAAAGTTTAAAACAGCACCACGAAGGTGTAAAATTCTTCTCTGTCAAATACTTTTTGTTTTTTCTTTCCCAACAGATCATGCCCATTTTTACTCCATTACAATAAGATTGACGAGTTGGAGCTTGTCGTCGATGCGAGGACAGTTGGAAATGAGGCCCGCTATATTAGGAGGTCATGTGCCCCCAACTCCGATGTAAGTACCAAAGAAAGCAGCTTGATTTTTTGTCGTTTTGCGACCTTTGGAAATAGTGTTTCCCCCTTTAATTGGAGACTAGAGAATTGGCTAAACAAGGGATAAGTTTTTAGAATGAATGAGGTGTAGCCTTAATGAGAGTAAAAGAGGCAAGATATATCAAGACTTTTCTAAAGGTTGTAAGAAGAAGCAAAAACACGAAGATAAGAGGGCAAACGCGAATAGAATTCGTTAGATGTCATTTTAAATGAATACCCCTTGAAAAACGAATTATTTCAGGGTACGGTAATGAATTTTTGTTACGAATACGAAAGCTCTTTTTGGTATGGGGAAATAAGGCACAGTTCGGGCAAGGGAAAGACCATCAGACCTACACTCCCCTCCCAAAAGTATTCGAACGGAAGCCAATGTTGCAACGGTGCCGGGTCAAGTTGATGAAAACAAAAATAAAAGTTTATTGCTTATATTTATAGAATGACAATAGGAATCTCTTCAAAATTTCAGGCAATCATAAAACAAAGTTTAAATTACACAATTTTTTAATTTTAAGTCCATAATTCATTTTATCAATGGAATAACTTCAATATTTGGTGGGGGGTACTCACGAGACAAAAGGGCAGCACAGGGGCAGCCAGGAAATTACCTCTGCAAATTTTCAATGAAATGGAGAGGAATAATGGTACGAATGTCAAAGGTTTTATCAAATATTCTTCAGTAAACTGCTTTTTTACATAAGTTGCAAATTCTTTGGGTAGTGGACTTTGTGTAGCCCACTTGCTGTGCAATTTCATCATATGAATGACCTGCCTGGCGTAAAAACTTTATGATCATTTGCTTAGCTTCATCCATATTTTGTGTTTTTACCAGTGCCAAAAGATAAACATTTTTTGCGCTATTGAGAAAATTTTTCTCAGTAAACTTTCTCTAAACAAAATTGTTTCTTGTTTATATATTTATTTTGCTTATTTTCTGACGCCATCGTTTTATTTTGCCGCCAAAATTTTATCTTACTTCTATTGCTAACATGACATTTGTAAGAATTAGGCCCAAAATTTTGCCCGACTGTTCGAATACTTTTGGGAGGGGAGTGTAAGTCTGTTTATACTTTAAAAGCATCCTTTTCCTACTTCAAGGGACCTTTATTTTGCAAACGCATTCACCGTTCTCTGTGATATACTCATTCAAAAAAACTTTACTCATGCCAAACTTAGTTGCTAAAGATTTGAATATACTCACGAAAGCTTTAAAATGGTAATTTATGCAATCTAAGCTATTTGCATTTTAACTAATGTTTCCTGTCATGTAATGGGAATTGCTAAGATTTTCTCAGGAGAAGCGTACAGAATGAATTTATTGATGAGAGTATTTCCACTACAGCCATCTGCTCAACGCACAAAATGTCTCAATTTTGAGAAAAGTTTTCATTGGATAGGACGTTAAACTATGCTCATAGCACAGGATTATCTCACCTGCTGGTTCAAACCAGCTTGTTCTCTGTATTTTTAATGTTTGCTGCGATTTCTTCGCATCGAAAATCGCTTAATCAGCCTGCAATACTCTGCTTTGAAGATGCATAGAGTTTACGCTGTATGCATTGTCGGTTTATTTCTCACCCAGAATGCTCTTTAGTATTTGCCAAGCTGTGTTGGACAGCAGCACAACGTTTTAGAATTTTTAACACAGTAATGGATTGTTAACATTTGTACAGTTGAATCCATAAAGATGTACAGGTGAATTCCGTCTTAGACCGGATAACCCGGAATTTCATTTAGTCGGACTGATTTTCTTTTCCCATTGGATTTTCCTACATTATTCAAGTCAAAAGTCGTAACCCGCATGAGTCGGACATTCGCCGGTCAGGCCATTTCATTGCCTTATTAAAGGTCCGACTTAACGGGATTTAAATGTAGTCTATGAAGCCACAATGCTAACCATTCTTGTTCATTGGAATCTCCATTATTCAAAATCAGCTTAGATTGTTGTATTAGAAATTGAAATCTAATGCAATGCTTCCCAAATATAATGAAATGGTATTTAATACCCAAGTAACAACGACAGGAACGTGTATCGAAGCCCTGAATACCGCATTTTATTAATTTTGTTTTGGAGGGAATTCTGTATAGTATTTGCAGACTTCTAGCATGCAATGTACGTTATCCGCTTTTGAATTTCAGTTTTGGGGAATCCGTGCAACAAAAGCCCTAAAGAATTAAGAAAACACGATTGCTGATTTTCGCCTTGAATTTGTACGTTCTTCGTAGAATGGCAGTTTCATAAGATAGCATCGAAGCCTCTGTGCTATAAAACTTTGCATGATCTATGCACCTATCATGTTACCGACTCTTAAATCAAACTTAACAGTTCCCCTTGGGAGATGAAAATTTTCCCTATGTTTTAACCACAGCCAACTAAATTTTCTTGTAGGTCACCCACGTTGTCAAGGACGGCAATCTGCACATATTGGTGCAAAGCAAGCAACCCCTTGTCATGGGAACTGAAATCACGATTCCTTTCGACTACCCCCTGGAAACCTACACTGGATACTTGAATTGTGCTTGTAAAGAACCGACTTGTCTGGTCCTTAAACACAACCAAAGGTATCTACCGCAATCCGGTCGGAAGCGATCTAGATACTCAGTTCCGGATGCAACTTCTTCTACGCGAAATTCCGCTTCGGAAAATCAGGTAAATGTTTAAGTTAGAAGTATAAAATATAAAAATCGCGTCCCATTCGTCAATGAGCCCTCCTGCTATCTCTCACTTTCGTTATTTGATTGGTTAATTTGCACTCTGGAGAATTCCCAAGAGTACATTAAGTAGCGTCACATGATCACAGAAACACTGACAGAATTCCCAGCCATGTTTAACAGAATTTTCGTCTTTTGTACAAGCACGCCCATTAGTTGTGGCCAGTGAAAGTACACACGCAATGCCAGGTTCAAGAGCCTCTTTCCCGTTTTGGTCTCGTCTTCGCATAACTTGATTACAGAATGTAAAGTATAAATTAGTGCCTAAAAATACTACATATTTAACAGGACACAAGATATCCTTGTTTTTGTCTTGCCCCTTCACGGCCACACCTACTTGATCACACTTGTCTTGCGTCTTTATCATATTTTTTTCCTCTAGAAGCCTTTTAAGAATAAAGTAGAAAATGCAAACAGGGTCCATCAATAAGATTTTTCTCCGTTGATATTATTTAACAAGGCTTTTTTTCATGGTTTTCACCAATATTTAATGGTTTTCATCGAAAGAAAACATCGCACTCGACACTCGCTACCACTTTCAACTCGCCATAATACCTTGCAAGATCCCATTTAGTTGCGAATTACTGTTCCTTCTGTAAAATCGCTCGACATGTTTTCATGAATAACATACGCTCCTTTGCGTTTGGTGGCAAATTTACTCTCGCGCAATGACTAGACTTTGCATGTTGTACTAGCATGAATGTAGTGTTTGATTACAAAAAACAGTGTTATTGCCAGCTGCTTTGCGTAGGTGTTTCACGATTTTAGGGAATAAACCGAAGCCAAAGATCATCGTAACTGATGCTAATATCGTAAGATGAGTATTTGGTTCAGGGAAAATTTTAGTTCAGGGAAAATTCAAAGTCACCTGAAGAGCGCGTTCTAGGTCCGGGGAAATTGTCGATCATTTCAGGGGAACTGTTGCGGATCCGAAAACTGTTGAGCTTTTGGAAAACTGTTAAGGATCCGGGAGTCTGTCGAGAATCCGGAAAATTTATTGAGGATCCGGATGTTTTATAGTATTATGTAATTGTACAGTGGCATGTCGTATATATATATATATAACTGAATGTATATCAGGTCAAACTTGGAAAATTAGTCTAAAATATTCTGAAGCACATCACAAGTGGCATGCTCACTTTGTAACGATTTGTAATGATTTAAGGCGATGGGTTATGTCAAAATGGATTCGAAAGTCCATGTTAAAACCAGTGACTAAAGGCTTTCATATGCCTCCCAACCTTGCTAATCAGCTTTTTGTATCCTTTTGTACCGATGTGGCTGCTAGTTCTTGGAAAGTTTCAAACGATAGGAGAACTCCACAGCTTGGTTCCTTTGGCAGGTCTTTGTGTATTTGATTTTTGTTTGAGAATCCCTGGACGCAAAGAGGTCCCGCAGCCTCTAATCCCCTTTGGTCTATTTGACTTGTAACCCCATCAACCCAACACCAAGCCAACCTTCATCTGCCCCATCAACCCCACTCGGCTGTTTCATCTTTATAACTAGTATTATCTTTGCTTTTCTTTCAGGGTGAAACTGATTCAGACGAGAATGAATTGGATGTTGGTCGCCCTATGAGCCGAAGGAAGAAGCTGTCAAGAGAGGAAAGAAAACTTCAGGCCTACTTGAAGCAAATCGAAAAGATGGAGAAAAAGGAGAAGAGAGTGAAGGACCCCAAAGCCCCTCAAAGGTATGAGATTTACTATCAGAGAAATTATCCCCGATCAATTGATAGGGATAACTTTGTTTCGCGTCACTATGAAATGGTCAAATAAAAGGATAGAGTTTGCGTGAATCAATATTTTCAATAAAAATCTGAAGTGGACAATTTTGTTGGAACAAGCTACAAAAAACTAGAATATATCTGTCCGTATTCTTAGGGTTGTTATTTGTGAAAAAATGTATAAAAGTCTGGTAGATGTTCAACATTTTCAAAAACAAGATGAGACTTGCTTATCTCAGTTTTGAAAATGCAGCTGACTGTTTAAAACACTCCTCCCACATTTCTTTAAATAGATTGCCAAGCCTTTAAATTGTCGAATGGAAACCAAATGTTTACCACCAGTTGCGATACTTTGACGCACCTTTTCCTGTTTTTTTATGGTTTCACATCATCATCTCAATGCTTCTTGGATGATTTTTGCTAAAGCAGCTGATCATATTTTTAGTTATTTGCATTCCAAAGTGTAGTTGAATGTGAGATTCGTGGAGTTGTTTTTGCTAGAGTGGTTCGGTCTCAGTTTACTACGCTAATTCGATGAATGCCAGCAAAATAGGATTTTGTCTATTGAAAATCATGTTGTGAAGACAAATAGGAAGGCGATCGATTAGCTTTGTTTCGTTTTGTATTTTACGTAAGCTAATATTGACTTCATTTTTATTACCAAGACGCTTGTAAGGGATCTTGTTTCAATCAGATTTATTTCTAATGTTTGATGTAGGTCTTTTGACTTTTTGGTGTCTTTGAAATACTATTTTGAGTAATAACCACTTTGACCATGGGAGCAACCTCACCCCTCAAACTTGCAGCTCCTACAAGGACTGTCAAACTGGTAATATTTGCCTTGATGCCTCCCAAGTTCAACATCGAATAGCCACATGACGCTGAGGCAAACGTTCTACGAATGCATTTATTTTTGTTCAAAAAACTAAGATCCACTACTTTGTTTCTCAATATTTTTGTAAATATTTTTTAATAAGTTTCAGAAGTTTCTGTGATACTTACTTCTTGAATCTTCTTTTGGCTTTGGTACCATTGCTTATTCTTTTGTTTTCATTGCGTTTATCGAAATCAGTAAAGTTTTACTGGCCACTGTTCTTATAAAAAGTAACCAGGTGCTACGGAAATCGCGAAGGAATGGGTGTTTGACCTTGCTATTGCTACGAGCATCATATCAAGTGTCTTCTTTCTGAATTTCGCCCAACCACTTTCCTTTACTTCCTACAGGGAATAGAGTGATGACATCACAAAAATCTATTTCTAGAATTTATTTTGACAACACAACCCAAAGGAGCATCATGAAATACCTCTTGAAAATGCAAAATCAGTTGAAAGTGATAAAATGTGTTTTAGATGTGGCCACATGCTTAGTGGATCTTTCCACATGGTGGCACATTTGGCAAATCACTGTAATTTGAACTTCATTCATAACTTTATGAGCCAGGCCAGAATAAAATTCATGGCCGTCAGCAAACTTCCAATCTTTTACAGGCCATATATCATCCAATTTTGAACATATTAAACTGATTTTGCGAGTATTTGATACTGTTCTTTCAGATAATGCCGTCAAAACGGAGAAGTTCTAAAACTAAATTTTTGATTCAGCCACTCTTCAGTACTCTTTTGGTAAAATATTAAATGCTTTTTTCCTCTTCCAAAAGGATCTTCAATTGTTCACTGTGGTGCATTAGGGTTATTTGCGTTTTCGAAAATCTCTCGAGTGCTTGGTTTAGGCACTCGAGTAAACGCCCATTCTTTATTCCTGGACGTTTCTTACCTTTTTAGTTTTATTTTTGTAAAATTTCGTAACATTTCAGTTTTTTGAAAGTTTAATGATTCCCTCTGCGTGAAGAGTGGCTAAATCTTTTTGAAGCTCAGAATAACAATCTTTTTTTGTTTATTTTCAGACCTGGTTTAATCCAAGATCAAATTCAAACTCAAGGATCTCTTCTAACCAAGTAATCAATTTTTCTTGATTTGTATTGATTTGTAAGATGAGTGTTTTTTCGCAAATTCATTAAAAGTAAAGGGAATTGGTTCCCTGAACTCGAATCAATTTTTTTTTCTTTTATCGTTTTACTGTGCACCTCCCTCCTTTCCAACGCCCCTGGCCTTGCTTTTCCCTTCCGTTGCCTTTGCTATTTTACTTCATTTCCTATCATTTGCCCTGCCTTTCATTTTTCGCTCTACTTTGCATTTCACTGCTTCACCTCATTTACTCCTCTACCTGGCCTTTCACTCCTCTATCTCCCAGTTCCTGTCTTTCTTATTCCTTTCTTTTTATTCTTTATCACTCGTTATTTCTTTTCTTTTTTAGGTCTTTACAGTCATTTGAAACCAATTCTTCGCCGAACCAGGCTATATCCATGCCCAGGTGAGAATAAATTGAATTATTTTCGATGTATTCAAGCACTATATTTGTAAGGTCGGGAGTTTTGATTACACTATAAAAAATTAAGATTAATTTTATATATATATTAATATATATATAGTTATAAAAGTTTGTCCGTTGATTCTTCTGTAGTGCAGTGCTCAATAAGATAAGCACGTAGAGCGTCAGAACAAGATAAGCACATAGTTCATCCACTTTACTTAGCTTTTTCTTTATCTGCAATTCATTCTAATTTTGATACACCTTTGAAATGCTGATAATATAAAAATTTTGGGCGATGGCCCTGAAAATTGCTTGATTTTTTTTATAAAAAAAGACGTTTCCTGTCTTCGCCATATACCTGCTGTTGACTTTCACCCCCCACAAATCCCCCTACGCGCCTATTTGATGAGACAATGGTGCTAGTGGGGCTATGCTAAAAGCAATCCTTTCAACTACAACATACATTTAGGGGCAGGCAGCACTTCCATGGTTTGAGTTTTTATAAATATCTCGAATGTGTAGGAGGTTTAGGCTTTTCCAAGGGGTTTAGATAACAAGAAGTGGATCTCGAAGCAGGTGTAGTTTTATTTTCTACAACGGTCTTTTTGATAAGCAAAGCAAAGTTCGTGTCTCTTAAATCTGTGCTTGTAAAAATTGCGATATCGTAATTGGCTTGAAGCCAACAGCCCGAGTTTATGAGAAAGCGTGTTTGTTGGTCCCCAAATTTGGTTTCAAAACTTTGATAGTGGTTGAGTTGAAACCGAAACGACCAGTAATTGAAATGATTGCTATCGTATTCTGTTATCAACTGATCCGCAAGAGAGCATTTTGAAAGATTCTGTTTGTTCAGGCAATCAGTTGTTCGCTTAAGTTAACATTTTAGTAGATCCTTTCTGTTAAGCAAGTAATTCTACGACTTAATACAACTCCATTTGAATCGGCATGCCTTCTGGATATTTCTAGTCGTCAACATATGGCGATTGCTTATGTTTTGTTTACACACGTATTTACGGCCTGCTTGTATTGCTGGTTGCAATGCAGGTGGCTCTAATTTTATTCTCAAAGCAACTCTTTAATCTAGGCCTATTTGCATGACAATTCAGTTCATTTCAATTCAATTGACAATGTTTATTATCTTTTTAGACGCATCACAGCTTGCACACCAGGCTCTGGCAAGAAAAGAATCAATATTAATAAAAAGTGCGTCTTTGCTATTGTTTGTTGTCATGTTCTAATGTTTCGGTATCACATCAGTGAATTGGCTCCATGAAGTAATACGTCTTAAGGGGTCTTGCTGGCTTTTATTGTACCCTGATGATGGATCCAGGATCTTTGACAAAAATCCGCCAACTTCTAACAATCTAAAGATTTACCCACGAATGCAAGAATAAAGGGTATAGTGTTAGGAAGATATTAAGTAGTGAAGAGTGAAGAGAGGTTAATAGTAGAATGTATACTTTTTGTGAATTACAACCAGCTTTCTTTTGTCGATGTCGCAAATCCTTTCCAGGAATTCAGGGACGCTTTTCCATAAAAACTCTATTGAGGCCTAGACGCTGAAATTCAAAATATCGTAACAAAATTGAAGTATCTTATGGTAAGAACATCTTTTTACAATCGTAAGGGGAGCCTATACTCAGTTGCCATCTAAGGTCAACAATAAGAAGCTACAATATCTCCAAAACATCAATAAAATCGTCAGCAAAGATTGCAAATATTGTTCCATGAAACAGCGGGGGCCTTTTTTCTACATATACATATATATAACTTAGAAATTTTTCTTTTGATACTTCCGTAGCACAGTGCTCAATACGTTAGCACGTAGAGCGTGATATATCATAGATTGAAGAGAGTAAAACTACATGGTTTATCTCTACAAGCCTGTTTTGGAGTAACTCACTCTTCAGGAGACATATAACTTATGTATATGTCTTATTTCTTACGTTGAATTCCACTCGAAAATTCTATGCCAAAATTGTTGTACAACAGTTAAATTGAGAAAGAGGACAGAAATAGGTAAGAATTATTTCTGGAAGATCGTTTAAGCATCCTGGGTCTCGTTTATGATAACGCTGATCCCTAAAAGTTTCTTGAAGTTGGCCTTTTCCAAATCGCCCTGATTTTGCGCGCTTCTGTTATTTTGAATTGCAAATAGAAAATCATTTGGAAGAACGACAACTGAATAAATGTTTATTTTTTGCAAGTTTATCTTTTCAGTGTCATCTAAGCAGATATTTTCTTCCATTTTGATTTTTATTGTTTCTGTCGCTTTTCACCCAACCATATTTCCGTCCTGCTACAAAGGAGGTAAATCTTGAAGGACACGGTTCTACCCAAAATTTTATTGTTTCAAAACCGCACGTATTTATTTTCTCATCATTCAGAATTTTGTTTGATTTGCAAATATTTCTTTACTTTCACTCAAAGTTAAAGATAAACCTAAGCTTACATAGTTTTGTTTTTTTTCTGTGAACTGCTTTTTGTTATAGTGTTTAAATTGTTTTTTCTCTAAACTGTTTTTCGTCGATTTTCTATCGACTGTAAAGTTGCATATCAACCTGCCACGTCATTTTGATGGCTTCAGCGTTTTTCTCCGTTGCTTTCAATGACCAGCACTTTTCTGAATTGGTGATGTTATATTCCTTTTGACGGGGGATCTGCATGTTTTGACGAAGAACCAGCAATTCACTTTGAATGTGTTTTGCATCAAACGGGGGTGCACACAAGTCACGCTTCGTTGCTTGAAGATTCCCGTACTGTTTTGCTTTTGCTTTTGTGGCGTCCTCCGCAACAACACGCATTGCAGCGTACGGTTTTTGAGCATGTAAATATTCTTGTTTGCGTTCGGCGTAATAGCTATGCTTTGGCAAATCGTCAAGGACTACTTTCAGAACAGCGCGATATACCTGCTTGTTAGCCGAAATGTACGATCTGTTCACACGAAAACTATTAGCTGCTTTTAACCTTGATTCCCTTCAAATATGACGCTCATACCGAGGACATAAATTCTGTCATGATTGGCTATCCGTTGTGTCGTTGGTCGTATATGAAAAATGCCAGTTGCACGTCGGAGAAAAAGGTTTGAAATGAATACGCTGTCATAGGCCTCATAATTTGTCAAACTCGTTTTTATTGTCAAAATTATGTGGTTATATTTTGAGAAAACATCATAGCTACACAAAGAAAGCTGCAACATCGGTTCATTGAGTTTATTTCACCATTTTGTACTTGTTTTTTATATTTTCCTTTTTCGCGATACAATCACTGTTAAGTTTTTTCTTTTTGGAAGAAATACATCACAAGCAATACTTTGTTCAACCCACCTATCTTTGAGCTGGACAATTTTAGAACTGAAATTTGGAATGTTTTCCAGTGTATCACGTAGTTGTGTCACACTGAAATTATCTTCTATTTGGAAACCCCCTAGAACATGTTTGCAAACGTTGGTTCAAGAACCCTGAGTTGAATATGGATTGATAAATTGGTTGATAAATTAACTTTGAAGGCCAATATCATTCTTTTAAAAGTCATGTGAAATTTAACAGCATGAAGGCTTGCAGTCCATTTCATGTTACTTGTTGATATTTCTGATTAAGTGGCACCATTTATTAATTTTGACATGTTTTGATTTCTTGTTTTCTTGTCTGTTATTCACAACAGAACCTCTCATTTATTATCTTGTAATTAAAGCTTCAATATTCTATTGGTTCTCAGTAAAGATGTGTTTTCCAAAGTACCCAAAAAACAAAGGCATTTAACAGCAGGTTTTATCTACATTTGCTACACCTGCCTGAAAAGATGGAAATTTTCACACTAATATCTAACCTTCTTTTGCTAAGGTGAAAGAATTTCCAGATTGCATTTTTTTTCTTCATATCCTGCATTTGAATTTTTTCTATTTCAGACGACCAAGAATATCAAGTTGTTCTTCAGACCCCCTATCACCAGAATTAATCAATTGCAGCCTCACATCAACCACAACTACCCCTGTGCAAGAGCAAGCAACTCATACACAAATTTTGGACCAAAATGGCCATATTAAACAAAAGACTAGAAAGGATCGAGTAAGAGTCTTATATATCCCTTTTAATTTCTACTTGGTGTCTTTCTGTGCCTGCACACGAAGAAGCATTTCGCAACCAAAATGCTCTTCAAAGACAGCAAAACTGATCTGGATCCCTAGCAATGGAGATCAGCCTCATATTTTTTCCAGTGAATATATTTTGTCAATATATTCTGTCAACTTCAAATGTTGAGAATTAATTAATTCTATTAATCTTGTTATTTTTTCATGTTGTTTTTATACATACTGTAAGTTCTACATCCCCTTGCACTGCCACTCATTCTGCGCATAGATTTAAAAAAAAATATTAAAAGTTAGTTTAATAGTTTTTTTTTTAATAAACATATTGATCTAGATTCAAGAGGCCTCTTTTTGGCAAAAAACAGATAGAATCTTTTGATTTCGGGACGAAATCTAGACGGGAATATCTAGACAAGTTGCTGTAGCCCTACGCTCCATCGACACCTGGAGCTTAGTCCTGCTGCAAAACAATTTTATTTTGTCTTTGAAACCTGCCCCAATTGTGTCCCCAACTTTCATCTTTCGCATTGAAAAATGGACTTCTGCAAATTGCATGATCCAAATGATGATCAAAGCAACTGCTCTGGAAGCCCCCAGCACACAGTAATCACAAGTAATGGTATGGTGACTTCTGAAGAAGTAATGGGTGAAATGGTGCTTCGAGAAGGTGCACCTCACACGCCTACTGGCAAAGTTCCGCAACGGAGATTATCGAATGATTGTAGATATTTTGGTTCACTGAAAAAGGTATGAAAATCTAGTGTTAATAGTCTTTGATTGCCAATAAAATATATCTATCTGCTGTGAAAGGACAAAGTAGTTTGGCAAAAAACAGTATAGAATCTACTTGATTTCAACCACTTGAGAATCTATTTTTCTTTGATTTCAACAAACAAGTTTTCTTGTAGGTTTTTGGCTCGATAAGATAGTTGGAGCATTTTATGTAAACATAATATATAAATTTTATTTTGTAATTTACAGTAATGCCTCAAATAAGCGTCCGGGTGCTTAATCAAGGGAGCGCTTATTTAAAAAGTAGATTTGGGTGCAAATTGTGTTGTTCATTTATCTTTCTTGTTGAATTGCCTTCCAATTATGTTTTGGTTGAAAAATGGAATAAGCACCCGTTTCTGGTGGTTGAAGGATGGGTGCTTATTCAAGGGGTGGGCCCTTATTCGATAGGGGCGCGTCTTGAATAACTTCACCTCTAGGGTGGGCGCTTATTTGAGGGGGATGCTTGTTCAAGGCATTACAGTAATTAAATAATATGTGGTTTTATATAAATGATTCTCAAATGATTGTTTTTTAGAGATGGCTCATACAATATGATCGACACACACCATTTGACATTCAACCGAGAAATGGATTGTCAACATGTATCATGTCCAACTGTCTGAATGATACAAGCATTCAGAAGCGTGCGGAGCAAATTGCATCATATGTTTTTAAAACCCCCAAGAGTAAGTTTCCAGATTCAGATATAAGTCAAAAGAAATGTTTAAGGTAAAAACTGCATCGAGACAAAATGAGGTTGAGCAGACCGTGTTATTTCAGTTATTTCAGTATGTTAGTTATTTCAGAAAAAAGTTAGCGAATGTAGGATTGGAGCATATTGAAACACAGCTCCAATATGTCGGAAAAAGCTGCCTGTTGAGACAAGATATTTTAATGTTTTGAAAGAACCTTATGAAGTCATAGGTTTCAATAGATTTAGGGGACCTGTATTCCCTACAGTCAACTGCTGTCTGTTCATGTATTTAATCAGTCTCTTGGATATTCCCACTTATTTGATAAATTGCTGTTTTGAAGCTTATGGTTGTGCATTTAAATCTAGCCTTTAAAAATGGGTAGTTCATAATTATGTATCTGTTTTTGCAAGGTGTTACTTTGTCGAAAAAGCATCGAATGAGAGAGACAATGTTATATGCCTCTGAATACCTAAAAGAAATCACAAGAGATAGAAGTTATGGGATATCTGGTGACCTTGCTGAAAAGACAGAACCAATATCTGTGGATAATAGCAGTAGTCCTACAAAAGAAGGTCCCAACTTAGCTAGCGAGACAACAATTTCCACAACTGTTGATTTTGTTGAAAGACTACAATCTTATGACCCTACTGACTCATTAGAAAAACCTTGTATGGGCACAACTACTGTCTCAGTTAACAATGAGCATTCTGCAAGTGAAAAAACTCATATTGAATCAAAAATTGACTCAACTGATTCCTTAAATGAAAAGCTGTTGAATGCCACTGATTGTAATGATACCAATGTGTGCACTGATGATGAAAGGACTTTACATTTGAAGAAAGAATATAAGACATCTACCCAGCATCAAGTTACTGAAGGAAATCAACTAGTTACCAACTTGGTTTTACCTGACATAAAGAATGGTTCAATTACCAGGGTAGACAAAGAAAGAAAAATAAGAAATATCTCAAACTCAATTAATTCTACATATTTGCCAGGTCCTTTGTTAACAGGCAGTAGTGACAATGCTTTGGCCTTTGCTAATTCTGATTTGAATGAGCAAGAACATGATCATCGAAACTCTAATGGCAAATTTTTTTCTTATGCACCTATGGATGAAACTGACCAGCAAAAGACTTTAGCTAAGGTACCAAAAGTTAGTGTTAATGACAGCTTCGCAAAGTTCCATGTTAACACTGTTGCAACAATTGAGGGCTCAGCACAAAAGACTGAATCAGCAGTTATTGATCTACCTATGCATGCAGGAGATGTTAGAGCACTGTCTATTTTGCGAGATCCAAGGCTGAGCTCCTCATCTTCAAGAAGCAGTCGTGATAGTACGGATGGCAATATTCTAGTTAGATCAGACTCTGTCAGTTCGCTGGAGGATGTGTCGTTGCAGAGAGCAAATGTAGATAAAAAATCTATCAATGACAAAACAGATGGAATGCGGCATGCCAAGAAAAAGGTCAGTTGGACATGATTGACTATTCTGTAGCCTAATTTTGAGCAAATTGTGTACTTATGTATTTCTGGTTAAAATGCACTGAGTTGCACTGTTGAATTGGCTGAAGCTTTGAGAACACTTCCTGATGATTTTGCTGGTGCTTTATGTAAATGATAAGGCTGTTAGTAGCCTTCTTTGCTAGACAAACACTACATTATCCTTCCAAAACTCAACACTAATTTATCCTACTGTGTTGTAGGGGGCAACAAGGCTGCCAAAATGATTTGTTGGCCATCTAAGCTGTGCCAACAGTTTCTAGTCTGGTTTGAAAAACTTTCAAATCCTTGTCAAATTAAAATAAGTAGTTTTTGGTCCCTATACGGAAAAGAAAATATTAATTTGTGGAATTGTAAGTTGGTTTCAAGGCAAATATTACTACAGCGAGGGATCTGAAAAAGACAGAGTCAGTGGGCCAAAAATGTAACTGGCAAATTCTACTGCTGGTTTTTGCAGTTTGCTTGGTTTATTTTGTTAGCACTTCTATGTGCCATACATGCTTTTAAAGTAGTGTTAGAAATGTTATTCACATTTTTTGCCGTGTTATGTCTTACCTCAGTAAGTAACTACCAGGCTGTAGATTTTAAGACTTTGTTGATCTCCAATGATAAACATACGTAGTTATGTTGATCTTTTAAAATAAGGTCTCAGCATTATGTCCTAAAACTTGAGAATGCATTCCTGAATTTAGTAAGAATTCTTTTGTAAATTGCAAGTATCAACTGGGCTTTAAAGTGCATTTAAAATTATTTGTCATTGTTTGGTCTGCTGTGCTGTTTTGTTTCACTCTTCCTACAATTTACCATGAAATCTTACAATTTGCCCATCTATTATTAACTAACAAATTTAAATTATTTTTAGATGTCTCTGAGAGAATATCGCAACAGAAAGAAAACGAAGCCAGCTGCAACTCTTATACATGGTGCTTCAACAATCAATGAAGGATTGGCTGCTAAAACTTTATCTCAGTCAATTCTTTTTACTGACACTGATTCCCTTTTAACACCACGCACTTTGTCACTATCCACTGGCTTCACACCACTCTCTGGTAAAGATGTGACTCTAACTACTTCATCGTCTGACTCAGTTTCCATGACAACTCTCATGTCATCACAGATACCTATTCAAACTCCATCAACTGAACCCCTTTTTGAACCTGTAAGCCCAAGTGAAGATTTTGTTGCAGAAACAATGCCTAATGATGAAGGTATTTTTTGTGTAATTCATTTGATTTTGTCTTATTTTCTAATAAGAAATGCTATAGGTAATATCATTTCTAAATAACATTCTTGGGAACCACAAATTTTGTAAAGCCGTTTCGGGTGATCTGTGACTGTTCATTTGATTATTGCAAACACTCCTCAAAAACCCTTCCCATTCCTGCCACCATGTCCTTAGCTCTCAAGCATACAACTTAATTGATCCCATGTTTTATTATTTTTGATAAGCAATTGTTACAATTACATTTGTATTTAACATTATTTTAAGCTGTTTAGGCAGCGTAATCATATTATCTGTAATGCAGTGTAGCAGATGCTTTTTTCATACCAATTTTCTATTTATAGTAAAACCTGGTACCAGCCTATCATATCAAAACTTTCCCCTGGTCGCTCATGATCTGCAACCACATGGTAAGCAGCCTAGCCTAAGTCAATGACATTATATTGTAACTGTTGACCTTTGTTTGATTGTTAAATTTAGACCCTTTTTCAGTTGCTAAATTGCTTAGTTTTTCTTCTACTTAGCTACCTAGCTAGCTTTTAGTTTTAGAAATTTTCAAACATTTCTAATTTCTGGTTGGGCTGTAGTCTTGTTTGTTGCTACTGATTCAAATAAGCAAACAGTTAAACCCAAAAAATCAAGCACACAACCCAGTGATAGTAATTTGACACAACTTGTAGTAACTGAATTATTCTTGTTTCTTTTTGATTGGTCAAACTCTTACAACTGCTGTGTCAAGATTTCTGTCTCTTGGCAGGAGATTCTCAATATCAAAAATTGATACCTTTCACTCATTTGATAAAACTAGTAGCAACTTCCAAACCAAGCGGATAGTAACAAATAGATTAATAATTGATGGTCTTGAGCAGAGTAACCTTGAGAAGAGGCAAGAGAAAGTAGAAAATTACTTTTGGATTTCCTAGTTTCTAAGTTTTTTGGAACCTTTTCCAACATGTCAATGCTTTAAGACCTGTTCTCAATACTCAGTTCAGCCCTGTGCTTACTTTGCAAAGGTTTTAAAGGTTTTGAAAACAATCTCCTCGTCGCTGCTAATTATATCTACTACTCTTTATTCTGCTTTTTGGGCAGGACATTAAACTAAAAGGCAGGGCTGCCTCTCTGAACATTAGAAGTCAAAACTAATACTTCTCTTTCTTGCTGGTCTATTCTATATAAAAACAAACATTTGAAAATCCAGATTGAAAACAAAAGTAAGTATAAACAGATCTATGTAAGAAATCATTTTATAAAAAAATGCTGAAACCAGTCTGTCATAAAGTGCTCATTACTGTATAGGCAAAGCTGTACATGCTTTTGGTGTATAGAACAGGGTGGTTCTAAGTTGCTACCCCAAGTTTCACACTTAATGCGATCATCAGGCTATTGTTACAGAAATATGCACTGTGAACATTGAAAGCTGATCATTTTTTTAAAAACAGGCAAATATTTCGCATTACATAATCTCATCATAGCAAGCATCAAACAGAAGACAGCATTCTGTTTTTGGTTTTTATTGTATATCTATTTCCATTTAAATACTTCAATATTCCAAGCCATTCTATCAGGTAGTTGGAATGGAAGTATCAGAAGTCTTTAAGATTGGAGTAATCAAGATTAAAAGTTTAAGGTTGAATGATAATCATAAATAATAATTGTTCTTTCAGAATTTATGGAAGTTGATGGCGAGGTAACACCTGTTACAAGTCAAGCTATAGTTTGTCAACCTGAATCAGAGACCATGTCAAGAAAAGATCCTCGCAAGCATTATAATTACAATCCCACCCAAATACTTACTCAGCAGGTAATTTAAACTCACTTTTTACTTCTAGATGCTGTTGTTGCTTCATTGTCAATATGTATATTTAACTAGTTAAGAACTATCATAGGAAATTAAATTAAATTGATCTTAGCACAATAATTTTTTCTGAATAGAAATGTAGGGTATTTTCACAGCTCTTTGTTATTGCTGAAGTATGCTCCCAAATTCTTGCCCTTAAATTTAAACGAGTAGTAGAAAACAGTGGTATAATTTTTTTTATCCAGTCAACCACGCAGATATTTTGTCAAAGAAATCCAATTCTATATTGATTAAATTTTGGCAGTTTTAGTGGAAAACCTCTTTGTATGCTCTAGACTTTTGATATGACAGTTAATTAATTTCTGCTTATTGTTTTAATGGTTTGTTATTGCACACCAAATGAAATATCTTTAAGTGCCTGCAGAAAATTTTTTTTGATTCAAAGATGGTATATTAGCAATCAGTGTGTTGAGTCAAAAGTATAGATGTTTTCATATCTAGCATCAACTTCATACAAAAGTCATTACTGTCAAATATATGCATTTTGTCAAAGAAAACATAAAAATATTTGGTCAATATTAGGACACTCGTGGTTTTGATTATGATACAAATAGTAATTATATCATATGTTCAGTGCTGTTCACTTCATTTCAATATTATTTTGTTCATTATCATTCATTTTTCCGTGTTTCAACTACTACATTATATTTTTCTTAATTCTATTTATCTTTCATTTAGACAACAAATTTCTCATATCATTCTCAAGAATTACAATCATCCCTTCAAAGAAGCAAAAATATTGGGAGCAATTCACCTATATATCGGCAAGCTCAGACATACAATCAACACTTTCGAGGGTAGATCATATTAGTCTCTTCATATTTATCTTCATGAACAGCGACTTCTACTTTATACTGATCAGCTCAACATTAAGTTCTTTTTTCAAATTTCAACATATGTAGGGTTACAGAGAACTTGTTTTAGAGCTATGCAGATGTCAAGAAACAAATATTTATTAACACGAAAGAATGTCTTGAAACATTATGGCTTGAATTCTGAATAATTGGCCTAACATATTGTGATCTCCTACCATATCTTGAACTCTGTTAAAATGTTTTAAGTAGAAGCCAATCTTGTTCATGGTAATTGAGGCACAATTGTAGTCCTAAAAAGTTCCACAGACTTCTAATTTGCCATCAGCAGACATCTAAGTCTGTTCAGATCAAGTCAAGAGTAAATAAAACAACTGATTCTGCTACCAGTTTATCTCACACGAACTGGTAGAAAAAAATATTAATAGCAAAGCAGGAATTACAGTGAATTTCATATTTGATTATTAACAATCAGTTTTCCACTGATGCCTAAAATCTTAAGTTGTTTATCAGAAAACTAATTAAAAAGACTCCTCCATAAATGAATGGTTTTTTATTTGTTGGGTTTTTACTTTCTCAAATTTTAAACTGTATCTAAGCTTTTCATTGGTAGCAGACAAAGCCTTGATTTTGTATAAGCCCTTTAAAAGTCTTTTCTCTGCTCAGTGTAGCACTGTATTTTTAGGCAGATATAATTAATATCTGAGACACAATCAATGTAAGCTGTATGAATAGAAACATCATTTTGATGAGTTGGTTGTACAAATATTGTTCCCATGTAATTCATAAAGATGTAAATAGCAGACTGTATGTTTGTAGTTCATTGGTCCTAATGCTTACCATACTGAAAAGCTGTTTTAGAGAAGCAAGCTGCAAATTAAACATATTTTTTGTTTATTGTGTTGGCCTGCATTGAATTGTGAATTGTTTACCAACATTCTTTGTGAAATTGTTAACACTAATTTTGGTGTTCCAAGCAGCAGCAAAGCAGTCCAAGAGTTTTGTTGGTAAATATTCAGAATGTTGAAATTTTTTGTATCAGTTATCCCAATACATATTTTGTTTCTTATTAATCATGATGTTGGGTTGCTGGCTAACATGTTTTTTGTAGGTTATTGTTCTTATATCAATTGCCAGCACTACTACCCATGCATAGAAACAAAGAGGCAGTGTTGCCTGGTCAAATAACTAGTTAATATCATGTTTGAAGTTACTTTGCTAAGTTTTGGCTTCAAACAAATATCAGATCTCTTTCAAACAAATTAACTTTGCATGGGTATTCATGGGGGGGGGGCATTTCCAAATATTAAAAGCATTAGCAATTAAATCCCCCTAAAGTGCAAAGTTTAGTGAGTTTTGTGTGTTTTACCCTTTAGTATTATTACCCATTTGCATACAACTAGTTTTGATTGTGCAGTGATGTGGATAAGCAGTTTTTCATATATTCCATATATTCCATTTCATATTTTGGAATTGATACACACATTGATGCATTGTTTTGTGGCTAAACACTTAGTTTGGGAGGGGGGTGGATACTACACTTGGCAAATCCTGCAGGTAAAACAAATACTATCATATCCGGCATCTTAAGAAAGTGACTGTTGCCCAGTTAATACACATCTGCCCTTTTTAATTAGAGGAACGTGTATTTTGCCTTCATTGTGTAGCAAAATTTATTTAAGCTACTTCTTACTGACAACTTAAGCTATTTAAGCTACTTCTTATCTTAAAACAAGTTGTCAGTCTCACATCAGCATACAAAATGCAAATAGATAATGTTGTGCTTTCTGACATCACTTTCAGGAAAATTATGTCATTAAGAAAAATCTCATTGATAAATCACCAGTACTCAATTTCATAAATTGTTGCGAAAACCCTATTACCATTACCAATTATATATTGCCAGAAAATGTAAAACATCTATGATTATCTTTTTGATAAAATACCCTTTATTTCTAATTTTATGAATTACTTCAAAGTTTCATATTTGATACGAAACCAGTTGTATTACAATTAAGAATCATGACCTACACAGCTTTGAGAAAATGTAGCCAAACCTGTAAAAATAGTCTAACATGTATGGAATTTGTTGGTTGCCTTACTTACATAAAAATTTACCAAATGATAAAAAATGGTCATGTGAATGTAAATCAAGGTGGCTTTACAGGAACCTTAATTATCGTAACTAATTAATTAGTTAATTATAATCATAGATGAGACAGAAAGAGTATGAAGGAAAGTTGAGGTTTGATTTTGAAGGAATTTTTACTGGAGGTGGAGGTTGCTTTACATAGACAATTAAATTTTAGAAGTGGAATTTTAACAGGCTTGACTGAATATGATAAAAAGGAAATCAAATGAAATGACTAAAGACTAGAAACACACATGTTTAGAATCCCTAAGATCAGTTCTGCTATTCAATGTTCCAAATCTATTTTACACTCCACATTTAGTGAGCTCTTCAGGGGTCACATTTCCACCTGTGATAAAAGCCACAACTTTCTTACCTTCGATGTCAGGAACTTTGTTTGACAGCACTGCTGCAACTGCTGCTGCACCAGAGGGCTCCACTACCAAACCCACTTTGTAGAGAAGCTTAACTGCCCTGAAATTATTATGTTTATTTGTATCAGTATGGCATGGATATCTGTCGGTATAGCAGATAATAACAGTTTAGGTTATGTGCTGTAAGATGTGTATGTGCCAAAATATAATATATAAAAACAATAGCGCTGTTGCATGATGCATGTTCAGTGCCTAAAATATAGTTCACCCTGCTTAGGCACAGAAACAAAATTCCATTAATTCATGGTCTGTTGTGTAAGAAACATGTAATTAAAATTATTTGGCTTGAATAAAAACCAGGGGAACAAAGCTGTATTAATAATCACAAATCTTGTTTATAGACATACCCTAATGCTTCTTCTTCAGTGATCTTTATAACCCCATCCCCAAGGGCTCGGAAAATCTTGAAGGGTATTTGACCTGGAATACACAATATGACCTGGAATGCATTGCAGATATAAAGCAACCATTAAAGAATTAGAATTAGCAGATATAAAAACTTGCTGATTTTGATCAAAATGAAACCGCTCTTTGTTACCAAACACTGCAAACAATTTATGTCTTTGGATACAGCTCAAAGGTCATGCAAAACTGAATTGAATTCAACATTTTTAGAATACCAGAATTTGGATCTGGTTATTCTCTTTAAACAAGACAAGTACCAAATGCAGCTCTCAAGGATCTTTTAAGAAATTTTCTTTTCATCTACAATCCTACAGAATGTATTTTGTTCCACTTTTTTTTCTTTGGAGTTTTCGTTTTGATACTGTTGAATCTTGCTTTTCCATTTCCTTTCTACATACCTCTTTAGGTGATATTGTTGATAAACTTGCAACCAAACCTGCTCTAGTCTTTCATTCTGGCAATTAAATAACATGAAAATTTATTAACTATGTTTTGAAAACAATTATGACTCAAATGTTGCATTTTGAACCTGTGAATGGAGCAGAAATTCCATGGCAGATTGTCTTTGAAGGGTTTTCCATCATGTGGGCAATTTTGTTGCTATGTAAGCTGTCAAACATGGTACATGCTGAAAAGAAAGGTTTAACATGAGGTCTAATTGTGGCAACACTGGCAAAGCCCTGCAGCAAATGAAAGAAGTGCAGCTAACCTCGTACTCTAGGTTGCTTGCTAGATAAAAGTTTGTTAATAAAAAGGACTGCAAAGTGATTCCTCTGCAGAAATTTATGGATAAAGTGCCATTATACATTCTAGTGATATAGTGCTACATTCTAGAGAGGAAAAAACAGTTAAAGATAATAATTTGATTATCAGTAATGCTTCAATTTACAATCCTTCAAATATTTTATCAAATATTTCAACTCACAGATGGTATGCTCAACGCCATAAACCTTGGTTTTCTTGTTGCCAGACAACCTAATTGCTGCTGTTACTCCAGCCAAAAATCCACCTCCTCCACAACAGACTAGAACAATGTCAGCATCTGGGACTTGTTCCAAAAGCTCAAGGCCAGCACTGAAATTTATGAAATGCTGAAATGATTTCTATGAAGACATCCTGTGGAATATTAATTGTTAGTTGAAGCAGAAGACTTCCAATTGATAATATTTCATTTCTAAAATATATAAAGGCAAATACTAAAGGATATGATAATGATCTACACTTTCAGAAAGCTGACAACAAGGCAAAAGGAATGAATATTCATAAAGTGGAAAGGCTTAACCCTAGCACACAGCAGATTTTTGACGCAAAAGGCAAATATTTTTCTCTTTTACTACAAAAATCTGTAGTGTGCGGGGTGAAAATGGAAAATTTATGTTTTTTTGCAATAATCTTTGAGATGAAAATGTTTGATAACATCATGTTTGAATCAGAAGACAGGCTTTACATTCTACAAACCAATCAAACAAATATTTTTGTTATCTTCAGATTGCACAACATTTACCAAATAGGATAGCACATCTTTTACTTGAAAATCATAGCAAAGAGGGGGGAAAATGTGAAAACAGTTGTTCTGTGTGCAGACAGCAAGTTCATTTGCAAAAGACAAAATTTTTGTCTTCTGCAAAAAAATCTATGGGGTGTCCTAGACTTCAAATCATAGTACTGATTTGGTCAGGCTAAAACATCTGGGGGCTAAAGATACCTAAAGTCAACAGCAAGATGAGTCAATGTATGTTTTTAAGAACATTTGGAATTAGTGGGGGGGAGGGTAACAAGGGTAAGCCCTTTTACAGCCCCTGATTTGACAGCCCCTGCTTTTACAACCCCTGTCCAAAGGCACATGCTCAGAGAAAAAACAAAAGGAACAAGCCTACTTTAGGTCAGAAAGGACAAATATTATGCAGATTTATTTTATGAGTCATGCAACACATTATTTAGCATTAGAAAGTAGTCATTAAAATAGGAAATACCTTCCATGACCTATAATCACATTGATGTCATCAAATGGGTGCAAGAAATTGCTATTCATTCCACTCTTCCTTAACAACCTCTGTTTTTCACTAATTCCATCCATTAAACTTTCTTGAGGGTAATTACAGTTGACACTGACACCAAATGCCTTTAAATATGAGCAAAAATGTTGTGTAATGCTTCTGTATAAAAAATCAACACAAAAGAAGGCACTTACCTTAAATACAAAATTGCTAGTGTCAAATGCTAACTGGAATCTTGAAAGAAAGGAATGATTCTCGCTTTGACAGAAAATTCTGCTTAGAATCTAAAGTCCACTTTCAAGAAAACATCTGCTTTAAGGAAAAATTGACTAATGTCTTCCTATACTTATCCCACAAAGAACTGGTGTTCCAAGCATTAGTATGTCTAATAAATGATCTGCAAAACTAGAAAATTTTAAGAGTTGGAGCCATTCATAACTTGTGTAAGAAGGAAGAAATGCAGGATATGCTGTCCACTAGATACTGTGAATCTTGCGATGAGTAATAATGCAAAAAAATAGATAAGAACAAAGCAATACCACAACAAGAATCCAATGTAATGAGATAATTTAAATTGAGTGAATACTTATATTTTGCCCTCGCATACAGGGCTTCATAAGAGTAGATTTAGTGTAAATTTACTCTGTGATCATGGGCAAATTGGAAAGACAAGGTCAATATTTTCAGCAACTATTTAGCTACTCAATTTAATATTGTAACCTTGAAATGAATCATCTTCTTGCAGCAAATTTTCACTAAATTTACTCAGATGAAGCCCTGTTTCCTGGGGCAAAATATAATAGTATTAATCTTAGTACATTGAATTCTTGCTGCATTGCTTTGTTCATGACTATTTTTCATTCATAACGTGCCTGAAAATACCATTTTTATTCTATTTCTGCCACTTTTCAGTATAATGTGTCAAATAACCTCAATTCGCTGTTTTCTTGTAAGTGGTACAGTTTTTGGCATGTAAACATACGCTTGTTGAGCAACACCAAGTTCTTTAGCTAGAGTTGCGAATGATGTTCCATAATTTCCAGCTGATATAGTGATCAAACATTCTTCAGAAATATCCTCAATTTGTGAGAACTGGTAGGATGCACCTCTCATTTTAAAGGAGCCTAAAATAAGGTAAATTTAGATAAGATATCAAAATATCAAGAATGATTTTATAAATGAATAACAAAAGTCTTTTTCTAACAACAACATTCAGTTTCAGTTTCATTTATTCAAGCCATTTGCAAGTTCATAAAAAAGGAATGTTTCATATTTTTCTGCAATTAATTAAAGTTCAATGAATTATTAAGAAATACATATAAGTGGAACTTACCACTACACTGCATGTTTTCACATTTCATTTCAAAGCCTCTAACCAGCTGCATTATATTCTTTGTTCCTGGTCCAAGCAAATACCTTCCATCTATAACAGGTGTTTTGTGAACCAACCCTTTATCATATATCAAATCTCTAGCATCACTAATTATCTTATATGTAATCTTATCTTTAAGATCTCCAGGCAAAGGTGAGTATTTGTCATTTCGTTTCAGTAGGTTCCTGTTGAATAGAATGGAAAAATATGATAATCATGGACCAATTGGATTGATAAGATCAATACTTTCAGCACTATTTAGCTACTCAGTTAAATTAAGTAACCCCGAAAGGAATCTTCTTCTTACAGTAGTGTCTACATGACAGACTTTGGCTGCAAAAGTTGAACAGTGCCTTTGTCTGTTTTTATTTATCTTATTTGTGCATAAATGACTAAACGTGAGAATTTTGATGCGCACCATCTGGGCATGGGATGAATAAATGTAACTTCAATTCTCTGCAGATTAGGCCTTATGCAGTCCTGATAATTATCAAAAATTTTGAAACAATCATATTGATTTTGTCTATCACCGCATGTGAATCAAGCTAAAACTTTTTGAGAAGCTTCAGAATTTTATCTGCTGTAACAAAACCTATGCAAGGCCTGCCTTGCATGCACCAAGCTGCAAAACAAGTACGATTTTGGCTTTGCATAGCTGCAAATTGATCTATACAGGCCTGAAAAATTATAACTTTTTGCAAAAAATTGATAAAAATATCATTTGAAGTTTAATTAAAATAACATGGTCTGCTACACTGTTCTTTCATAGGCTTCAAGAGGTTAAATGTATTTGGGCATATTTTCATTGCCTAGAATCCAGTGAAACCAAAAATTTATTTTAGAAAGGTAAAGAAGTTATTAAGCTGAAAAAAGGGCGTGTCACACTTTTTAAGGGTGTGGTAAAAAAATGCTGCTTTTATGAGTGGTTACAGGATGACTACAAAATATCCATCTTCTGCCAGGCAAAAATCCTTAATGTGCCGAAGGACAAAGTGTTGGGGGTACCGCATTCCCCTGTACCTTTCTTTGGCGACGCCCCTGCCTTTTGGGAATAAAATACACATGGAACAGGATGATCTAATTTATTACCAACCATGCACAAAGTTTTAAAGTTTGAGCAGTTTTTGGTCCCTCTCGCTCTTACTTTTAGGAATTATCAAAAATGTTTATCTTTGCTATTTTTTTATCCCACCACTAATGATGTTACTAATGTTTTTCTCTGCAATGTATACCCAAAGTCACATACTCTGTTTTTACGGTAATTAGTCTCAGCCGCACAAAATTTCATCTGTGCTATTTGCAAATGCGCAATTTTCATGGACATGCAACAGATCCCTCGCGCATCTTTCAAAGATTCCAATCTGGTAGAGGTGCAAATATTGCTGGTCATTAAAAGCAAGCATAAGCAAGTTTTGTGTGCGTAATTACACAAAACTAGTTAAGGACAAAAAAGGGTAACTTTCTCATTTGCAGACTGCTTTTGTCTTACCATCCATGTAAGGCCCAGTTAGGCGATATTTCAACTTCATCCTGGGCATTGCTTGATGCAGTAACTTCCTCACTGGGAATGGTGGCCATGACAGTTTAGTAAGCCATGCTGAATCGCCCTCGTTTTGGGTAGCTATCGTTTTACATTTCTGCCGATTAATGCTATATCAGCAGTTCTTGAGCTGTTCAGTTCTCAGTGTGCTCAAAGGAGAGTTTTGATTGATCAAGAAACCATAGAAATGGCACATAAACAGCTCGTTGATAAAATGATTGCAGAAAATAAGGTGATGGTCTTCTCAAAGACTTACTGCCCCTTTTGTAACATGGCAAAAGATGCGCTGAAGAAAGCCGGCCTAAGTAACTTCACGGTGCTAGAGTTAGAAGACAGAAGTGATTGTTCTGATATTCAGGATTATCTCAAAAGCAAGACAGGCTCGAGAACAGTAAGCACTATAAAATTATACTTAAATTCGCTTTACTCACTCATCCTAAATGCGGTAGAAGAAAGTGCACTAACGGCATAGAAATATTCCTAGATCAATTGGCACGTGGCTCCTCAAATGGGCGTGGTCCCCTGATTGTTTTAGTTAAAGTATCATACCAATTTTTTGGGGAGACATGAGCTGTATGCCCCTAAAAGCTATGGGCTTGCATATTGCAGAACTTTCTCAGTGTAGGCTCACAAGATTTTTTTAAATAAAATGGAAGGGTGCACTGCTCTGCAAATTTTCCGGACTGCAGAGTATGGCAGTTTCCGAAGAGATCTCGGGCCGGTCTGGATTTTGCGGCAGTTTTGACGAGATCTAGGGAGTGCATCTGCAGTCTGGCAAATTTCCATGATCATACATAATTTTCTGACAACACCTTCTTTTGGAAACTGAGGTATATTAGGATTCTAGTAAAAAAATTCCATTGAATTCCAAACTGGAAATTTTGTTTCTTGCGCGAACAAGTTAATTTTGAAAATTTGCAACTGTGCGCCTGAAATTGTGCACATTTAGAAATTTTTAGTGTTAAAAATGTAGAAATTTATTAAATAGGGATTTTACGCAGCCAATGTTGCAAAAGCACACTGCTGAAAAATTTGAGTGCACAGGCAATTTATAGCAGGAACACAACAAAGTTTCCAGTCTGGAGCCAGTTTCAAGGTAATCTTTTAATCTTTGGTGATGACTGGCTATTGAATTATTCAGGAACTTGAATTTACCATTTAGGAGAGGGGATTCTACATTTTTAACACTACAAATTTCTAAATGTGCACAATTTCAGGCGCACAGTTGCAAATTTTCAAAATTAACTTGTTCGCGCAAGAAACAAAATTTCCAGTTTGGAATTCAATGGAATATTTTTACTAGAATCCTAATATACCTCCAACTACAGAACCTTGAAATTATAAAGTTTGGTCGAACTTCCTTTCTGAACTTAGAGATTTCCGTGCATAAAGATTATTCTCTGATGTTAACAGGCATTTGAATTGTGACTAAAATTATTTGATTGCTTGTAAGTTCTCTTTCTAATTTGAAGAGTTTCAAAGATTGGGGGTCTGACACACCCAAACCCCAAGTATTTACATGCCTGAATTTGTTCGCTGTTAGGCTGTGCATTAAGACATGCGTGCAAATGACCTCCTTTTTCTCAAAATTGTGTAGAAACCTTTTTTACTTTAAAACCAAGGGTGCAAAAGCTGGAGAAAGGAAGGGCTACAGCCCCTTTCCAACACACCTATTTCTGCACGAATGTTGAAATTTTAGCTAAATTATAGATAACTCTATCTTTCCCAAACCATATCTCAAATTTTAACTTGCACTGCACCCCTGTTTCGAATGAATCAAAAGTAAATCATTCAATCCCTCTTTTTATTGGAATAAAACCCAAGAATAAGAATATTGCACGCAATAATGCTATGACAATGTAAATATGCATTGATAGAATTACCAGGATATTTTGGATGGGATTCAACTGGACAAGGAGAACATTTGCTCAGGAAATAAGCACAGTGCCATGGCTAGCTATTGTGCTCAATTATTTCAGGGCTTTTAGGGCAGGGGTGCTCAGAGGTCCTTTATTTGAGTGAGCCATCCTTTGTTTGCTAACAGGTCTGATAATTTGTCGAAAAGACTCACGGGTCATTCCATGTCAATTCAGCAGGCAAAATATTGGAATGACACCATACCTCTTAGATTTGGCTCAAAATCTAACAAAACACTATTCCTGGCAAGGTTATTCCAGTCTCCAAATTTGATGCTTATAAGTTATACGGTTTTAGAGCTATAAGTGTTTCAATTTTGCTAAAAATACCCCAAAAAACCCTTGAATCCGCCATTTTGAATTTGCGGTCATGAAAAATTTAGAAATATTTTTACCAAAGCGTAAGTTTCTTTGTACCTACAGATTTGAAAATTTGGATTCTGGTATTTTAAGGTATGAGGATTTCAAAAAATCGATCAGAACCATCATTTGACTTAAGGAATACCTTCTAATTGATATCAGATTATGACATTCCAAAAATATGTGAATAACGAAAATGCAAAAAGTTAAAAAGCTTGAGTAAATTTTTCTCTATTTCTGATTAGTGTTACCAAAATGAGTTTTGGCATGGTGAAACATCATGCCTTACACTGTATAAAAACGTAAGGATGATGTTGGTGTCTCATCTCAGTATAGAGCTAGCTACCTTGGAAAAAGAGGGAAAATTTTTGAAAACTAGGTTTCAAAAACATGAATAGTAAAGAAAATTCTGACCTAAACTGTATGTGATCTCTAGCTATTCTTAAATCAATGAGCTAAAGGTTGCAACACATTTCAATGCTAATGTGTCAAACCATTTCTTTTCTTTATGTGCAGAAGTTAGATGTGCACAATGAGTTTATTGTGATGTCAGTTTTCTGAATAAATAATTTCAGTGTATGAATAGACATGTGTGAAATCCTTAGTGCATGCTAAATGAAGGTGTTGTTTAAGCAATTAAAAATTATTGTCCATGTATTATCCCTAGACAATAAAACTTTCTATTGAAGAATGGGTTGAATAAATTGAATGAGTTGAAATTGAGAAATAGCCACACTTTCCTTAGATTCAGAAGAAAAATACTTTGAAAGGTCATTCACTTTTGTTTAAAACTTCATGGAAGAAAATTGCTCAATAAGGACAGAATATAAAAGGTGAACAAGAAACCAGTTTAACTAAAATTTTTGAGTAATAAGAAGAAGGTTAAGGTAATGTCTTCAAATGACAACCTTGAAAGATGTTTCATTGGAAAAAATCTTGAAGAGAAGTGCCACCTACTTACTTATACAAAGGTAGCTGGATTAAAACCCCTTGAACTTCTAAACGATGAAGAAAAGGATTTGGTTTCAGTGAGATCAGGAGTTGTACCAGGCAAAGGAATGACAATATGCTTTCATCATGAGCAAACTCTCTTAAAGCAGTTCACTTCATTGCAAAGGAGTTGTTGTGACCCATTTGTAAGACATAAAAAGGCAGTTAAAGGATGTTCACGGGAAATAACACAAGCATTGGCTAAGGAATTGCAGCAGGTTAATGTTGAAGTGGTGCCAGGTTGGAAGCTTTGCCCAACATGTCGTAGAGAGGTTTCAAAAAAACTGGCAAATGTTAATGAGGGGGAGACACTGCAGCCTGAATTGTACGATGGGATCCTCCAAGAAACCAAAGAAACTGAGTTGCTAGAAGAGCTTCACAGAGATGAGGTGCGAGAAAAACTCAATTCTAGCTTGGAAGAGATGGATGTTAGCCCCATAAAACTTCATGGAGTTGCATCTCACTCTAGGCCTGCGTATGGAAAGCGCAAGCTTACACAAATTGAAAGCAGACTGCAAGAACAGAAGAAAGTTATCCAGAAACAAATATCGGAAGCTATGAATGTGACAACTGAGCTAATCCAGATCTCAGAACCATCAATACCAGACAACTATGATGAAGTAAAGAAGAAAGCAGATGATCTGGATATCCTTGTGGCATTGATGAAAGAGAAACTCAAAGTCTCAAACAGAGGACAAAGACTGCAAATTCTAACACTTGCACCTCGGTCGTGGTCTATTCCGAAAACCATGGAAGAATTTGAAGTGACATCTTACATGGTAAGACAAGCAAGGAAGCTAGGTGCTGAAAAAGGAATACTGGGAACGCCAAATGAAAAGAAAGGGAAAGTCATTTCTGAAGATTTAAAACAAAGAGTTGTTGCGTTCTATTGTGATGATGAGTACAGTTGTCAAATGCCAGGAAAAAAAGACACAGTCAGCATCAGAAGAAATGTCCCTGTCCAGAAAAGGCTTCTTTTGTGTAACCTTAAAGAGCTGTATTCTCTCTTTAAGGTCCAAAATCCTGAAGTGAAGATTGGCTTCCCAAAGTTTTGTAGTTTACGGCCAAAATGGTGTGTATTGGTTGGTCGATCTGGCACACATTCTGTTTGTGTTTGTACAATTCATCAAAATGTTGAACTTATGTTGGCTTCTGTCAAGTTAAGCAAAGATCGTCACCAGCTTATGGATATGCTAGTTTGCAACAGAGATTCGAAGCAGTGTATGGTACATCGCTGTAAGAGCTGTCCACCTATGCGAAATCTGGAAGAGTATTTGTTGCAGCAATTTGAAACACAAAATGACAGTGAGGAAGAAGATGAAGATAACATTGAAGAGCAAATCATCCAGTTTCAACAATGGACCACTGTTGATCGTGCTGAACTTGTCAGTCAGTAACTCCCTGTTTCTGACTTTGTCAATTTACTTGCCGAGAAGCTTAACAATTTGACATCACATTCGTACATCGCAAAGTCACAGATGCAATATTTGAAAAAATGCAAAGAAAACCTAAAGGAAAACGAACTTATTGTCTTAGGGGACTTTGCTGAAAATTATAAATTCGTAGTGCAAGATGAAGTCCAAGGGTACCCTGGAACCAGCAAGGATGCACTTTGCATCCAGTCATCATCTACTTCAAAAAGGACAGTGAATTGAAGCATGTGGAACTGTGTTTCATTTCGGATGATCTAAACCATGATACATCTTTTGTTTACAAAGTCATTTGCCAAACAATCAAGTTTGCAAAGTACAATATTTCAAACAATGTAAAACGATGCCTGTACTTCAGTGATGGTTGTGCTGGGCAATATAAAAATTGCAAAAACTTTATGAATTTGTGTTTGCACAAAAAAGATTTCCAAATTGATGGTAGTTGGTCATTTTTTGCTACCAGTCATGGTAAATCTCCGTGTGATGGACTCGGAGGGACACTCAAACGATTAGCAGCAAGGGCCAGTCTTCAACGACCAACTACTGAGCAAATACTTTCTGCAGAGCAGCTACTCGAATTTTGCCAAAAGGAAGTACCTGGCATTAAAGTTCTTTACATTTCCAAGCTCAGTATGGAATCTGTGCGAAAGAATTTAAAGGGCAGGTTTGATTTAACAAATACACTGCCAGGAACTCGAAGCTATCATGAATTCAATCCTATTTCAGAGACTGTAATGGCTGCTAAACGAGTTTCAGTGGACGAAGAGTATGCAATTCAGTATGACTTAGTCAAAGGGAAAGAGTGCCTGCCAGAGGAGGATAGCATTGAGATTAAAATTTCAGACTTCATTGTCTGTTATTATGATGAAGAGATTTGGATTGGACTGGTAGATGATCTAGATGATGAAAATGAGGATGCTCAAGTCAAATTCATGCATCCAAATTACCCATCAAGATCTTATTCCTGGCCAAGAAGAGAAGATATTTGTTTTGTGCCTTTTGTAAATATTATATGCATAATAAGCACTCCAGGCACAGCAACAGGAAGACAGTACGTTCTAAACAACAAGGACAAAATAAAGATCGAAAGTGAAATTAATTCACATAGCTTGTATTTAAAGCCATAGTAATATACTAATAATAATAACAATTATTATATTATTTTATAATTATTATAACATAGTAATAACAATTTTTATCCCAAGCAAGCATGAATTTTCAAGCGTTTGAGCAAGGATTTTCAGAGTTTATATCTATTTTATATAAATTCCTGCACAACAAGAAATGGAATCTTGCCCTTTTTAGTGTTCCCAAACATAAATTTTCAAAAATTTTCCCTCTTTTTCCAAGGTAGCTAGCTCTATACTGAGATGAGACACCAACATCATCCTTACGTTTTTATACAGTGTAAGGCATGATGTTTCACCATGCCAAAACTCATTTTGGTAACACTAATCAGAAATAGAGAAAAATTTACTCAAGCTTTTTAACTTTTTGCATTTTCGTTATTCACATATTTTTGGAATGTCATAATCTGATATCAATTAGAAGGTATTCCTTAAGTCAAATGATGGTTCTGATCGATTTTTTGAAATCCTCATACCTTAAAATACCAGAATCCAAATTTTCAAATCTGTAGGTACAAAGAAACTTACGCTTTGGTAAAAATATTTCTAAATTTTTCATGACCGCAAATTCAAAATGGCGGATTCAAGGGTTTTTTGGGGTATTTTTAGCAAAATTGAAACACTTATAGCTCTAAAACCGTATAACTTATAAGCATCAAATTTGGAGACTGGAATAACCTTGCCAGGAATAGTGTTTTGTTAGATTTTGAGCCAAATCTAAGAGGTATGGTGTCATAGCCCATTTGAATTGACATGGAGTGACCCTCACCCCACCCCCCCCCCATGACAATGGCCCTAAGTAGTGGTATTGAGGCTTGGTCAATTTTCACAAAAACTGTTGTTTCAGGTTTTCTCAATGTTACATTGTCAATAATGGGTTTTTTTTGCAGGTCCCTCAGGTTTTTATTGCTGGAAAATACATTGGTGGTGGGTCAGAGTGTAAACAGTTGCAGTCTCAAGGAAAACTGAAGAAGATGTTGCAGGATGCTGGTGCTCTTTAAAAAGCATAGAAGAACTATTCTCTGGTGATAAGGTGCTACTTTGATTCACATTTAATTTTATGTGTTTGTTCACATCATTGAATGGCATTCAAAATTATCTTAAGTATCATTGTGAAAAACATGTCTCACCTTGTCATATTTCACAGATTTTATGTCTCAATCCGTTGTGGTTATTTCTAATCAGCATCTGAAAATGTTTTATTAGATTAATGTATATTTTTAAAATAGAAATAGACTAAAACATGTTGTTAGTTCTCTTTTGTTGTCCTTTTTTCCTCTCTAGACTATTTTCCACAACACACTTTTATCATAGTATTCTTTGTTCCTAAAATATTGAGCTAAAAGCACAGCTCAAGTTAGCATGTCAAGCGATTCTAAAGAGATTTTTCTTAATTTCTTTGATATTTAATAGCAATTTTGTAGACAATTTCAACTTTCTTGAAATCAGAATATTTATTGTGATTCACTCTTTATTTGTGTTAATTTTGGTGTGCTGATAGCTTCAATCTTTTTGGCTCATTGACAGGGACTATGCCCCCTCAGTAGCATTTTGATTCAGAAATTTCGATACCAAAAGTTTTTTCAACTTCCCCACCCTCAAAAATTTATCATAAAATCTTCCTTTTCCAAATGTGTCTTTGTTGTTGTCTTTAGGTGTCGTCTTTCCTTTTCTATGGTTGCTACAAGCAGGCCCTCTGAGAGATTTCGAGGCCCTGGGACAAATTCCAAAGACACACCCCCTTGTGAGGAAAGCGAGCAGAAAAGTTTTGCAACCAGGCCCTTTTTTATTAGCTTAAATCAATTAATTTCATTAAATTTTTTACTATTCTTAAATCATAATAATGCTACTTCTAATAAATTCCAGTTTAAAACAGAACTCATTACTTTATGAGGCCCCCTGTAGACCTCAAGGCCCTGGTGCAATTCGCCCCCTTGCCCCCTCTCTCTTGGCAGCCCAGGATACAAATCCCTATTCATCATAATAGTCAGCATTTCTCTGCTCACCAAAAGCAAACAAGCATATGTTACACTGCCTGTCTCTCAAGCATATATTTTCTCGTCAAAAGCTAAAATTGTTCAGTTCAGCCTAACAGTCTCGAATCACTTGCGGCACCGTAAAAAGTTTGGGGTCTGTCTACCTTTCTTACATCTTTATTTTCTGTTTGTTTTACATCCACAGAGGAATGTCTTATTAAGTCATTGGCACCTGCCTGTGGTGCAAAGGGTGCTTTGAGAAATTAATAATTGCTCTGTTTCTTTGATTACTTGCCCTGGAATTTTCCCTAATTTCTTGTATCTAGCTTCTTTGAGTAAAGGTGCGAGGATGGCTCTGTGGTTAAAGAGGTTCGAGTCCTTGCTATGAGAAAAATCGCCAGCTCTCTTTATTTCCAGGCGTAGGAATCACGGGTTATGGTCACATCGAGAGGAAGGACTAGAACGCTGCTCGATAAGCAAGCTTCACAGTGTCCTAAGACTACCTTCAAAAACTAGGTGACAACAATTACAAAATGCAAACAAAGATACAGGGGTAATGATATTCAACTGCGTACTTCAATGACATGTATCTCGTAGCTACGGTCATTTCATTCCTCAATCATCTGCCTAGCTCCTTATAGAATTTACCGCCACTTTTTCTACCCCTGTAACTACATTCAAGAAGCTCCTGACTTTCGACTGGGAAATGAAAATTTGAGCGGAAAGAGACAGCCAATCAGGAGCTATCTCCAATTAAAATGAATTAACCTGTGCTAGCACAGTGAGGCTTGATGCGAAAAGGAGGCGAGAGAGAATTATGAATTTGCCGAACACACAGCCAGTCCAATGAAAAAAGCTTTATCGTAAGAGCTTTTTTGTAATTCTAACGACTTTATAGCTGTTTTTCTGTGAGAGCTATAAAGTGCTTTGTTGATTTTTATATATATTGTTTTAAGACTTTATAAAAATTCCCTCGCCCAACTTCGTGATTTATTAGGCATCCGAAAGGTTTCAAATAACCAGGACTTCCGAGAGGGGGCAAAGGGCAAAGGTCAAATTGCCCCAAGGCCTCAAGGCTTCATTCGGCCTAATAATGTAATTTTTCAGAATGGAGTTAATCAAACATAACAAAAATATGCCTAAGAATAGTAAAACTTTTTAAACTGTTGAAAGAAAATGACCTCAAGAAATATTCTGAAATGTATTTAAAGCTAAACTAAAGAACATGGTCGCAAAAAATTGTCGCAAGGTCTCCTCTGCTGTAAACCTGCTTTAACAAATAAATATTTATGTATGCACGCATGTATGTATTTTTTGCCCTGGGACATCTGAATCCTCTCGGCAGCTTTGCAGAGCCATTAAATGCGCAACAATTTTCACCGTCACAAAGACAATATATTTTCACGATATTCAGTCAAAGCGGCGGTCCCGAGATGCTTGAACTTGACGTTGTCCGCGATCCTTTGAAAAGAAGATATCAAAACTAAAATTTGCTTAGCCAGTAAACGATGTACTGTACCTGGGCCTACAAGCGAGGAACATGAAAACATTTGCATATCTTATTTTAGTAATTTGAAAAGCTTTAACGAAACTTTTAATTTAAAGAAAGGATACATGATTTGGTTGACGGATAAAAACATTAATTTTCATTCATTCTCAAAACATTAAAAGTTTTAAAGAAACTGTACAAGGGAGTTCATGAAATCTATCGACAACCGTTTTTATATTCGTCGACACTTGAATTTTTCTGAGATTGTCGGCACATTGTGGTTTCTAGCACCATCTCCGAAGTGTAGAGCTATTCATGTGGTTGATGGATTTTTCTGCTCAATTCTCAACTTCTCTTAAGAGAAAGCGTCAATTTTGTTTAACTCTTGGTTACAGCCATGAGGACTGTTTTGTTCAAAAGCTGTGATAATCAAGTGGGTAAGTGGGCCTGTTTAGCCAGCTTTCAGCAAGCGCTGATTTTTGAGTTCCACTTGCAGCAACGTGTTCTTGTTCCTAGATAAGACATGGTGTTTCCTCTTTTTCTGATTATTCTGCACAGAGAAAGGTAAGTGTACCTCCAAAAAATATTTTTTATACTTACCTGTTTTATGTTGAATTCATTTGCAAATTTTCCATTTTTCAGATTCGATTGAATTTCAGTTTGGGACTCTATATATGTAGCAAAGTGACCAAGGTTTAAGGCTTTTAATTTCTATCTTGCATGCAAAATGATAGTTAATTATTCTGAGACATGATTGGAGAAATCATTCAAAATTATCTTAAGAAATCTGTTAAAGTTAGTTTTCATTGTTTGAATTTTCTGTAGCTGCGATGGGGCTCTATGGTTTTAGTTTCAATTCGTGTAAGAGCAAATAAAACAAACGACTTGATGATATAGCAATGGTTATCAATAGATGAAGAATTGAAGGTTGCATTTTGCCTCACAGGGAGCGATAAAATTGGCGAGAGCATTACCACAATAAAGAAATTTGCATGAATGAATCTGCAAGGCAACCCTTGTGAGCAGAGAATAAACAAGATAAAATCTTATTGATTACAGCCACAATGAAGCAAAAGCCAATGCAGAAGTCCCAACGTAGAATACTAAGCCATGCACAGGGTAAAGAGAGAGTAAGAGACCGCTCCATGGCTATATGCTAGGGGCTTCCTGAGTGTGGGGTGGGACTAAGAGGCTGGAACAAAGGAGAATATAGCCTCGGATTAAACGCAGTCGAGCACCATTTTTGACTTTAAACTGCTCATTTCATCAACTATAATCTCTGATCTTAGGTAAAGAGAAGTCGCATGAAGAAAAAATGAAGCTGCTTCTCTTTTTATTCCAAGGTAGATTTGTTTGCTTTTTGGTGATATCATTGTTTGAACTTGTGCTGACATTAAGATTTCCTGTAGAAAATACTGACAACGCACCTCCTCTCCCCCTTCAAAAAAGTTGGTTGTGGAGTTTAATGTCACAACTATCTGGCAGAAATCAATTAGTTGACAGCAAACCGCTTGATATTTCATTAAACATTTTTTGAAAGGGGAGAGGGACATGGAATTGAAAATTCACAATTACTTTTTCTTGTGCTTGCGTTTTTCTGATTGGCCTATTTCGATCTACAACTGGGTTTATATTTTTCATCGTGTTCTTTCGGACCCTTATTCTGACGTTTTATGCCCTGAGGAGTGTCAGACGAAAAAGCTTTTAGTATCTTGTAAAATGTTTGCTTTTTTCAAAGCCATTTTCAAATTCTGTACCGCAAAAAGTTACTTAGTGCAATATACCAAGAAGTTTGGCAGGCATTGTATTAGTGTTTCTTTTCTCATTCAGAAGCTTTCGGATAGTTTATGAAAGGGCCTAGTGTTACGCTTGAAAAATTAAGTAACATTTGTTTTTTCAGGGCTTGTGATTGGTGGCCTAGCATTACAAGATGAAGGTATTTTTTCTCACAATTATCAAAGATCCCATTTAAATTATCAATTCTTTGCGTCTTTACTGGTAGAAATCTCTACCTTTACCTGTGAACTGCTAAAACGCTTAACTTTATTTTACACAAACATGTGTGAATCAAGTTTTTAAGAACATAATTATTTTGTCAAACGCATGAAATGCATATTTTATGCTCCTTTCGCACTGGATTTAACGTGTACACAAAAACCTTTCTGCACTCTAATACATATTTGATTTTTGGTTCATCCTTTAATCTCCTTCGAAATATTTTTTTCAAGCGTCGTTTCTCCTCGCAACGCAAATCAGACTTAAATTATTTGTGACAATGTGAAAAATTACTTTTTAGCTCAAGGCGACGGTCCTTTCAAGGAGCCACTTGAGCCTGGTAAGTTAAGTGATTCAAATTCTATGGCTTTTTGTTAAAAATTCTTTGATCCGCTAAACAAAGAGTCAATTTGACAATATTCATGGTAACATGTTTTACAGGGAATTTCCTCATAAATTTGTTGTCGGACTTCTGAAAGTGCGGGACACTCCTAAGACTTCGGTTCACCAAAAAACTCTTTGCAGAATTTCCAGATATTGAAAGTGCCTTAATCTGCTACATTAGTTCTTTAACTATCTATGTTTTCCTTCATATAAGATAAATACAGTGATGCAATGTCTTCAGTAAGCATTATATAAAAATTATAAGAAATAAACCCTGAAGCCTGTAGGGATTATTTTCATTGAATCATGAAAAACAAATCGAAGGTAAAACGTTGAAGCAACAAGCTGTATCTTCAACACTAAACAAGTCCAACCTCTGCAAGAAGAATTTATTGAATTTTAAGTTAAGCCCATAGAAGTTTCTTATGAAAAGTTTCTTATTTAAAAAGTGCATGCATATGTGGATTAATTTACACGGAGGTTTTTGATAAAACAGATATTTATTATCTATCATAATAAAAAGGACAGGATATTAGTCATAGTGAAAATAAGAAATATAAACATATTTTGTTAACTGTGACTTTAAAGGGCTAAATCACACACAAATGTGGCCAATGTTCTGCATGGGCCTAGCCTGCAAGTTCAATTTGTAAAGGACAAGAGGAAAAGAGGAAAATGTTGCTATCTCTATAAAGCATGAATTTATTATACTATTATAGTCACTTTAAGCCCAAAGATTTCTAGTGAATATGGCTCATTAAATTTATTTTTTAATTTATGTTTATCTGAGAGCGAGTTCTTGTATTTGTGTCCTGCATTACAGTTTTGCTATCGTTTTACCAGGTCTTGGCGATGTCACTTTCTCAACAAGAGCAAACATTGAGCTGCAAGGGTAGGGTTCTAGATTTTAACTTTTTTCGTACCGTAAATCCTCGAATAAGCCCCCACACTCGAATAAGCCTCCTCCCTCGAATAAGCCCCACTCGAATAAGCCCCCACCTAAAAAATCATTTTTGCAAATAAGCCCCACCCTCGAATAAGCCACCATGAGAGCATTAATGTATTGAAAAATCTCTCGCTGTCTGTCCCTGTCTCTGTCTCTGCTTCTGTCTTTGTCTGTCTCTGTCCCCGTCCCTGTCCCCGTCCCCGTCCCTGTCCCCGTCCTCGTCCCTGTCTCTGTCTTTGTCTGTCCCTGTCCCCGTCCCTGTCTCTGTCCCCGTCCCTGTCCCCGTCCCCGTCCCTGTCCCCGTCCTCGTCCCTGTCTCTGTCTTTGTCTGTCTCTGTCCCCGTCCCTGTCTCTGTCCCCGTCCCTGTCCCCGTCCCCGTCCCTGTCCCCGTCCTCGTCCCTGTCTCTGTCTCTGTCTCTGTCTGTCTCTGTCCATAGTTGGAACCTACCGGGAAAGAAGGGGAGGCTGCAAATTTTTAACACTATCTTTTAAGGATCGCAGTTGACGATCTCAGCTAAATTTGTTTGCAAAACATGCTCAAAATAATTCGTAATTGCATACTGATTCAACAATCTGAGACGTCAGGACGAGATCGTCCAATAGTAGGAGCCTATTTTACGATCTCTTGGTAAAAGATGCTGCTTTTCTGAAATGTGTTTCCTAAAGAGGGTGGCTTTACTGTATTCATACAAGCGTTTTCTTTACCTTTTTGCCATGAATTTTTTATTAGGTTTAAAGTGGTCAGAGTTGTGCCAAAGAATTCTGGCCAGCTCGGATTTCTGCGTGTGCTGTTGAACCAAAACAGAAAAATGTTTGATGTAAGTGGGGTGAACAATTTATCTTGTACTAGGGTTTTGAGTTTAGATTTTCCACTGTTTGAGTATCATAAAAATCCAAACATAAAACTAGATTAGAACTTTTTAGATGCAGCTCCATCTAGTTGTTCAATTTTTTATTGCATAGTTTTTCTTGGATATAAGAATACTGTCAGGCGATATTCTATCGAACAAAAGCAATGATTGTTGAGTGGATGTTATTAACTTTTTTTGACTAGCAGGACAAACAGAGCACCCTCTCTGTCTTTTACCTGCAATTTATTTGGCTGGAATTATTCTTCATATTTTGAATGTATCATCATGTTCTTTGTTTGATAATTGAATAAAAAGTAAGTGCCTGCAAGATAAGACCGAAGACGGTGTGTTTTCTCGTTTCGTATACTTTTCATAAAATTCAACTTGCGATTTCCAGGGTTCTTTTGTTTCTTCACAACGTTTATTTTGTATTTAACTGTTTCGTAATGTTCTTTTGCATTGTATGGTTTGTATTCGAAAATTGTTTGAATGTGATTTTATCCGTGACTTTATAACACACATATAGATCGATTTCTGGAAAGAGCCAAATGAGGTTGGTGTAGCCGTTGACATGATGGTGTCTCCTGGAGATTTGAAAAAACTTTCAACATACTTCGATCAACATGGCCTAGATGTTTCATATTTGGTGCAAGATGTAGAAGAGGCTGTTGAAAAAGAGAACGAAAGACATGCAGGCACATTGTTCAGCACGTATTCTGGTTTTGACTACGGGAGATATCATTCATTAAATGAGGTAACCGGAGGTGGAAAATTCCTTATTTTTGGAAGGGTAGCGATAATGTCAACTCAAACGGAAAGAATCTTCGCTTGAACATCAATGATAAAATGACATTGACATTCGAATATATAACAAAAAATTATACTCATAAAGATTATTATGGGTCAGAAGTCAATGAACGACGCAGTGCCTGCGACCAAAGACAAATTGTTCACTCTATTAAACTCCAAACAATCTTTTGGTGGTACAAAACTTGAAAATGGCTTTGAAAAAAGCAAACATTTGGTAAACTAAAGCTTTTCGTCTGACACTCTTCAGAGTTTAAAACGTCAGAACATAGATCGAAAACTCTACGCTATGAAATATATATACCCAGTTGTGGATCGAAATAGGCCAATTCAGGAACACGAGCACATGACTGTTGAGGTTGACCAATCAGTGCCGCTTGAGAATGTTACCAATGGAGTCCGAAGGTGAAAACGAACTCCTTTTGTCTACACAGTAGCGGTTTTTTCGTGCTTATGTAGATAGATTTTAAAACTGCTAGATGGAACGACGATCGGGCTTCACCAATAATCCAAAACATGTCGCCATTATAGTTTTTTGCATAATCGGGGTTTTCCAGTAAATGCTGCCCGATAGCAGAATCACAGGTTTTAGTTTAATTTTAGATTTACAAGACCGAGATGGCTGTTCTCTTTGGGGACGAGTTTTGTTTCTAATACTAGACGGAACATGTTGTTTTATTCTATCCTCTAATCTTTGGGTAGTGCGTCCTACGTAGCCATAATCACACTGGCACGTAAATTCATAAACAACAGAACTTTTTTGTGTGGTAGGAACGCAGTCCTTTTGAATGGACGCATTGGCCTTTTTCGTACTGTAAACAATACGTGGGTTAACTGCAAAGAAACAATTTGTAATGGCCTGTTTTATTTGACCTTCAAAACACAGGGAACTGTCACCGATCCAGGGTAGTTTTAGATAGACCGGGCACTTTTGAGAACCAAATTTTACGTCAGCCGAGAAATTTCCTATCTTCTCCTTAATGTCAACTGAAATGACATCCTCTGGATAGCCGTTCTCCAGAAAGATCTTGGTTAGTTTTTCAAGTTCTGAGTCGAGTTTAGACTTGGAACAAATCATCAGTGCCTATTAAATTCCCTTTGGTCTTCACTTTCCATTTTTCATCTTTTCAGCCACAGAGGTAACCTAACTTCTAACTTTAAGTTTGTCCAATTTTAACTTTAAGACAAAACCCTGGTCTCTTTACCTAATCTTATAAAGTGTAGTTTACCATTAACATTAGCTGTTAAAGGAAAACAAAAATCCCTAGAATTTATGGGAATATGGAAATTTAGTAAAGATACTTGCCGTTTTTCTATGCAGTTATCCCTACCACCCTCTGCAGTTATCTTTTGACAAGGGCAAGTCTCCATTCAGCGGCATTAAGTCTTGATAAGTATTTTTGCTTCTTCTGGTGTAAAGGCTATGCACAGCTTTGTAAAGACTTATTCTTTGAATTTTGTAGATTAACAGCGAATTGGCGGATCTTGCAAACCGTTATTCCAATGCAAGAGTTTTCAGCATCGGGAACAGTTATGAAGGAAAATCGATGAAGGCTATTGAGGTAAATGAATAATAGCCTGTATTATTATATTATATGATATTATATCATATTATTTTATGTTATATTATATTATATTATATTATGTTATGTTATGTTATGTTATGTTATGTTATGTTATGTTATGTTATGTTATGTTTTGTTATGTTATGTTATGTTATGTTATGTTATGTTATGTTATGTTATGTTATGTTATGTTATGTTATGTTATGTTATGTTATGTTATGTTATGTTATATTATATAATATAATATAATATGAAAACTTGTGTTATCTTTTATTGTCTTTCATTATTTTATATTTTTTGGTGCGTTTTATTACATAGGAATTTGTTATTGCGTTATGATGTAGTGCTTATAATCGTAATCAAGTTGCATTTTGATGTTACAAATAAAACTTCTTTTGGCCAGCGGGAAAGATTAGGATACTCTTGAACCATCTGTGTAGCGTTTTTTAAACTGTATTTTGCAGATTAAGGGATCAAAGAAACTCAACAAAAAGACATTCTTCTTCAACTGCGCAATTCATGCAAGAGAGTGGGTTACAGCAGCAACTTGTATGTACATGATTAACCAGGCAAGTCTTTGTGAACTCATACCATGTAAACATTTTGTACGATTGAGATTGTACGAAAAACTATGCAAAAACCACCAAAAATGGAAATTAAATTTATCAATTGCAATGACTTCCGTTGACCAAAAGTCGATGAAATAAATTTTAAATGCATTTCCAAAGATGTTGTAAGAGATGTGACGTATCAAGTAAACTTATCATACTATGTATTTTGACACATTTTTCACAGAGTGCCTTTGGGGGGGGGGGGATGTAAAGGTTTAGTAAAATCCATCAATACAGTACTTTGCACAACATGATCCGAAAATCTGCTGCCTTCTCCACGTTCAATGAATCGCTTTTGTTTGTTTTCTAGATGCTGACTCAATATGGAAAAGATCCCTCAGTTACTGCAATGTTAGATAAAATGGACTGGGTTGTTCTTCCAGTTTTCAACGTCGATGGCTACTCGTACACATGGAACGGGGGTCGTGCAAGGATGTGGCGTAAAACAAGAAGCCGGGGGTATCGATGCTATGGTGCTGATCCAAACAGAAACTGGAACTACAAATGGGGAGGTATGTCTGTGATATTATTCTCTCTGTTAATAAAAGTAAATTATAATTGCTGAATGCCCCTCAGCAAACATTCTTCTGTTAGCTCCAGTCTTCTCAGAATCGGACTGTTTAAAAAGAACAAGTGAAAAGAAGTTTTCTCTAAAGGGAGCGTTTTCCTCAATAAAGTTTCGGTCACACACTTGTCATCCCACAACTTTTAGACTGGTGCCCGGTGCCTACTTGGCCATTACAATTAACTACAATTTACTTAAAGTCTGTCCGGAAATAGGTGCAGAATGGTACAGTTTGTGTGTTTAGGTCAACAGGCAGAGTTCTCAGCTCTGCTATAACATTTGACTTGTAGGAAATGGCCCAATATGGATTTTATTCCCTGTTTTTAAAACGTTTGTTGTCATAGATATTGGATATAATGTACTTGAGTGTGGCACATACAGTTCTTGAAATTGCTCGTTAAACTCTCAAAAAACTACACAAAAAATGTAAGGTTTATCCAAATCTGACTTTTCGCAAGATAGAAGGTCTTCCAACTGGATGTCGTAGCAATATAATAGTTAGATTAATCAGCCTTTTTTTTTCTTTCTAGGAGTTGGAACGTCAAGATCTGAATGTGACGATACGTACCACGGACGCAAGGCATTCTCTGAAGTTGAAGTTCTAAATGTCGCCCAGTACCTTTACAGGAGAAAGCAAGATCTTGCAGGATACATGGACATCCATGCCTACAGTCAATTATGGATGACACCATGGGGATACACAAGAAGTTACCCAAATGATTATAGAGAGATGGTAAGATATCTATTTCATCAAATTTCATGTACAAAAATTATTCATCAAGACACTACATTAAACAGGTTATGGTTGTACGATTTGTACGTACGGAAACTACCTGTTGGTGGATGACTTGCCAGTTTACCACCACAAGGCTGATTGAATTGGAGGCAAGCCTGCTAATCAAATACAATGCCTGGATTTAACCCAGTGACAAGCAAACTTTTAAAAGCAAAATTTATGCCTTGCCTGTTGGATTTATTCCTTTTTTATTTTGAATAGTTTGGTATCCCTTTGTCAGTGTCAACTGAAACATCAATTCTTTTAGTCTCGTCTGGAGGAATCGTCGTTGTATTTTATTCATAACCTTTTATGTATATAATTATGGGTAGAGAACTAATTCTGTGTGCATGCCACTTTGCAGATGAGAGTAGCGAATATTGCTGTTAGGGCGTTGAGGAATGTTTATGGTACATACTATCGCGCTGGAACGTCATCAAACATCATTTGTAAGTCAACAAAATTTTGATTTCATTGTATGCAGGAAAGAGATACCGTATTTCCTCTAAAAACGCCGTGGCGTTGATAACGAAATCCAACGTTTGGATGTGGTGTTTAATAGAGGCGGCGTTTATCAGAGGGTGGTATTTTTTCAAATGGTTGGCTGAAGATGCGGCGTTCAAAAGAGGGTGGCGTTCATTAGAGGAAATACAGTATCCGAGGACCTATTTCAATTAACCGTGCAGTTACAGTGTTTATATTTTCTTCTGATTGCTGATAAAATCGATTTGCATGTCGGGTTATGCTAATTTTGTGCTGACATTCATATCGATTAGAAAACTCAATCCTATCATAAGCGATATCCCCCTAACATATCGTTTATGGGTAGAGCATATCCATGGTAAATGTTATAGCATTTTCAATGTTTCTAACAAATGTTTCAACATTTTCAATGAGTGGGTTTTGTCAGTTTATTGAGTTTCTATCTTACATGGTTGCCTAAATTATCCTTGATTAGTTGTAGAAAATTTAACATGATCCTGCTAAGGGATGGAGAGCTTCTTGACTTAACCATCTTGGAAATTTATGAATGAGAAAAAGGGGCCCTGGTCCTGACCGTGATTCCTCTAATGAAGTAGGGAGAGGCTCTTGATTTCACCATCTTTGAATTTTTGTAAGGAGAGGGAGAGATCCTGATCCTTAACACGATCTTGCTAATGGAGGAAGAGCTTCTAGACATTACCATCTTAGAAATTTTTTAGGGAGAAGGAGAGAGCCTAATCCTTAACATAATCCTACTAAAGCACCCCCCCCTCTTTGCATTAATTTATTGCCACTTCAAAAATTCTAAATGAGTATCAGTTTACATGGCCTATTATTCTCTTGAGAAATGTTAACCCTCTCGCTCCAGTCATGTTTGTTTACTACCGTATGCCGGTGGCAGAACAGTGGAGATGATTCGAAAAAGCCAATCTTTTGCCTTCTTACAATAATTTTCTTAATATTTCTGCTACCTAACTTTACAACACTTTAATGGAATACTCTATCAAGAAATATCTTTGTTGATGGATAAAACATTATTATCAAGGGCGTGTTCCGATGACGTTTCCTAAAGTAACTTCTGTGTATCTCTGTGTCTCTTAAGCTCAGCTTTGTAAATACACTCCAAAGACTCTGCTGTATATGTATATATCTTTAAGATGGTGTCTGACCAGGCGTCCTTGATTGTTCGTAGACGCAACAAGTGGAGGCAGCGACGACTGGACCTATGGCGCCCTAGGCCTTGTTTACTCCTACGCCCTGGAGCTTCGTGACAGGGGACGATATGGCTTCCTTCTCCCAGCCAATCAAATCATTCCTACAGGAAGAGAAACCTTTGCCGCAATGAAAGCTATGGCAGCTGCGATGCGTGTGTAGATGCTATAAAGCATGCGCAAGATGGATATTTAACTCGACTAGTGATTTTCTGTAGTTTTCGTTCACAACAGAGCGCTAATCTTTAGATGTTCTGTGATACTAAGCATATGTTATTAAAGGATATTTTCATCACTCAACTTGAATTTTATTGTCTACAACAAGGCTTAGTGCACAGTTCAAGCCACTCTTTCCCTGCAGACAACAATTGCTATTCCATATTGCTCCACTTTTCGTAATGTCGCAACATGATTCTCTTCCCATGCGTCCATACTTTGTTCAAAGTCATGAAGATCAGAACGAGCTGGCCAAAATGAAATTGCTTCGCCCACCATTTGCCCCTGTAAGTGGACGTGGCTGGTCTTGACGAAACAGAAAACAGTTTGAGATGCACATATCCTTCATTTGTCTTCTTACTGTTACGTTGTTGTAGAGGTACAGTAGAGGGTTTAAAAGGCTGTTCAAAAATGTGACCGTATTTGCCATGCGATTTGCAATATTTAAAGCAAATAACTGTGATGAATCGGCTCGCCATAGTAGTAATTTAACAATAAACATAGGCAAATACATAAGGCAAATTGTGATCACCATCAATGCAAATGTCACTGTAATTTTCTTCTTTCGGGTTTGTGGGTTGCTTCGCACTGTGTTTGGGCCTTGCGGTCCGCAGTTGGTCACCCGCCGTTCTCTTCTACGTATTGATTTCAATATGATTGCGTAGGAAACAATGAACGATATCACTGCAAACGCAACCGTAAGCGTAAAAGCCAACTGCGCTAATGAATTGTTTATAACATTTGCTGTGTATAGGGAAACAAAACAGACTCCTTGTACCCAAATAAACACAACAATAGCGCCGAAAATTTTCGGATTTCCATAGCTTTTGTACACGAACGGCTTGACCGTTGCGAGCAATCGATCGACGCTCATGCCACCAGCGGTCACGAGCGACATGCCGCAGACTAGGTACGCAGCGAAGCTGAACACTAGGAATGCTGTGCTGTCTATAGACCCCTTCATGTCGTGGATGATATGGACCACGTATGTCGGCTGAACTACAAGACCAGTCAGGATGTCAGTCACGGTTAAATTACAAATCAAAATTCGTGATGGTGATTTCTGGTTGCGGATGTGAATGCGCAAGAGAAGGCTGTTCAACACCACTGTCGCCAGCGAAGATGCAATGTTGATTGCGACTGTGATTACAGCAAATGTGAAATGCACTTTGTGTTCATAACTAGAGGAATTGTTCTCCCTATGCAAGTTAAACTCCCCTCTTAGAATGCTATCACCCATACTCAGCTGCCGCTCCCAAAGCACGATCCCGACGCTTGTCTTCTCCGATAAGGCTTTACTTTACTAAACATAGAATCTTCTGGACCAGCTACACGAATCAGTTATCAGCCTACTAGAACCTGTTAGACGTTGACGTTCAACAGAAAGTCACTCTTAAATGTGCGATTATCTTTTGTTCATCAATTGATTATTTGACGGCTCTGAGAAACTCAGCAAATCAACTGCCACGTTTGTGTCGTCGTTTTTCACCTTCGTATTCTGCTACCACGAGAAAGCATGCAACTAGTATTTCAATTCCAAAAGCAAATACTTAAACCAAATGCTCCTAATCTTCAAGCCAACACCTAAACTTCCTAAAAGCACTCAAATGTGTTTGATTTCTTGTCTGATTTGTGCATTTATTTAACCGTTTCCATGACAAATTTCAGAGTTAACTTCGCCTAAAAACCCGTGCAATTGAAACAGCAAATATTTTATGTCCGTTTTCTCTTATTACGAATTTCCCCGATATCGATAAAGCTTAAATCAAACCATTTGTTAATCAATGTTTTCTTTCCATTTGATTTCAGCCAGGTTTTCGGGCTATTTGTTGATCTGACTAGCTGCCCGCCATATCGTTCATGTTCTTTTTGGCAAATTCACTGAATGAAGAAAGAAAAATTATCTATTAATAACTTATCGGTTCTTGCATTTTTTTCTAAGTAGTATGCCAAGGTAGTTTGTGGGGCACTGCAGAGCTATGCTGATCGAGGAGTGTCCTGGACCTCCCTCGCCATGTAACCACAACTCATGTTTTTTACAACTAAAGTTGCAGAGGGCTGGCGACTCCCTGCACCCCAAGTAAATGTCTGGCCATGTTAGGGATTTAAACCCCGGACCCATGGGTCTTTAGTCTGCGGCCTTAATCAGTAAGCCAACTTTTCGGTGGGAAGATTACAATATTGTTATAAGAAAGACTAAACTAGTTCTGCCAAAATTATTCCGTCCAAATGTTTTGAATAAGAACATAGCTTCTAAGAACGAAAATCATAAAAACAGTCAAAGTAAAGAGCGTCATGAAAACGGGAGGACTTAAGTTGGACTTAATATTAAAAACAATTCAAAGATTTTAATGATGCAAATGCTAAAGTAAATTGATTGAAAGAGTGCGCGGATGTCATATTGGAAGTTTAAAAGAACATGAAGGAAATCTTTAACTAAGAGCATGTTAAGTCCTTTGTCAAAATCTTTTGCAAATATCTAAGGATATTTTAAGCGTTTAGCATTTTCCAATCTTCTTATAAAAAACGTGTTTTCAAGCAATATCAAATATTTAATTCGTGATAATTTTTTTCTTATGCCAAGGAGACACAACAAACAAATTGTTTTGATATCGCTCAACAAGCTCAATCCAAAATACAACTACAGCCAATATAGAGTGATAGAGTCAATTTTCTGTTCCCAAGCAACATCTTTTCTCAAATGGAATGGAAACTAATTCTTTTATTAAAATAAATCAATGTTACTTTGCTTCTCTTTTTAAGACTTCTGCAAATTTCCTTATGGGTCATGGCTACTCATCTGACGATCATGGCAAACTCGTGTTTTGTTCATTTACTTTGCAAAGTTTTCCAGAATATATAGAACATCTTCAACAAATCTACTCTAGCGAACAGCTAATGGTAATGATTTCTGTTAGTGTTTCATAAACTTCTTTCAAGCCAAAATTGTTCACCATACGATTATTTGGCCATTCTTGGTCACTTGCAATGAAAAGCATAGTGTCTTGAAAGATTATGACACGACATCAATATTCTACGCTTGGAGTTGTAATGATTAGGGAAACTTTGAAAGGCCCGTGGGTAGAAACAAGGGTTCATAAAATCCTGAACACTGCTTATGAAGCAAATTGATAACACGTCACGAGTTGTTTGCATTTATATATCTTATTACCCTCTTCAAGTCTGGGCGTAGATATTATGATATAACAAAATGTCATTATTGATCAAGGACTGGAAGAGAGATAAGGTGTAGTGTAGAGTTTAAATACTGCCTGTCCGGGGTTTTCTTATTACAAGAACCTACAAAGAGGAGGTTGCCCCAATGTCCAATGCTCTCTTACAGATTCTTGCCTTCCTAAGTCAAATTTATATTGTTGAGCCAGTCTCGCGTACCCTTCAAAATGAATGGAAATACCATATCCGATCCTCTCACAATTTCTTTTTGTGTAATGGTTGTATAAAAACATGGTCAGTTTTAAACAGGATCATGAACTGTAGGAATTAATTATGAAAGACTTTGTCGGGACTTTTTGGGGGTAGAATATCCCCTTTAACGAATGGGATTGATACACCCAAACTGATGTCTTTGCTTGTGAGATATAACTGTGTCCCTGAAGTTCTTGATTCGTTTAATTATAACCTTTTACGTACCATTCTTTGCTTTCAATTCCAAGTTTCTACTTACAATCTCTTCACGAATCAGAAATTTTACAGCAGAAGTGTTTATTCTATGAACTGTTAATCAAACGAGACTGCCTTCCTTTGCTTATTGGCCAGATGAAATTGTCAAATTCCGACATTTCTCCAACATTGTGAATCAGACGTATATTTGAGAAATTATAATGATTTTGAATCTAGCACAGATAACTTTTTGACGTCATCGATCACGTGACTTCGGTGAATTTTGGAAAATGTTGCAAGGACTAAAATTATTCGTTATACCATATATTTCCATAATCAGCCCAGCCAAGAAAACAAAGGTTAGGCAATGTGGTCGATGGTTGTGAGGAATGTCCTGCCTACAAGGGTCTTGAGCAAACTTTCACCAAGTGTGAGGGGACTCGTCTGCAATTCCTGGTGTCGATGTCACGACGTGTGGTCACATCGAGAGAAAGGACCAGGACCCTATTCGAAAAGCATAAGCTTCTCAGTGTCCTAAAACGTACCTTCAGATGCTAGGTAGAAAGAAATGAAAACAAATGCATTTATTTCAGATTGGGCGTATTAAAGTAGGTTGCATGAGGCGGCACCCGCTGATAATTCAATCAGTTTTTTGGCAGTATGAGCAGTTATTCATTCAAAGTTCCTCTTCACTAATGAGCGCTCGCAGCCCGTTATTATTGTAAAATTTTCTAAATGGCATCTGTCTTACCTTCCAATTCCGCTTAACATTAAACATACACCAGCACTTTCACACTATTAATATGACCTATCTCTTTGAAAAATTGGAAACCGATATTAGAAGGAAAGCGATGTTACTTTTTTTCAATATTCTCTCTACCATTTATGCCCTCGCCCTTACTTCCTCAAGTATTTATATACTTTGAAATTATAAATAAAACCTGACTTTCTGTGAAAGAATAAGAAAAGAATGTTTCCTTCTGTGAATGAATGAATGAATCTGTGAAAGAATGTTTCCTTCTTCAATATCCCTCTTCCATTTACATCCGCAGCTTCAAAGAGTGAGATAATTCAACATTTGATTTATTACGTGTGTTTTTGTACTTTGTAAAGATAAAAATACCATATCCCGAATTTTGGATAAAGCCAATATGTCTGCGCGTACCTTCAAAAGTTACCTTTCATGTAAACTGGAATCTTTGAACAGCGCCGGAATTTATCTTTTGAACCACTTAACATCAAGGAAATCTGAGTGTGATAAACTCTTCGACTGAAGAAATATTTGATTGTCAAGCAACTCTTTCAAATAAGCATACTAAACGAACAGCCTACGCACTCTATTTATGTTCTGCGTTATGACGAGTGGCTTTTGTAGCAAACATTTGGATCAACAAGTATGATGTTGTGAAATCTTCTATATGAAATTGTCAAAAACGCCACAAAATTTCTTTCTCGTGCCAGCTTCTCATTAATGTAATGTAAACGATACTTATCAGAGATATTATATAAAGTAAACTTTTTACAAGTTTCAAAACTAATATTCCTTAACGTTTTTCAAAAGAAACAGCTACTTGCAAAGCTTCTCTTGACTTTTAATGTCACTCTGAGTTTAGTTTTCATCAGCCCCCTAGCACTACACCCCTGGTTTTCATGATATTTCAAATTTCAAGGATTATTTGCTGCTTAGAGAGAGAGACTCACCTTTCTTTGCCAACCTTTTAAGATGGTCTTCGTTTTACCGTCAACTTCAACTGCCCAGGCTTTTCATTTCTTTACTATTGGACCAACTAATGAAACCTTAGTCGTTTTGCAATCACAATGCCCTCAAAAAACTATTTCACTTATAACCTGGTAATCTGAATAATTAAAATTCATAGTCCCTCCAGCGAAGTTACTTGGTTACTAAGTAAACTGTAACTGCGTTATTAAGAAAATGCCCTGCCTATTTGCAGTATGATTCCGCTCACTTGTCTTGTTTGGTAATTGCCACATGGTTTGAGTGACATGCGGTGTTGGAAAATTAGTCCAAGCTTTTTTTTCCCCAGCTAATTACTAACATTCAAGGAAAGAATATTATGACCTACTGTCACCAGCTGTTGAATTTTCTTTATTACACAAGTTTTTCTAGAATCTAGATAATTGATAAATTATTTAATATGCAGAAATTTTGACGGGAAAAACAAAACTTAAAGAAACAAAAGAGTCAAGGAGGAAAACCTTTTTTGTCAAACACTTGTGGGGAAACAATTTTTCTTTGTAGGCCAAAAATATTTTGTCTACCGAAAATACTTTTCCAGTAATTTCATGGACGCATGCCAGATTTCAGTAATATAAATATCATACCCTGTAGTTCAGCTCGTCAGTTTTCAGATTTTTATAAACACAATTTTTTAGGATGACGGCCATTTTTTAGGATAACTGTGCATATATATCCATACTAATAAGAAAAGAACCCAGACACAAGGCTTGAGGTATCTTATGCGTTCATCTGCTCATTCATAAATCATATATGCCTTCTATATTATCATACTAAGTTTCTCTGTTTCTTTTGTTCATTTTTCCTTTCAGTTTTACGAACTGGAATACAGGGGCGGACACTTGGTCAAATATTGGGGGGGGGAGGGGGGCAGCCTATTGTTTAATAAGATGACGTCATATTACCCATTGTTTTAGAACAAAAGACCATTGCTTTCTAAATTATTGGGGGTGGTCACCCTCCCTCGCCTCTCCCCATGTGTTGCCACTGCATCGAATATAAAAAAAGTTATCTTAACGAAAATATGAGTTTAACTAGCGATTAGGTAGCCGTAGACTTAATCGGGTTTTCTTTAAAAAATATTTTAAAATTACACATCATTGGGTAAATATGCTTATTAGAAAAAATCATATTAAAACGAATGGAGATTGAAATAGGCTTTATTTTTGTGTATTAGGTAATATTTCTTTTACTTAGATAAGGATTATAAGTTCCCATAGCAGCACATGCCTGCTTTTTTATATTTACGGTAATTTATGCATATACATACATTATGTATACATATTTATGCATATGGGTATGCATTTATATAGGCACGCTATATTTTAAGCATGCAAAATTTTTCATTGTCTTTCATTGTTTTCTGTAGTGAACATCAAGTGCCGAAAATATAGGAAAATTGGAAAGAAACGTCCCAATAAGGTTAGGAGGCAAAGACTGTATGAGAGAGCATTGTTGACTTTCTTCTGGAAGAACTATTTAGAAGACTGTTCTAGAAGAATGACCCTGTCTACTGGGAATCGAGTCATGCAGAGCTCTGATTAAATGCTGTTTAGCACTGGTAGCAGGGGAATGCAGAAAAAGTTTTGGCTCAGCAACCAAAGCAGCGGTCTTTGAAAACAAAAGAAAATTAAACTTCACTCCCAAAACACGGTTATCTCTTGTTGCCAGTTTGAGCAAGGTGTCCTGTGACCTTTTTGCAATGTGACCTGTTTGCCAATGGAAGTTTGATCACTTTCCTGGGCGCTGTTACGATTAAATGAAAGGTACGTATTTCAAAATGAATTTTTCAACGCCTGCAAGAGACAGTACAGCTGGTGAAAGTCCACTTTTTTATGCTTAAAGCTCGAATTTATTAGTTAATTGATGCTAGATATAGAAGCCCTCCATTACGTTACCCTGCAAAAGTTTTATCCATCGATAGTATACACACAAAAAGTTTTATGCAGCGATTAAGCGTTGTTTTTCGGTACACACAACAGTCATGCTAATATTGCAAATCGTATTCGTTGCAAATTGCAACCTATTCTTCTTGCAGAAGTGTAGTTCTGGCGTGTACAGGAGTTTGTTTGCTTCAAAAAGGTACAATCACTGCCAAAATCACATGGAACTGAGGTTGTTTTTTTATGGTGATTTTAGTTATAGTAGATGTTAGGGGAAGGCTCGTGAGCCTATAGCTGGGCACTAAAAAAGTAAAGGGAGAAAGGATTAGGAAACGAGAGGGTAAAGATGAAGTTTGTTTACTTTTGTTTTGGATAAAGACATGTTGTAGTAGACTGGGAAACAGGAGGAGGGTAGAATATTCCAAAGTTTACGAGACCTAGGGAGGAAGAGCTGTGGGATTGAGTTCGCGCGTTAGGCAAAGAGACTTAAAAATGGTGAGCACTGGACGAGTGTCTGGTATTGTGGGTATATCTCAGAGAACCTGGGATCATATTCCTAACACACGGGCCTTGCTAAAATCTATAAAAATTTGAAAGTTAGTGTCGACGAAAGATTGAAAGTTTCAGCTTTAAGCCGTCCTGTTCTATTCACCAGAGCGTGCACAGTTTTGTGTTTTAGGTATCAAGTATTATAACAGACCAATAAGTCAATAAACAAACAATAATTTTCATTAGTAACATGTAAAAATGTGGCACAAGCAAAATAGGCTAATTCTTGAATCGTTCAAGTTGCATCACACTTATGTTATCATCCAAGTGCTAACTCTTTTTTGAAGTATGTTAAAGGAATCATACGGGGCTAAGAATGCATAGTGAATAATAAAATGTGCAAAATTCAATGTTATGTTCATTCAAACGTCACTTCGCAGATTCATAAGATAATATCACCCAAGTGGCTTTATTCTTTTGTAAAGTAAGTTAAAGAAATCATGCATGTCAAAGACTGCACAGTAAATAATAAATTGAGCAAAGATCAATGTTGTGTTTATTCATACGTCTCTTTGCAGATTCCTGAGAGGATATGCAGATTCATAAGACAAATTGCAAAGTGAATCGACAAGCGAATGTAAGTGTTCCAATTTATCATTACTTTTGGAAATTCCTCTTTTTTCTTGATTTATCGCAGGATTTTCTATTAACCATGGGTTTGACTGGCTTGAGCCGGGTTTTCAGCTTTGTTCAATTTGCAAAGTTTTGCAAAAAAATGTTATTTTCCTTCAAAATAGCTTTTTTTGCAAACTCATTGCTTCCCGCCATTTTCTTTCTCCGTCAAGACACAAAAATTGAAGGCATTCTACGCATGCGTCGCATTCTTAAGGTCATGAGCGAGAGGCTCACAACAGCACCCTGTGGTATAAAAATGACACGAATGCAACAAATTATAGAACCATTTTTTTTTCAAGAGGCAGCAAGCTGTCGCATATGTGATAAAATTTCTCCAACCTTTTTCTGGTTTTGTTAAAACAATAATTCTCTATTTCTTAAGCATACTTCTAGTCATTTTGGATATAAAGAAAAATAATGTTTAGTGCCGTTAGCATTGCATTTAGTTGACAGGTTATGAACATAAACAGACATAAACATAAACAGATATGAATGCAGTAAAGAGGTCTAAAATATGGGCCTCTGGATAGCATTGAAGGATATACCCTGAACTTTCGTATAGAGACTATTCCCTAAAAGCATGCTTGTCATTACGCTTGTCATTACTAAAATAATATTATTGCCTTGTTAGTTTGATCGTCGTCTTTCTGAAAACCATCACCAAGGAAAAAACGCTTTAATAAACTTTGACAGAAGCTAAAGAAGATTCTCCACAGCTCTCAACACGGAGCGTCACTTTTTAGGCCTCTCAAACAAACATTTGTTCGTATTGTCATCGAAACCAGTGGCGTACCCAGGGCTGCGGTAGTGGGGGGGGGTCTGGGGCGCAGCCCTCAAAAATTGTTTTGGACCACGCCCTTCAAACACTCGCAAATGCAGGGAAACGCCCTTTTTGCAAATTTTACCCCATTATTTGATTCATGTCAGCTACGATAAATAGCAAAGCATTTTACAATTGTTATTGACAAGCATACAGTATACAACCCCCCCAATGACTTTTACATTGTTTTTGGACAAACCTCGAGGAGCATATTTTAGAAGAGTGGGGGGTCCGGACCACCGGACCCCTCCATTCCCCCCCTTGGGTACGCCACTGATCGAAACCTAAACTTTCATCAGTCAAATGAATGGCAATTACGAGTTACGAGACCAACTACCCTCTCCTAATTCACTCTGACTCATAAATTCATCCTACAATTTTCAATTGGAATTAGACAGCGGAAAAAGAAAATTCAGTAAAAACCCCTCTCTCAGCCAAATGGCCTAAGATGAAGACTGGATAATTGCTTAATGTTACATAATAGTCAAGATGACTTAACTGATGACAATTTTCCCAGATGACTTACCTCTGATTGTGTTCTTTGTTGATTTTTTGGCTATATGGAAGAATTGTTTTCTATATGATGGTTTACACTGCCTCTATCTGTTATGAACTTTAGTTCGAAGACAGTGTTCCCCAACGTTTGACTTGCACTTTTCTTGTGTTCTTTTGTCTAGTGATTTTGAAGTTGTATTGTTCTTATATCTCGTTTTTTTAATTTTGAATTCGTTATCATTAAGAATGCAACTATCAGGCACCTTTGGAGATTCGCTAGAATTTCGAACCAGGTTTCACTCCCCTTTCTCACAAACATGTATAATTTGGCTGAAAGATATATTTTTAAGAGAATTAGGCCCCAAAAAACACGACGTTGAGAGCCATTTAAGAGCAGCAAACAGATCTTTGTTCCGCAGATGTTTTGTTAAAGGCATAAAATGCAACGAGGCAAGATCTCAATTGTATGCAATATTGCTAAAACAGAAAAAGCAAATTGTTAGCAAACTTTAATTTCTTATTCATTATTTATCAATTTCTTTTAAATGTTTGAGTTGAAAGCATCTTTCGAACAACAAAGCTATTATGAGTTTTTTGAAAGATTTCTCAAGTTAATTATTCGTATTCTAAATTTGCACTTTGTTCTTTTTTAATTTCTGCAAATAAATTTTTTCTGCATTTTATGCTTTAATTTTTTAATATCTAGAATCTTTTTCATTTCATTAATTATTTGATTCAAAGACAGAAACACTTTTATTAGTAATCACTGCTCATATTGCTTCAAGGTTCCCCCGTCCCAATTATCTTGTTTTTTTCAAATTTTCAAATTTTTTTCAAATGATTTTTTGCAGACTACTTGTCCGTAGAAAACTCGATGTTTTTATTTATATCAAAAGCTTGATATGAGCATAATAAACAAAACTGATCTCACAGAGACAATTATTATTATTTTTTTTATTCTCTTTATTGAATGTTGGTTTACACAATAATAGCTAAAAAACAGCTAGTTTACTACTCATAAACCAACTTGTAACAACTACAATGTCACTGATGTTTACAAGGAAAAGGGAGAAACGTGATGTTTACAAATATCCAATATTAAAAATATATGGTGTGCGTAGTCCACATGAGTAAGCAAGATCCGCTTGTTTGATTTCATTTTGAATGCTTTACAATTTTCTGTCGATCGAATGTCTAATGGTATAGAATTCCACAACTCATTAGATCTATAGGATATTGTATCTAGCCCATTAGTAACAGTGCTCGGTTTTTTATAAACGATTGATTTCGTAAATTATATGCAACTTCATTTAACTGAAATACTTCTTTCATAAATATTAGATTTAAATTATTTACTGTTTTGTGCATTTCTATTGATAGTAGTTGTAGGTTCTTTTGATATATCCTGACATCATTTTTTTGTTAGTGAAATTTTCAGAGCTTGATTAAAAATCATTGTAAGCCACTCTCGGTGCACTTTTATGAATACTTTCAATAAGTTTGCCAGATTTTCGGTTACAATACATCCATAAAAGAGGGCAATAGTTAAAGTGACTAAGTGTAAAGGTTTTCATCAATAGTGACCTTTTATATTCATTCATACAAGCATTTATCTTTATACCCGCTTCTTTATATAAGTTTTTTATATGTTCTTCAAGGTTTAGTTTGCTGTCTAAAGTTATTCCAAGTACTTTGGCCTTTTTTATCTCTTCGATTGTGGCATTTTCTATTTTAACATTAGCATTTTTCAGTTCTAGTTTGTTTATGTTCAAATATCATAAAATTACATTTGTCTTCATTTAATAAAACAATGAATTATCCTCAAACCATTAATTTAGAGTTGCTACTTTTGTTTCTAATCCATATATCATATCATTAACATTATTACCTACAGTCCATCGGCGTAGTTACAAAGATATTCTGAAATCATGAAATATAAAATCTCGCTTAGAAAAATGTTCAATAATAAAGGGCCGAGAAGTGATCCCTGCGGGACTCTTTGTGTAACACTTTTCCACGTGCTTGTTTGAAAATTAATTTTCACTCTTTGTGGCCTCTCGTTTAGATAAATTTGTAATAACAGCAGAGATTGTTTGTCGAATCCAAGGCGTGTAGTTTAGCAATTAAGAGGTCGTGTGGAAGGCAATAAAAATGTTTTGGATAAATCCATCATCGTTATACTTGCTTTTTATTATCGTCTAGATACATTTTTAAGTTTCAACTACGAGCATCAATGCATATTGTGTACCATAATTGTCTCGGAATCCACATAAAAGAGAGCATATGTCCATTTTGATGAATGAAAATATCTGATTAGGAAGAACACTTACTGGCCTGTAATTCTTTTATCAATGAGAATAGTTTAAATAACGTAGTCATTAGAAATACACGAAATTAAGATTAACTAACCAACCAACATTTTACCGTAAAATCTCCAAACTACAGGTGGAAGGAACATTCTAAAGTATTTGAAGAAGTAGATAAGTCTTAAATCTAAAAAAAACTATATTTCAAATTTTCTGGCTCACATGATGGAAAAGTGGTGCACTTCATTAGCTTTTTTAGACAATGTATCCATCGTTTATGAAGGAATTAATTATGGGCAAAGCCAGCTATTAAAAGTAGAAGAAAAGATCGGTAGAGGGAACATTTTAATGTCGGACAATCGAACTACCCGTTCAAAAGCGTCACTGGACTAGGCCCTTTTCTCCAATGACATCCATGGATACTTTTCTTACTGTTCTTGGCTCGCTTTTTGAATATCATTTTATTAGATTTTCTCTGTTTTTTCCAAACCTTTGGAATACATTTGAATTAAAAATGTCTCTATACATCAACACTTTGCTTACAACCAAATCAATTGTTATTTATTGATGTTTGATGTTTGAGTTGTTGATGTTTTAATTTATTTGTTTATTTTTGTTGATGTTTGAATTTTCCCGACTTTATTGACAGAATTTTGCTTTTGTTGTTTGTTTTGATTGTTCTCTAATATCCCTCTTGGTATTTACGAAATTTTCCATGGGATATTACCGATAAATTCTACAGGTTGCAAAAATATAAAAAATAAAATTTGAGCAATGTTGATAAGCTGGTAACGTTTTGCTTTAAAAAGGTCATGCATTGTTACAAATGTTTGTAAATTCTTAAAAAAGTTACCCGGAGACAATCCTCTATGTTTCTAAAAATTTGTTTTGCAAAGGTTACCATGGGAATTAATCACATACAGTTGCACTTTTTATGTAGGAGGTAAGTTGCACAAAGCTGACTGAGAGAAAAAATTTTTTGGAGAAGAACTACTTCTAATTTATGGCCTTTCTAAATGTAAAAGTATACAGAAAGAATAATTCTTTTATTTTTCTTTTTGGTTTTCCTTTGAATAATTTTCTAAAGAATAATCTTATATCGCCTCGTTTGCCACTGTTTGAATATCCTGCTCAAAAAAGAATTGTATGATTTCCATTATGGTTGCAATGTTTTTTTCATTTTTTTACATGCAAGAATAAATCAAGAACAACATTTTGTAGAATATTCACTTTTGTTGTTAAAACAAAAATTTCCTAGCAAGCAATGGAATCGGACGAGGAAACAGAAATATTTTTGCAACAGTAATCCTTGCCTGTGGTTTCGAGATGAGAAACAGGAAAAAGAGAAATAGAAAAATTGCAGGATTTGGGTGAGAGAATGGTTATATTTATTCAATAAAACAGCAAACACCGTTTCGAAGTAATTGAAGCCTCCTTGCCTTGAAAATTTTCGAAAATATCTGCTGGTGATAACTGCCAGGTTTCCCTCGAAAGTCTTTTGCTAGAAGAAGTAAAAATGTTTTCAGAGGAAGGTTTTCTTGTAATCAATCACACTAAAAATTTAAATATATCACTGAAAATTTTGTACACAATGATTTGTCATTATCAATCCCGAATACAACTATCAGATAGCTTCTCTCAAATTTTCTCAAAGCCATTTTTGTATTTTGTATGTGTAGAAGATAAGAGAATAGCGTGGTGTCACTGATTGATATTTGCACAAGCTCTATGTAAATGAATTGAAAACGTCCATATTATGCCTATAATTAAATATAACAAAGTTTGATATTTCATTTCATTCAAATATTTTACCACAATCATTCAATCCAAATGCTTTTCCAGTCTGGAACATTTTGCTTAAATTTAAAAACAATCTTGCCAGCTTGAATTAGATTTGTACCTCTATAATATTAACATGCAGGGAGACTAAAAAATCCCCCTAAAAGAAGCAAAACTAGACTACGGTATTTCCTCGATTAAACACCCAGGGGATTTTATCAATTCCAGTGTTTTAGAGAGGCGTCAATTCGAGGTTGGGTGCTTTTTAAAACTTTTAAGAACAAAAAAAGACAATTTGTTAAAACTGAATGATTTTTATTATTCAAAACCAAACAATTTTGAAAAATTTCGAATAGCCCAATTGTTTCATAGCAGTATTGACATCTTCTTCCAGCATCATCCCTTCTGTCATTGCTTCTTCTTCTTCATTGGTTCTGTCACAATTTGGAATGGATCCTCAAGTTTAGTTTCAATGACTGTGGACAGGGCCTTTCATCTTTCTGATCCAGCATGGCGGATCACCACTGAAACAGTCTTTCTTTACACATCTCAAATGCTTCTTTACAGCCCGCAACTTTGTAAAGAAGACAGTATGACTTCCCTATCAAGTATCAAGTCACTTTAACGCTTCAAAGATCCATTGCAGAAATGCCTGGCGATAAAAAGCTTTTGAGTTTCTCTGAGCTTTTAATTTATGTGCTCCTTCTACGAAACATATAATTTGGTAATAAATGGGTATGGGAGTTTGGAAGTATAATAGGACACTTATTTGAGGCAGGGCTTCAATGTCTAATTATTGTTCGTTCAAGAAGTGCGCTTATTCAAGGAAATACAGTAGATATTTTACAACTGTCAAAAATGCGGTTCAAACGTCATTACGAGGCTATCCTGACAGGACCGGATAGGTTCAGAGTTATTTTTTTTTATGTTTTGTGTTGCCCTCTAAACATACAGAAAAGATGAGGTAGCTTTTTTACTTTTCTATTTTGATTCCCGTATCGTGTAGGTCCTAGCGAGATAGGAGGATATATAAACAATTTATATGTGTTTTTTGTTTATCTATAACAACACTGCTAATTTCACGAGCTTTTATTTCATAGCTGGAGCGCATCGCTACGTAAACAACACCAGTCTGAAATTTTGATTCAAAAGGTTTCACGAATCCACCTACTACGATGTCACGCTCTTGCAACCTCGCTCTTCCTGTTATATCTTGTTTAGGTTTTTTTTTATTATGGCACCATAGCAACAAACATGTGAAACTTGAGCCTACCTAATTATTTCAAATGTGAAATTTTGCAAGGGATTTTCCTACATTAATAATGGCTATCTGTGTACGGTTTTACAGATTTAAAACTTCATATTATACACTCTTTTTTTATAAGAACAATTTTATAAGAACACGAGCCTCAAAATAGGTCAAAATTTAAGAACAAATTAAGAAAAAGCTGAGGCTGAGCTACTGTAAAATGAAATTTTGAACAAAGTTTTATCTCAAAAACGAGGATTTTCAGCCATGTGTGGGTGCTTTTTCGGTGAATATTAAAACATGGCGGCAAATTAAGTTTGTCTCTACGCACTTTGTTGGCAAAAGAGGCCTGAACACCTCCCAAGAACGAAAAGCTAGAAATCGCACTGCTTATACCCTATAAATTTAAGAACGAATTAAGAACAATCCAGCCTCAGACTTTTGGAAAAATTAAGAACAATCAGCCTGAACTAAAATTTACTGGTTCTTATAAATAAAAAGAGTGAATGGAAGACAACCTTCATGAAGAATTCTATGTCATAAATTTTCTGTTTGTGAAAAAACTTTCTATAGCGTTTCCAGAAACAGAATGTAATGGAATAAAGGCAATGTAAAATCAACTTTGAACACGTGCAAAAAATGAGAATTTTGTGGCCTAGCCTTTTAGATTATAGAAACTGTTATTTGTGCTAAATACACGGAACACTTGCTGTTGTATCTATATGCTGTTTTGTGACTAAGAATTCTGAAAAATAAGACAGGGTACGGAAAATTGGCTCTTGAGTGAATGTGAGGAACACATGAAGCAGCTAGATCCATCATTGCACAATATTCTTATCCAACAAACTTTAAAGTGGTACTTTGTATATAAGTTGGCTTTGAAAGAAGACATTTTGAGATATATTTAAGCGTTTCATCTGGCTCTCTTCAATGTATAGAACGTCAGCAAAAACTTGTGCCTCCGCTATTGGACAACATTTAGCAAAAAGCCCAGATTGTGCCAAAACTACAACGGCGACGTGTTTCGGATAATTGGCAGAGCCACGTTGTCGTTTTATCTACCCATCTACATAAAATTCATTTTCACACTTTTCGTTAGTAAAATTTTAATAAGCAAGCGTCACTGATTGTGCAGCCCTTTACAGTCGTGCTCGCTTTTCTGATTGGCCTATTGCCACCTACAACTGGGAATATGTATTTCTTAGCTTAGTATTATCGATCAATGTTCTGACGATTCTGAAGGTATATCTTAATAAGTTGGCTCTTCTCAAAGCCATTTTTATATTTTGTAGATATAGAACACAAGGGAATTGCATTGTATCACTGATTAAATTTTGCACTAGCTCTATGTAAGTGAATTAAAACGACAATACCATGCCTAAAATTGAATAAAATAAAGACTGATGTTTTGTTTCTTTAAATTTTATTGGAATCACTATTCATCTCAAAATTGTTTTCCCGCAGATGTCAGAAGCTTATTTCTCCAAAAAGAGGCAAATCATGCTTGACTTGAATAAAGAAAGACATTATTCTAAAATATCAATTTTTTGTTATCTCTGTAACACCTAGTAGACTCAAAATAATATAAAAATTATTAAAAAATTTCTAAACATTAGAAAAAACGCATTTCCATGAAAGGGAAAACTTGATTCTTCTTTTGCTCAATTTGGGCCTTTCCACCAGGTCATTTTAATTTACAGATTTATGTAAAAAGAAGGTAAATACCCTTCTTAGAGGAAAACTCCCTACACAGGCGTTCAATTACAGATGGGCTAGACTTTCTGCCAAGTATGTAGTTTTAAGACTTTCAAAGAACCTTTTTGGGCTTGTTTTGAGAAAATGCTTGTTCATCTTCTGGTGTTATTTTTAGGACATGAAAAATTTGAAAATATCTGTCTTTCAAGGTCAAGTTAAGATTCGTGATAAGCGTTTCATCAGGAAAAGACTTGAAAAATGTTTCATGCATCTTTCTCTCTCCGTCTAGGCTTATCGTCATTTATGAAACAGCCTTATGACAAGAAACACTCCGAGGTCAACTTCTTTATTTATGAATTTTGAAGTCTGCACAATTTAGCTCGACTCATTGTCTCCACTATTATATCAGAAAGAGGTGTTAACTTTTTAGGAAAAGATAGTCTGGTTGCTAAGTATTCGAGTTTGCAACCACGGGAACAAATATAAAAAATTGCAACCGACATTGAAAAGGTACCTGTGAGTAGTGAAATATGATTAATAAATTATTCCTGGTTCCTTGGCCATTTGAGTTGAGGTTGCCATAAAACAAGCACATCGTAGAGATTGAATGCAATTAAAGACGCTTGTTGTGACTAAGGTAGAACATCAATTGGCAGTAAAACCAGTGCTTTTGAAAAATTTCCCAGGGCTTTCCAGCTAGATGCTCCACCAGTTTCGAAGGAAAGATGCAGATTCTTTTAGTGGTGTTCATGCTGATGCGTTGTCAAAAGAGAAACATTCATTAGCACCCATTTTGTTGTGTATTCTCACACAAACACGATAGGGCGAGAAGAATTTGAAAACAGATACACTGAAAGAGTGAAATTTTAGCAAAAAGACACGAGAAACGCATCCATTGCCGCAAAAACGGATGCTTTGATTAGTTGGATTGATGCTGAAAGACAGAAATTGGTTGCCTTGCAAGGGCATGCACAAAGTGCCGTCACGATAGAGGGCATGAGGGGTGTGACACCCCCTCAAGGAAAATTATGTTTTAAATATTAAGGGGTTTTCACCATCTAGGGGTGCTTTGTGGGCAAAGCTTCAAACATGTCGGCAAATGAAGGGTGGTCCACCCACTCTATCAGAAAATAGGACCTGAAAAACCCCCTAGTGACGTCCCTGAATGCACACGTCCATTTGCAGAAGAAATAGAACGAAAAATGTATTGCTCTATTTTAGTGCTTTAAACACAATTGTAATTTTAGCAGAGGTGTAATAGGACTGGAACTTAACACATTTATGCTAGTAATGCTTATGATGTTCTCTCTACTCGTCGTGCTCCTGTCCCTGCCCCAAGTTGTGCTGAAAATTGGCAAATTTCTACTTTTGCTGTTGTTTTTTGCAACATTTTGTGCGAGAGCCCCCCTTGTTATTTTGATAGCACTACACCACTGGTTTTCACCCCATTGATGATCAACTTCTTTGTCAGAAATGATGGTTTTTCTTTGGTTTTTCAATCTTTAATTAAAGTGCATTGTAGAATAATGCACAAAGTTGATCTACTTAGGAGAAATAATATATCCGTGAAATTTCTGCTGCAATAGGAAAATTGATAGAGAATCTATAAGAAATGTTAAACTAATTATATCTGCTTGAAAGCTGTTCCTTTAAATCAAGAAATTATGAATTGGAAAGCTTTTGAATGTAGCATACAGTATTCTCTCTAATGTGTGCCCCCTATCCAGTTAATATCCTACTCCAATGAGCGCTATCTTTTGTAAGCAACAAGTTGAATAATTTTCCCTTTTTCAAATAGTACCCCCCCCCCCCTCCTCCCCAATTTAATAAAAACGGATGAAGACCAGCAAATCATCACAGAAGTAACCAGTTAAAACATATTTGATAAAAACTAAGTTGTTTCTAATTTGATAAGACTCGGAAGAAATTGACTTTTTGTAGATATTTTATCTAAAACAAGTATGATGCGTACGAAATATTAATTTTTGTAAAATCAATTATCATGTGTATTTGAAAAATTTACTTTTGTTTGTGGGTTTCAATTTTTTTCAATGAGTGCCCCCTCTCTGAGGCAAAATAAATGAAGAAGTGCACCCGGCGCTTATTAGAAGCATAATCTGCAGAAACCTTTGAGATCTGATGAAGAGAAAGGGGGTGGGTTTGCTTGAAATTTCATGAAGCACCCTGAAAGATAGCTACAGACAGAAAAAATTGGATTTGGGAAGTCTACATAAGCCTAGTGAGTCGAATAAGAAAGGAACATTGTTAACTTTAAGAGAGCGGCAAAAATGTGAGGCATTTTTTGAGGCACTTCCCCCCACCCTTTTAAGGCTCTTTTAGAATATCCTGTCCAAATTGTGCCAGTTTTTAATTTGGGTTGATGATTCAGTCTACATTACTTTTACTACTTTACATGATTACTTTGTTCTACATGTTACATTTGAATAAATTAGTCTGTTCTTTAAAACATATCTTTAATAAACAAAGCTTTAGACGGTTTCTTTGCTTCGTGTATCTTTGTAAAGAGAATTTGTACGCTCAAATATTACCTTAATTAGGAAAAGCCCTTTCAGAGTCGCTAGGTTTACTTTTTCGAGTGAAATGTAATGGAGCTGTTAATTTATGCATTTTCCAGCTATCTTACTCATTAATTCTTAGATTTTTCTGTCTATTCAGAGATTGCTAGAAGGTCCATAAAAATTTGTACATATTTGTTGAACAACTGTTGCTTTGTCGGAAATCTTACTTGCTTTGCCAGAAAAGATTTGTTTAATAAAAGCAGACTTGTTTCCATTTCCACCAAGAATCCTGGCACCCCCAGAGGACCGCGCACCACTCTAAAAGTGGATGGGCTGAAATGGGTTTGACCGAAGAAGTTTTGAGGCCACGCCCTGTTGAAAGCCGGAAAACGCCCCTTTTAGAAAATACTTGCTTATTTCTATTGAATTTTTATAAACATTCTGGTTCAGAGAAGATATCAATAACTTTAAAAATAGATAGAATTAGCTCGAGGGTAATAAAAAACCAAGCTAACAAAGTTAGAAAATACATCATATCGATAAACAAGATGAAACACCTAGAAAAAGAACAAAAATGGTTGCCAGTCAATGGTACTGCTACTACATAGGGGTAAACTATCCCAAGTTGCGTTAGAATAAACATTCAAAAAATTTTCCAGCCTATTATTTCCAAAAAGTGGGTGGGCAATAGCCCCTGCTAGCCCAATGGCTGCGCAGTGCTTGGGCACACCTCAGCACTCCAAAGCATATGCCTTTGCTCTAGAATCATATGGGAATGGCTCACGAGCCTATAGCTAGGCCCTAACAAGGGAAAGGGAGAGAGGGTTAGGAGGTGAGGGAGGAAAGGTCAAGCTTGTTGATTTTGTTTTGAATAAAGACAGGTTGTAGGAGTCTGGGAAACAGGTTGGGGGTAGAGCATTTCAAAGTTTATAAGACCTAGGGAGGAAGGAAGAGTTTCTGGTATTGTCTGTATGTTTCAGGCACCTGGGATAATTTCTCGGTTTTCCTCACAGCAATGGCCGTGGTAAAATATATACAAAATGGCGAGATAATTTGTTATTCCAGTTAATGTTTGCATATTTCAGGTACCGTAATAGTACAACCGATATTGTACGTCTTTATTGCCGTCAAAGTAATACTTTGGCTCATTCTGCTTCTCTTGGTTCATTTGTTAACCGTTTTTTCAAGCAAGATACTTTTCCGGCTCCCGGTCAACTCTATATGTCTTTACTCCACTCTGTTTATTTTAGACCATCCATATAATTCATCTTTGCTTATACGACTTTGCTAATATATACAGTACACAGTTGATATAACCATAAATATTTTATATAGCTTCACTGAAATTTAACACCCCCACTTGATCTCACAACTCTTTAAACCACTGTACATTAAGAGTAGAGTTGTCAAGTAATGACGTCACAAAAATCTATTTTAATAATTTTTGTAATTCGTTCCCATAACCAGAAAGAGCATCATGAAATACCTCTAAATCTGCAAAATCAGTTAAAGGTATTACGAATTGGCTGATATATGAACACATGAGCACAAACTCTGGCCCCATCAACCTCTATAACTTTGTCTCAGTTTGTAACTTTATGAACTGAGCCATAATAATATTAATCCGTTAACAAACTTAGAATCTTCTATTGGCCATAGCTCACCCGATTTTTTTCAAATTCAACGAAAATTCTAAAAACAGTTTTTGTGGCATCACACTTGAGAACTCTATAAGGAATCAAAATCTTTTAGTGTTCATCGAAAGTCATGCAAAATACACAACAAAATGTATTGTTCCTGGATTTATAACTGAATTTTTGCTAGAAAATATTAACTATGGAGATAGAGACATCCTCTTTATTCATATGTTGATCGTTTTTATACTTTTATAGATTGCCCTGTCGTACATATTTGTAGCCTGTCAAAACTGAATGAATATTTGCCGAAAAGCTATTTTCTCCGTTGCCTGTTTGCATCTCTCTGTATAAATTGTGTTTTAACTCCCCGTTTTTCTGCTAAAACAGTATCAGTTGGCCACACCCACGAAACACAACAGGACTCTAAACTCATGTCTCCCATTCCATACGCTATACAGGTGACAATAGTAAAGTCAAACGAACAGCGCTCTTCTCAAAGTTCATCCCCTCGCGACACAGTTTAAAGCTATCAAAATACCATTGAGGCCAAAGTTGATTCAAAATCAAGGCCCTACACCTGTCCTATGGTAATTATTTTCATAAATGAGCTTTTTCGTGGGTGGACTGCTCTCTGTTTTGTTGATCTGGCTAATGTGTGCATGCAACTCTGTTTAAAGGAAACTATGTTTATAAATAGATATGCATTCCCTGCTGTATTTCAGAATCTCTCACTCTTTGTACGAATCTGTCTAGGATTTCACAGACTTCAAAATTGTATTAAAAAACAATGATAGCTTGTTTGAGCACTCTCCAATAGCTACTAATCTTTTTATCAACACAGCCCCTGGTTGTGATCTTTTTGTGAAAAATTCTCAAAAAAAAGCTCGTTTAATTTACCATGTTTTACCAAATTTCCGGTTTTCCATTAAGCAGGACATGGATTTTTTCAGCCATCAAGTTCAAATTATGGTTCTACACAATGCTTCAATATATTTTACTAACCAGCAGCGTGGACAACTTATTCCCACAAGTCTCCCCTCTCGCACCGCTTCCTCTTTGCACCTGTTACCATTTGCTTGTGGCATCTCGCGAGTAATACTTAGGATTTATACTTATTTATAACAAAATCATAGGTTTGTACTAAGGGTGTGTTCAAAATTACTTGACATACCAGTTTAAACATGCAAATTTAAAACTAACGCTTTCAGTGCGCTGTTAGGGCAAGATTATTTTATCTTGTGAAGGGCTAATGCTAAAAATCTCAGCGCTGGCTGAAAACTTTGTATTTTTGCATGTTTAAAGATCAGAACGACGTCCAGCCCAAATTGTCTAATTGGAAATAGTAATTTTGCACCTGCATGCATTAATAATGATAATGGCTATTATTTCTTTGCTTTTATTGTAATTCGATTAAACTAAAGTTCAGCTTTACAGCAAAGTAACAGTATTTTTAATTTTTTCTTTCCCAGTAATTTAGAGAACTGTTAAAAACTTTTATCATAAAAGACAGAAAGCTTTCAACATTGGAAACTTAATGGTATTATATGAATAATAACGAGCGTAGGTCGTAATCAGTATATTTGGCCGTTCGCCCAAGTTTCCGTGGGCAGTAAATGATTCTTCCCCTGCTGCTTTAAAAACATTTTCACCCAATATTTTCCCAACCTCTTGGATGACACAGATGACTTCAATGCTGATACTATCGAAAGTTAAGAAAATTCTTACTGTGCTCAGTGGGTCTCTTGCATAATCATTCTCCTCGTGTTAGAAATGTGACTCTCCTGATTTTTTTTCTTCGTAATGACAGTTTAATGGCTACATCTTTTTCGTGCAAAAGTCGACGTCTGTCTACCTTGGAGTTTTCTCATTCGACTGCGAAAACTGACGCTTTTTTATAAATTTTTCAAAGAGCTAGGCAGTGACAAACCAAGACTGAATATTTTGACTGGTTATTTGCATTTGACCGTTTTTCCTTATTCTTATTATACCACAATATATCATAATATAACTTATTTGTAGCTTGTCATAAACCAGGCCCCGCGCCACTGGAGGGCCGGTGTGGCCATGGCCCCCCACTTTTTTGTGAAGCACATAGTTTTAAAGTTGCAATAAAAGGGGTAAGAAGCCTTGGCCCCCTACTTTTTCTAGCCTTGCCCCCCCCCATTTTCAACTTCGTGGCGCGGGCCCCATGAACTGTTTGTTGCGGGCATAAATTGAGCATTTTGAGTAAAGTGAGCGGGGAGGAGTCGAGCGAAGTGAATGCCCTGAGGAGATTGCTCAGGCGGGGACTACCTTTCTAAAGTGAAATCCAACGAGAGAATGTTTTGCCCACTAAACCCCTCCTCCTAACCACAACAGATCCGTGATTAATTATGGTGATGTCTGACTTCCAGCCCTTGTTGACTTTGTATCACCAACGTTGTTCAACTCCTTGGCCTTAATAATTTCTAATATCTTTAATAAGATATTGCTCCACCTGGCAATTTAGAACCTTATAAGTTTTCACATTTTTGACTAAAAATATTATAGCAAAGACTACTAAAATCCAAGGCGCATGTATGGTTACCAGAAAAAATTTGTCTTCCTATTTTCGGGTGTAAACGTTTACAATCTGAAAAAATTTATGTGAAATTTTTTAATTTTGAAGCATGTTTAAGTATTTGGAGCAATCGATGGGTCTCACATCCCTGTCATGTCTAATTTTTTATTCCAGGATTATCGCAAGATTTTAATTGGGATTTGGAAAGGGATTTGGAAGGGAAGAGGGAAAATTGAAGTGGTATTCTCTCACATGCCACAATGATATATTCGTGCTGGGGCTTTGAGTTGATAAGTACTGATTTATAGACGAAACTGAAAAGCAATAGGCTAGAGACAGGGTTTCTTCTGCAATTTTATATTTACAAACATTCATGGTTGAGGCCGCGAAATATAACTGAGAAATTCACTTATATACTTTCGTTTCGTATGCTTGAAACAGTATATTTGGCACTGGGAAGATTTCCCAATGTAAAGACATCGCCTGCATAAAAAACTGACAATGTGCGAAAAGAACACTAAAGTGTCTGTATTGTCTCTTTAATTTGTACTATTTTGCCCATTCAAACGTTATGTTATTTTTGAAAAAAGATTTCGCTTACGTCCCATTGTAACCAGCTGTCTTTGTTCAATGTGCACGCGGGTGAACGCCAGCGCATTGTGCGCTCAGACCGAAGCGTGGCTGGCGTGTTAGTCCGCATTCAACGCTTATTTACATAGGCTTTTGTTCATTTATATTTCGTTAACAATACGATTGAGGGGGATGTCCTTGCTATATCTCGCTCACTGACGTTGTGCCGAAGTCAACTCACATTGTAACGTAGTGTAGAGCTGCCTCGACTGAAAACAAACTCGTGTGGAATATGCCGAATGTAACAGAAGAATTGGGGCAATAAAATGGAAAATTATATCAAATTTCACTCTTTTGTTGTGCACCAGATCATTTTCGCTTACATATTAATAATTTCTGGTGAGTAACCTTCATTTAAAGTTTCCTAACATACCATCACATGAATTTTGTCGTACAACTCGTAGAAATAAAGGAAACCAGGAAAATCTTTATCAGTTACTATAAGTGCTGGGTTTTGCTAATTTATTTATAATCCCACATTGATGTTCAGCAACTTTGCTCGATCGTAGGTTCGCATCAACCTACATCTTGAATTTATTTCTTTAATTCATCAGCATAGAGATTTCACGATCGGGGAAATGTTTCAACAAGATTGTTCATTCACCAAGAGGTTTCTATGTATCGCTTTCACAGACATTGTTTAATGCCCCACAAAATCGACGCTTTTTAAGCCTCTTTTCTGTTCCGTAATAAAATACTTTGCATTCCACATTCCTGCTTCAACTCAGGATATCAAGCGTGATTTTACTAAAACATCAAATCAGGCGTTATCATCCTTCTGCTATAACTGAGTTCTCCACATGGGTTTATTCTTTCTGGATTCAATTTCTGCTTTCAAATTTCATACAATTTATCTTACAGTTGATCGCTAATTACTTTATGGCGCAAAAAGGCTAAAAACACACGACATAAAATTAGCCTTTGGTCGGCACCCGTTAGCACGGATTCCAGTACATGTTAATATGTCTATGGCTAGTGAAATTTACTAAGCTCTGTTGAGGAGCTCAAACGCATCGGAAAATCCAGAGGAAAATTTAAGGGATATAGGGCAATTTAGGAATTAGTTCGCAATGAAGGGGGCGTGGAATTTCTCGCAGAATTTATTGATAGTTTTATTCGAAACCTAGTTGTAAAGGAATGTTCACAGGAAAACTATGAAAGTTGTCGAAGTTATTTACCACGTTCTCTTTCTGTGAAATCCCGAAATGCATAAGCATAAAGCAGTCTCGTGTTAATTTATGCCAATACTGTTAAATATGCCAATGTAAAGAGATATCAAAAGTTCAGTGAAGGAACTGTTATGTTCAGCCTATACCAAACCACCCAATACCAATGCCTCTATCTTACTTCGTAATGCACTTTATAAAGATTTCTTTTAGAGTATTGCCACATATAGAAAATAGCTCCCATCATACAGTTTCCAACTCAACTTACCAGCGCTTATAACAAATCAAAGAGTCTTTGCTGTTCTTAAAAACCCACTTTTAAAACTTTATTCAAAACAAAATTCATTTTTTCACCATGCTTCCTATCATACGTGTCCCTTTCAACTGTGATAATGAGCTTCAACTTCTGTAGCATCGCAATAAAACTACTTGATTTGTACATAAATGGATCTTCTAAAATCGTGTCGACGGGCTTTCCTAAAAAAGGAATATAAGTAACCATAAAAAGCGTTGTTTCTTCAAACCCGATAGTTCGCATAGGATGGCCTGTGTTTAATGTGTTCTCAGTCTAGCAAGGGTTTGGAAGCATTTTTACCATATTACGATGCTGACCTGCAACAGTGAAACCCCGCCATCACAAACCCCACTTGTTTTGGACATTTCGCTTTTAGAAACTTGTAATCTGGTCCCTTGGAGGACAACGCAAGGCCGTCGGAAGCACGGGGGGGGGGCTGGGTGGCTGGAGCCCCCTTATGATTTTCAAACTGTACTATGTTTCCTTTATAACAGTGCACTGAATAGGAAAAATACAATGGGTAGCCCCCCTCCCCCAGTGTGAATTTTATTCGGACGGCAATATAACAAACGCTCGATATGACAAATTCCCGTTATTACGATTTTTCCAGGTCCTTACATAATTCCTTATGGTGGGATCTCATCGTATCTTTTTCCTAATGCACTATTTTCCGAAAAGTTCTGTATGAGTTACTTCTTTTTCTCACTTTAAGCAGTCTAATCTTGGAAAAAGTTTTGTTTGAAGCTGGAAACGAACTATTTTTACATATATGTATATGTCGGCTTAAACTTATCTCATTCTTTTAGGGATAAGAACATTTGTGATCCAATTTTTCTTACGCATCTCGATATTAGCTTAAGAAACATTTCTATGCATGGTGAGCCATGATTTTTTTATAGTCTGAATTGAAAAGTAATATACTTGAACAAAAATTCATTCTTTGCATAACTTTTTGTCCGAGTGATCGATTGGAAGTTGTTATTATATATTTGTCATTATATAAGGATTTTTTGACTTTGCCACGTAATCTATCGTGTCTTTTGAAGCATGAGTTAGGAGAACTCTCGTATCTGGGTCACTTGTCTCCAAATATCGATTATGTCATCAGTGTGCCAGGCCTGATGACGTAAATTGGGGGAAAAAACGAGGTTTCAGAAGTGAGAAATAAGTGGGAGGGTAAAAGGATACACATTTAGAAGCGATTTATAGCATTCATGACCCCCCCCCCCTTGAATTGTTATTTGGCAAGGTGGCAAGACGAAGAAAGCTGCAAGTGAATTTTTATATTCAGAAGATTCTTTTGCATCATCATCTTCGATGAAGCATAATTCTTGCCTTTGGATATACTTGTCTGCAAGTCAGACCCTACTGCCTGCTAACGATCGACTTTAGAAAGGCTGTTTTAGACGAATTACATCAAGGATGTCGATAGAAGTGCGGACTGCTGTACTGATAATGTCTAGCTTCTTTCTCACCTTTATTGCCTCCTCTGGTACCTAGGTTAAGTTTGGATCAACTATTTTTAATTGTGTCACGTGCTCCTGATGAGTTTACCCCTGATTTATTGAGCACCTGTAATCTTCCTGATATATCAGTAATAAGTTCAGAGCTCGTCAAGACCCCTATATTCAAACATTCAAGAAAAACAACCCAAAATATATAGCAATGTTAAGAATGTCCACAAAGGTGATTATCGCATAAGCCATTCTCTTTGCATTCGCTAGTTTTGGTTAGATTCACCACTGTCTTTCTTTTGGCTTTTGCAAAACTTTTTCCTGACCTGTTTGCATCAATTGCTACCGCTTCAATGCTGTTTTCCTTTCCTCGTGCTCAGAGAACAAGAGGTTAACTTAACCAGCTCTCCAGCTTTCGTGTCGCATCATTCTGTATACAGAAATAACTCAAATGATTGTTGATTGCTTAGTACGTTACGTTCTGCGGCTTTAGTTATAAGACCTACCGCTTGAAAAAGATTAAACACAGTTTTTACCCTGGGTACCAGAGCCACAAAATTTCGAGCACCTAAAGACGCTCCTCCGTTTCTTCACTACTATCTTCTGTTTCCTCTTCCATTTATGTTCCTCTGGTACCCAAGGCCCAAGGTACACAGTTTTGCACATTGGTATCAGGGGGAGGGGTAGCTTGCAGGGGATGTAGGGGGTTTGACCACCCCCCATAATGCTTCACGAGTTGGTCGGTAAATTCTCAGTTGGTCTATAAAATCCTTGTTTGTCGGTAAAATAGTCTATCTGTAGTTGAAAAAGCACCTAAACTTACTTTAGGTATGTCTTTGTCGCCCTGTTGATGATGTTGATGTTGTTGATGTCTATGTCGGATAAGCTACGCCACTGTTGATGATACTTTGGTCCTATATGATAACCACATGGGCTCCGACATAGGATAAAAAGTTCGGGGGGGGGGGGGGGGGGGGGGGCAAGAAACTTTAACAGCCATGGCAAAAGATTTTCAAGAAGCTCTACTATTGTGGAGAAAGGTTGTGGGTCATGCCCCCAGCCCCCTTCGTCGGAGGCCCTGTACTGTTGCCAAAGACTGTTTACCAACCAAAAGTCTTCTTTCAAAGTACTTCCAGATTCAAGTTGGATTAATTAATTCAGCAAACAAATGAGCTTTGGCTTTGAGAAAATTTCTTATCTCCTCCTATGGAGGGAGAAGAAATTTTTGCTCTTCGGTCGTTCTTAGAAATGAAACATTCAAGAGAGAGATATCTTCATGAACGTTAAAGCGAAATTTTCAAGCAGACCGTTGATTTCTGAATCTAACTGTGTATTGGTAAATTCCTTGTGAGTGTTGTAACTATATAATGCAGTTTTTTACTTAGCTTGAATTTTCGCCATCTTTTGCTGCATCGATGTGTCGCTGGTCACATTTCGATACCAACGAACCCATCTCTTTGATGTTCCTGCAACTGCAAACTCAGCCAGAGCTCTTAATGCACCTATATGATATTTCATCTTCTACTATCACAGACATGACATATCATCTTATATCAAAAAAGCCTTTTGAGGCGGTTAAAAAAAAAGTTTAGTCATGTTGGTAGAACGATGTCTTTATTCGCCAAACAAGAGGCAGTACTATTGTTATATCCAGAACATGGAGAATTATTGTGCGTGTGGCACGAATGATGTTTTGTCTTTTAGGACTGTCCTGGTCGATTCGTAGGGGCTTGATAAGCTTTATTGATTTCTTCTCTGCCTTTTGTCGAATCTTGGTCGTCAATCTTCTGCTCTGTTGAATTTTTACTCCGTAAAAAATTTAGTCTCGTCACGCAACAAAAATGAGAAATTATTTTTGACCTTGGTGAATAATCACCATTGTTGTCAATTGATGATAGATGTCATTTTAGACAAGAAAAAGCTAAGCAAATGATCCAGCAGTCGTCTTGAAATTCAATTAACCTTTTATAGAAGTCAACAATGCTGTAGTGAGATCATTTTATGGAAAATTGATAGTTTTTTGCAAGTCATTTTTTCCCTGAGGCATATCCCGCCCCTACTAATCTACCAGACATAGACAAGTCATGACTAGCAGGTTTTCCTTTGCCATCTTCAAATTTAAGACCTTTACTATACACGAGGTCACATTTAAGGGCATTAATATATCCTTTAACTTAATCGATTGGCTAGGAGAGCACTTTGCTAAAAACCCGTCACATTTATTAGAATGGCATTCCTTAATCCAAAGGCATCAAATATGGTATCTGATCTTTCAATATCCAGGCCGTTTATTGATTGAGCAGTAAAAGAGTGTCTCTCAAAAATCCACTTAAAGAATCTATTTAAGTTATCGTACAGAGTAAAAGTTATCTTAATTCTTGAATGCAGAGGAAACATCTTGTATTAACAAAGAAAGCACTACCCACCTATCGAGAAAAGATTTGTTCTCGACGAACTTTTGCGTTATATACAAGTCCCGGTACTAATATAATATCTGAGCAAGATTTTTTCACTGTTCAGTTTTCATTTTCAATGAGTGGTCCATGATATCAGTGATCCCCACTGCCGTAAAGGAAAATCACGTTAGGCAACAATGAAATCACACATTTGCTTGTGCAGGATGGCTCAGTTATTAGAGGCGCTGACTACAGACCCAAGGGTCCGTGGTTCGAATCCCTGACATGACCAAACTTTCACCCAGAGTGGGGAGAGTCGGCAGCTCTCTGTAATTCCAGGCATAGGAATCACGTGGTGTGGTCACATCGAGAGGGAGGACCAGGACACTGCTCGATAAGCATAGCTTCTCAGTGTCTTAAAACTACCTTCGGATGCTAGGTAGCAACAAATACAAATACAAAAAATACTAATACAAATGTGCAACTTAGAGACCTTCTTTAAATGAACACTGAAGCCTGTTGTTTTGATTCATAGCTGCAACAGTAACATGGAGCAATGAAAAAGGAACGTTATGATTTTGGGGGACAAGCCTCACTGCAAGTTAAGCAAGATTACAGAAGACGTAAAATCAAATTAATTGCATAGCTGTTTTGAGAGATTTTTGGTGTTTGCTTATATTATATTTGCTGAATTTCTTGTCAGAAAATGCTAACGTGTGTTTGAACTTTCCGCAATTTCCGCATCTGTCATTGAATGTTATCTAGAATTTTTTGCAGACCCGAAAGGAATTCTGGGATAGTCTTAAAAGCATTAAACCTTGTGGCATTTTTTAAGACCTGTCATTTACGTTATTGTCATGGCAACCGTCAGCAAATATTTCTACTTAACTTGCTTCAGCTGTTGTAAAATTTCAAAAACAAGTTGCTTTTGAAAAATTGTTTTCCTCTTAATTAAAACACTATTGATCGTTAGCCATGCAACCACCTGTAGATTTGCACGAAAAATGGTGAATTTTGATTTAATGTGAAAGCAATAACATATTTAAAAGCGTATAAACTTTTAAGGCCACCTGCTTATTAATAAATTAATTTTTCAAGCTACCTTACGATCTCTGGTTTGCGGGGTGCATAATAAAGCTGGTTGAATATTCTGTTGACCTTTCTGCAATTCAGTATTTGCGGGCAAAGACCTTCCTGTGAAATGATAAACATTTACTTGCCTTTTTTTGTTTTTGATCTATTACATTATATAGGGCAGGATTATAAGAGTGACGTAATTAGTTAGGTCGTGCTAGAGACAGTAAAAGCTTGTTAGGGATGCCAGAGCCCTTGCTGGCAGTGCACTTACACTTGGAAGAGCCCATTAGGAGGCAATCATATCCAAGGCAGTTGGTCAGGTTCATGTTTTTTTGAATTACTTGCGATAATCATTCTCAAATATTCAAAGATTTCCCCTACTACGCCCGAGAATCTTGCAAAGTTTCTCGAACTGTTTCAAACCGCTATACATGAACAAACTTCAGGATCTATTGCAAATCACTCTCTATATTTCCTCTGTAAAGGAATTCGTCACCCCTCCTCATCATAATTGACGCATACATAGTTGCAAAGTTAAGCTTGATGAGGATATCTTGAAGCTTGATGTAACTCTAGAAGACTGCTATAATCCTTAATAAGTAGATAGAGTTTCTGATGAGCCTTGCTATTTATGTTGGACGCAGGCTGGTCACATAATAAGAATAACCCAACTATCCTAAGTTATTCTTTCTCTGTGGGTTGGTGTTATTAATCTTCTATGTTCTAGTGAATTCGACAGCCTTCGCTGTCAAGGAAATCAGATTGTCAATCATAATCATAATCCAACCACGATCAAATCCGTGCGTAGCGCGGGGAATGCCCCTAAACATGACGCAATTACTGTATAACTGTATACTTATACTTCTTGCGTTGTGTGGGGAATACCATCAAACATGACGCAATTACAATGCAATTCTAGCGCTAGGCGGAAAACACCAGAACTGTTGCTACTTTAAGATGTAAAAGATTTCTGATACAACGAGCTGCTGTTAAGAAATTGCCCAACAACATGTAATCACGACAACACTATCTTGTGGCTATCGAGACAAATCTGAGATTTAGGCAAGCAAGTTTATCTAGTTACGAGAAAAAGTCGAGCTGTGTCCATTGATCTAAACATTTTAAGCGATTTATTAGCTTCCAGTTTTAAAAATGTAGCACCATTTGTATAAAATAAGTTCATTCTCCGCTGATTATTTTATATTAGCAGGGTTACAACAATGCTTGTTCGATTTAGCCTTATCAGAGAAATTTCATGAAGGATGTCAGCAATGTACAATTGGTTTAGCCTATTCAAAGAATTTTCTCTCTTTCGTAAAATCTGGTTTAAGTTACATTTGCGTTAACTTTAAAATTCAGCCCAATTTTACTCGTACTTGTACTTGTACTGTACTGGTGCCTATACTGCTGTGAGAGGGTATGGTTAATATCTACATTAAGAATGAATGACGTAAACTGCCTTCTGTTTGGTGCCGTGATCTTCCGGTAGTATTAAAGGCTGGGTCAAATGAAGCTACGTTTTCAATTTTTTTGCTTATTCTAACAATTACCATAGGGACGACACCCGAAGCTTCTTTTAAGTGGCTCTTTGTTTACTCTTACTGCCTGCAACCAATGCACTTTCAATATTCGCAGTATGCCGCTAAACTCGGCATTCAGCCTGCCTTCAACTGCCTGTAATGCATCGATTCAAACGCCTCAGTTATTACTTTCCTGAATTTGACTGGTTGGTCTCCTTGTTGATTTCTGCTTTTAAGTTGTTTTCTAATTATTCTCTGCTTGCAAATGATGGCAATCGCTTTAGATGCGGACTGGACAACTCTACACTTTTCTTGTTTGCTAATTTCCTTGGAATTGTAACTTGCTTTTCACCTTGAAAAGGTATTACAATTTCTTCCGGCTTAGCTAGGATTTATGATGATTCAATCAAACATAAATCAATGTGGTAGGGCTTGTCCTTTCAAATTCTTTATTATAATGATTATTATGAAGAGTGGCCTTTTTCATCCATAGATCCAAACCAAAGATTTATGTTTAACATTGCAATCCAGCAGAAATCTATCTCGGTAATGAGAAGCTTAAATCAATTTTAGAATTATCTAAAGTTTTTTAGAAGTGTTCATTCTAGCCTGGTGATTGTAAAGTTATCTTCGTTCCGTAGGGTCATTTTGGAATATGCAATAAAACTGGGAGGATCCACAAATTCTGTAGGGGAGGGTCATATAATTGTAAGAAGTCTAAAACTTGTCTTAATCCTAAACACAAGAAGCTTAACATCACTTCATGTACCTTACTTGAAGGGGGCGACACCCCTATAATCCACCATTGACGTAGCAGAGAATAAATGATCTGATAAATTGTTTTTGGAAGTGAAGCATAAGTAACCTTGAAAACTTTTTTGATGTCATAAATTGGATAAAGTTAAGATACAGCTTAAGAGCTGAACTATGGAAAATATTGGCTTGACTGTTTTCAACCTGTCGAGTTCTTATGAAAACGAAAGCCGGATAGTCGTTTGATGTTTATCGCGATCACCGTGTACGGCAGATGGGCATTCCCCTATTTCATTGATTCACCAGATATCGACCAGATCTCGGGTCAATCTTTCGTAAAGTCGTATTAATGCTTTTTATCGGATGAAATGAATAAGCGACACAATGCTGGCCGCAGGGGCGCACGTGTAGCGAAGTTTTTATCTTAGCATTAGTTTTTGATAAGTAAGATTAAATTGCATGTTGGCATTGCTTTGTTTTGTCTCGAGTGAACAAGCGTGCTTAGGCAGCAAAAATATTCGCTATCACGATTTATAAGAAGGGAGCTATTAATCGCCCTGGGCAGGGGTTTTGTTAACTTGTAAACAACACTGCGACTTCTTAAACGCTAATGTGGAATTTAAAAGACTAATCGAGGAATAAAGTGATAGAATAATGGCCCATTCATTGGGATTTTAACCTAAAGGAGTAAAGTCAGTAAAGTAATGTAGAAAATTCTAGACTGCCGAGAAATGTACAAGCAAGTTGTTGCAACTAGGCAATGTTAATCGTAACATATCCCTTGATAACTCTCGTGGCACTGTTTGCAATCGTGTAAATTGGATGAGTTAACTCAAAAAATACTCAAATGACAACAGAATTCTTACAATTTTATGATTATTATGTTATAACTCATTTCTAGAGCTGAAAACATTATTTCTTGCGATTCATAGCATAGCAAAATGCCGTCCCTGACAGCCATTTCTCAAAGGAATTCTGTATACTGATTTTACTAGCATGATATGCTGAAATCAAGCATATATCCATCTACTGGAGAACCTCAAAGATCATCATGGCGTGTGGAAGACATAATTTTGTTGTATCAATAAGGAATGTTTATAGAGATTCGACTAAGCTGAAGGAAAACGAAACACATTTCTGAACTCATATCTCTAGTACCTAGTATAAACATTTCCTTTATATATCATCGTACTTGGTCTTGAGTTTGACATTCATTTCTTTTTTTAAGCAACAAAAAGAGGAGGCATTCGCTTAACAGATGAGTCTGGAATCATAACAAGCCCTGGGTATCCAAATGGTTATCCTAATAGCATTGCTTTTATTTGGCTAATTAACACGACGGAGTCAAAATATGTTGAGCTGACGTTTGTGGATTTTGATGTGGAACCATATCGAGACTGCTCCGCTGATTACGTCAAAATTAGGAACAAGAAACCGACTCATGGGAATTTCAAAGATGTCCCGCAAATTGGTGAGTTGGATTTAAGTTAAAAATATCCCAGCAACCTTTTCTTTCTAGAGCTTGCCAACTGTGGAAAGCATTATCCATAAAAGAGTTTCTTATAGCCTACCTTTCTTCAAAGTACTCGATCTTACCTCCTTAACCTCTTAGCTTCACAATCTTTCACCTTTTTAAAGATTTGTTAAAGATCTCTCCTTTATATTACCAATTCAGAAAAGAAACTGAAACATTTTAGGCCTGGTTCAAACGTCGCACTTCTCATGTGCCGAACCTAACTCTGTTTGGAGCGACACTTGAGCATGTTTAGCGCGACTCTCGTTTCAAACGTCGAACTTAATCATGTCGCGCCAAATGGGTTTTAGGATTGTTACATGAAGTATCTTGGTTAAGGCACGCAATCTCAAATATTTGTTTGAAACGCATGCGCCCTCCAAGAAAGAAATGAATTTTGTGAAGGAAAATAAATTAAATATAATTATGCATTGAGTTCGGTACATGACAAGCTCGACGCTTGAAACCGTGCCGTGCTGGAGCCGTGCAGCTCGGCAAGCTCTGCCGATCCAAACTAGTCTGCCGCTCCTAACTAAATCTGCCGTACCAAATTGATTCAAACGTCGCGCCCCTCATGTACTTAATTCTCGAGTTAGGTTCGGCACATGAGAAGCGCGACGTTTGAACCAGGCCTTAAGATGGTGTTTAAGCAAATGAATTCACTTCTCGGGAACAAAAACGACGACCTCATTGTCATCCTCTAATGACGTCAGTGAAATTCCTGGCTCAATTTTGAAAATGATTATGTAATATATTCGTTCCAGTATCAGTAGATGGGTATTCGGAACTTTTGTTTACTTTTATTGATAACGTTTGAAACCAAAATAATAATAATGCCAGTTCTTTACAACAACATTTTTGATACTGTCGTTTTTTAACATATTTCAACTATATTATTTCAGAATGTATTTGTATATGAATGTTCTTTTGCATTTTCGACATTTGTCCTAAGTTGGCGTTTCAATAAACGTAAAGCGTAGAGTTAAGTCAAAATAATATTGAATTTGTCATATTAAATCATAGAAAAAATTCTCCAATACATATGAATAGTTAAACCTGAAACTTTAAATCGAGCAAGGATACTAAATAAATGTTAAATGAATTTGATGTTTTGGATAAAGTAACAAAACATGCTGTTTATGATAACGCTTAAATAAATTAAGAATCTCTAAATAAGTAATTTGTTATAACAATGAAAAATGCAAAATGATAATAAACTGTGAATATCGTCAGTTTTCATACATTTCTTGATGAAATATCTATCATTAAAATGATTTGAACACCAAAATACTAGATTTAATATTTTTTGTTATGAAGCATTTAAGAAAAGTGAATCGAATCGATGGCGTCACAGAAATCGATTTTAAGAGCTTTTCGATTTAGACTACCTAACCCAAAAAAGCATTATGAAATACCTCTAAATGTTCAAAAGATAGTGTAGTGGAATTAGATATAAAAACGGTCTAACCCGGACAAAAACAATATAAGGCTGTAATTTGGCACAGATGTTCTATACTAAGTTGGAAATGACCAGAAAAAAGCGACATCAAAATTTCAACCCCTGCTGATCAGTGCGCCATATGGGATTTGCCCAAATAAGGAATTCCCAATGTCCAATTGATGGGGCTTTTTTCTGGTTATTCCCAGTATCGTATGGAACCATTTGCCAAATTACAGCTTTTTATTATTTTTGTCCGGGTAAAATCGTAATTCCACCACACTTATAGTTTAATGTGACAGATATTGGCTGAGATATGGCACATAACTCATGAACCAGGCCAAAATAACAATTATCTGTTAGTAGACTAGTCATCTTTTATGGCCATAAAAACCTAATTTCGCAGATATTATTTTGCACATATTTGCAAAATATTCCATATTGATATATTTATTTAACTGATATTTTATACTGGGAGTTATGTTATGCTGTCTTCCAGATTGTGCGGTCAAAAAATTAATAAATGCTAAAAATAGATTTTTGATAACGTCACATTTTTGTGCACCATTAATGTTTTGAGGAAATTTTTCGATTAAATTTTTTGATCATGACTTTATCTTTGAATTATGGAAATTGGAACCCGCAAGATTGGATGGGGCAAGAAAAGGCTTTTACTCGTCTCGTTATTGTCATTGTAGTAACAAAACTTACTGGTGTAAGATCAAAAGAATTCTCGTAAATGCCGAATAAAGCTATCATGAAACGTATCTGAAAAGTTAACTGACCCATTTTTAATAAATCTAAAGATCGCATTGAGTTTCAATATCATGTTAAACAAAATATTGAGAATACAAATGTTTTATTGATAGAAAGAAGCTAAGTCTGAGCGTAGGTTAGAGTTCAGAGGGTGGTCCACAATTGGAGCTTTCGTCAGAAACACGTAAAGGCAAGATAGTGACGTGAGGTTAGGGGCTGGCAGCTTTGCCAACATTTGATGCTGTTGTTCCACAAGACGTCTTTTTATGTACGAAGAATGTGTACATATAGGAGTGGGGGACCCTGTAACTATGTACGAAGAATGAGTACATATAGGAGTGGGGGACCCATTAAGTAAGTAAATAAGTAAGTAAGTAAGTAACTAACGAAGTGATACGGTTTCCGTAACAGAATGCTATGCGAAGAATTCCCATTTTACTCTAATTAGTGTCCCGCTTTCTATTGTTCGCGGCTACGAAATGATGTTGGCTCAACGTCATCAGCAAGTCAATTTTGCAAATTTTTATTTTGGCCGTGCCAAAAGAGAAGTTGGCACAGTTTCAAAGGAAGCTGCAGCACACAATCCAGCAATTGTGCACCTGTACAATGGAAGGAATGCCTATTGTGGGAATTAAGGTTTTCTATTCGATAAAATTTCCAATTATTGACAAAGCTGTTTGATACCGCTTAAAATCTCCATGGAACTTCTCTCAC